AAAATAGAAAGCTCGGTGGATCAGCTCAGGAGGTTTGCACATTGCTCGGCATCATCTGTGAGAAAATTACAATGCTCAGTGGAGCACCAGCAGGCTGGGCTAGTATTTTTTGTTGAGGAAAAATAGAATGCTTAATGAATAACCTTGGAGGGTTGTATTTTTCGTTCGCTTCGATCTGGAGGAAACCAGAATGCTCACGGGACCACCTGAGGAAGCTTGTTCGGTACGTTTTTCCCTTGCCTTCACTTGGTGAAAATTGAATTCTCCACCGATCACCTCGAGAGGTTATTTTTACTGCACCTCCCTAAGCAGTTGGTGTTTACACATGTACATGTACATGTGGTTTCACCGAAATTTTTTAGGAGGCACTTGTAGCCTTTTCTCCTGTCCTGTAATGTTTGTGTTGCTACAGTATTTGTGGGATCTGTACATTTGTACATGTATGTAATTACATGTATACTAATTTTGCCATTGTACATGTATTATCTGAGAGACTTTAAATCCAGATTGTATTGAAAAAACTAACAATCCCTTGGAGTCCACCATTTGAGTCTCAGTTAAAACAGCAAGAGTTTGTCCTTGGCTGTTTGTTTTCTCCGGGCCACCATGTACAGACTGATTGCCTCGTCAAACAAAATCCTTTTAGCTATCCGGCCCTATTTGTTTGACTTCTTCTTGTGTGGGTGTCCTCATTCCGCAAGTCAAACAAATTCTACGGGTCACCTCTGAGAGGTGCTTGGGCATCTAGCGTTTGAGTGTCCTCATGTGAGGAAGTGATTTCGCATAACTTTTATTTGTCAGTGCGACCTCTGTCTGAAGGAGTGTGATGAGATTGCACTCAGACGTTTGCACCAGTAAGTTTGTGTGAAACTTTCAGTTTGGTTTCAATGATGAATATTTCCAGGCTAGAAATATTCATTCTTGAAATAAAACTGCAGGATGTATTTGTATGTGTCTCCAAGACATTTGGAGAAGTCTCGGTGTTGAAGCAGGCCAAGACTAATTCATGCAGTCAATTCCATTGGCAGGCCCTGGCATCCGGGCACACATACAAGTGCACAGGGCAGGATGAATGATGACAAACGATGTTTTTGTCAGAGTTTGCATGCATTGATTTAGGTTGTGACTTTGCTCAAAACTGGTTGAGTTGTGATGGGTTTGCTGGGACTATGTATACCGTACATGCAGCATGGGTTTCACCATCAATTTTAGATCAACACATGAAGACACGGAGGAAAAAGATGTGACCGATGTACATGTATACCGCTTGACCTTAATCTGTAGTAAAACAATTCAAACAGGCTTTAGTGTGTGTACACTACATAGTCCAGTCCATGTACTGGACATACGTAGGAGTGCAACTTTTGTAAGAGATGTCAGGTGTTGCCGGTACTCCGCATCTGATGATTCCCAGTGGAAAAACCAGCAATGGAAACTCCAGAATGTCAGCACAGTGTGGCTTACTGCCCTCCGGCCAGCTTTAATTTCCAGAACAACACAGCGCTACATCACGTACACATGCACGTACACTGTTCCAGCTCCAGCGTGGCAAATCCCATCATCAGAAAATGGGAAATCCACGCTGAGTGGGCAAATTTGGTTTACACTTTCGACAGCTTGATCTGGAAATGGCAAACTTAAGCCAGGTTTGATGTTTGGCCGGATTCGAGAGTTTTGTTGTTGGCACTGTTAGGATTGGCTATCGGGATGAAGGCGCTCATAGCGTTGCTGATAGTGTTACAGATGATCAACCTGTTTACGCCAGAAATTCACTCCCGAGGCTACTTCAGAGATACTGCTTGAGTCGACTTGAGCTTGTCTGATTACAACATGTACACGTATCAGGTCTTTTCCTAAATTTTTGTCATATTTGTTACATGCAACCATCGGATAAGACATTTTGTTTCCTTCTTTGTACAACGATGTAGTGGCACATGTATGTTACCATTGTGAAAGGGTTCTGGACTTACATGTAAGCCAAATTTCCCAGTTATAACCAGAACCTTTTTATACATGTGTAAAAGAATTGGGGGATTAAAGAGAAGTTTAGGAGAACAGAATTCATGACAGAATTTTGTTTAATAAGAAAGCTCTTTTTACTATAGTTTGGTAACTATCGGTACATTTCCATACATGTATGTACATGTACAGTGTAACATAGAGGCCATTGTTGGATGCAGCCAGAATATGAACAAGGGTACCTACAGGTATGTATATTGAATGAAATTCATTAAATACATGTAGATGCAATATGTTTATAATGTATTTTTTTGAAAACTGTTCCATAAAATTTGATTGTTTGTACATGTGCACTTGTAAAGATGTAGAGAGTGTACCGATGTACTTGTACTTGTACAAGTGAGTGCAGTACATCTGTGACGCAAGTATACCAATCACAGTACACTTTAATGAGTGTTTTATGAATTAGTGGTACATTGTACATGTAAGTCCTCTTGGCAACCTTGACAGTGTTAAACACTAGAATCCGACGGAAAATTAATCAAAATAAACCCAGGTGTTGGATGAGTATTGCTGTACTCCATGCCCGTCAAGCTGCATGAAAGGCTTGAATTCGGTTACATGGATTGGCGTCACTTGCAGAAGAACCAGCTAATCGGGGCTGTACACGGCCAATTGGATGGCTTAGTATTCAACAACGCATTTTTTTTAAAGATTAAGATCTATCTCGTGTTCTGTGACACATAAGGCCGATGGGGATGGAGTGAAGTTAATGCGTAACCAAGAGTGATTAATAGCTTTGATGTGTGGTACAGAATAGTTGGTGGGCGTCGTTGATTTCTGCATGGCTGGCTATATTGCAAAACGAAGAAGCAGTTTGGGTGTGCGGCCGTGGCGAATAGTGATAGATGAGTAGTGATAGTGTGTCATTTGGTAGTGATGGATGGGGGGGACGTAAACTGCGATTGAAGGGCTTGGGGTTTATTGACTCCCACCTCCAAGGCACTCTCCTTTAGCACGCCTTGAGGAAACAATGTCGGCAAGAAGGAGTTCATGTTCCGTACATCATATACTTAAGCACACAAAAGTGGAGGATTGATCAATCCAAAGTATGACACTGAATACAGTTCAAGCAAATACTTCCCTAGTTTTTCATCAATTATTCCTTGCTGTTCAAACTCACATGCAAACTCACAGTGCGTAAATGTTAATCAGGCACATTGGCATTGTATTGTGATGTCCACATTAGCACAGCATCAGTAGTGTACATGTATGAAAGCACTTCAGTGAGCGTGTGTGCATAATGTGATGGGGTGCCGCGCCTCATGGGATGTTTTACAGTCTGAGGGAGCAAGGGGGCTCCTCCCTGAGTAAAAAAATAAAAAAAGGGAGGGGGAGATGAAAAATGGAGGAAAGGGGATGAGAATCACCTACATGTGTTTGCTTGAAAATCCCCTGGAATTACCCCCACCCCCACCCACACTGCTGGTGATGAATGCTTTGCCTGCCTGGTTGGAAAGTCTCCCCCCCCCCGAAAAATCCTGGCAACATCCATAGGCAGATGTGCATGTACAATGTACATACATGTACATGTATGAATGGCTCAAACTAGTGTGACTGGATTAAGCTCGTTCATCTTGCGTGCTTGGCTACGGCTGCTAGCGCATCTACTTGTACAAATGTATGTTACTGTCCTGCTGGCATTCAGTGCAATAAATCTGTGTGATACGGTACATGTCGTGCTCTAAGTGCCATCTAAACATAAATCTGAATTTGAATTACGATGCACTCCATTTCTGTTTGTGTTACATGTAGTTGAATCATTTATCCCTGGGCATCCTGGGGCCACGTTGTCAGCAGAATGCACCGCGGAGACGTGATCATAATTCATGAATTTGCTGGAAAGGCGGAAGACCAGCCCTCGGGCCATTATTGGAATATATACACCACTGCATGTACCATGGACCTCACACAGAAATAACTCCAGCGATTCAATTATGATTTAGAGCACCTCATGAGGGGCCAAAAACAATTTGATTTGTGGCTAAAGGTAGTGCTAATAAACAGCACGTTCTAGTTACCGATTGCATGGCCTTGCTGCCGTTATGACTAGCTGGCATTCGCAGTGAATAGTTCCGAGATCAATACCTTCCAAACGTAGTGTTTGACAAGACTTCAAGTCAACACTGCTTTCAAAGGGAAAGGAAAATGTACACATACACGTGTAAAGGTCTAAAAAGAAGGTAAGCACCAATTCTTTAACTTTCGTTTAAACTGGACAAATTGATTGGGTTTTAAAACTTCACCTTTTTTACGGCGATTTTCCACATTGATGACAAAAAGATGGCTGTTTGCAGGCTTTGAAATGCATGCCCATCTTTGCTTTGTTCAAATATGTCTGTTGAGTTCAGAAGCTTTGCTGTTTTAGTCAGGAAATGGTCAATACCACGTTTGTACACTTTATGGTGTGTAAGACTCAAAACATTGCATTGTGGTAATAACTAGCCAAAGTTTGTAGCAGCACAACCTGACTCCATGTATATCTTTCGAGAAGGTAAAGTTTCAGAGCCACTCATGTTCCCCAAAGTGATAGTCACGTGGTGTTGCCACAGACCTTCTCTAGTATTTGCGGTTTCTCCCTTGCTAAATTGTGTGCAAATTGTGTTATAAGATTGAGGATACAATAGAAAAGTCATGCCCGGTTTCTTGTTTTTTACAATTTGTTAGTTTGGTCTATAGACGTTTTTCACCCACGTGACTAAATGTAAACAATACAACCACGTGTGGACCGCCTTGGCCACGGTGATCGCATGTATACCTATGGGCAGCTTCAACCACGTGCAAGCACATGTGCAAACGCTGCATGCTTGACTAGTTTATCTTATTTTCATTTTTGAATATCATACTCAGTGTTTATCAAGTGGGAATCCCTTAAAAACATAAAACACTTCCCAGCTTTATGTTGATTATATGGTTACTTTTTGACCTACTAACACTGAATAACTTGTTTAGAGAATACATGACTTCAAAATGCTTGCATGTATACTACTTTACAGCATGTGGTATTTTATTCTAAACCATATAAATTCACAAAAAAAGTAAAAAGTAGCTACAAACATAGAATGACACAGCATACTTTTATAGCCAAATAAACGATCAAATATGTGTCATAAAGTTGCTCATTCCAGGGAAATCGGGCCACATAAATGTACAGTCAGACTTCCCAGAGACAGTCATTTTTCCTGGTTGGCAAAACTGGGTAAAATGTAAAACAAAAAATTTATCAACATGAAAGTTAGCTTAAATATTATGGCTGACAACTAGACAAAAAAAATCCAGCTTTGTCCAATTATTCAAGTGTTTAACTTCATGCAGAATTTGTCGACCCTTTCCAAACGCACATTGGGTCGACAAATTTCGCTCATTGTGATTGGCCAATGCGTTGCAAACTCTCGGTGGTGCACGAATGTGGAACAGCCGTATTGTACAGAATACACGTTAAGTTCAGTAAAATAAAAACCTGCTTTCATACAGTACATGCACCTTACTTTTGTCCAGGGAACTGCTCTGCTTTTTGTGCAGACAAGTTCCCTGATCTGAACAAAATCCAATTTCATTTATTCCCAATTTCATTACCATTCTCCAGTAATGACTGTCTTATACTTAGAAAGCAATAGGGCATAGCATCAGCAACGTAAAGTTAAAAATAGAGACATACATGTACATGAACATCGAAAAAGTATTAAAATGGTTCTTGAAGCCGTGTTCTTCCCGACAATGAACAATTTTCGACCAGTCTTTTACAAATTCGTTAGGTACATGTACATGTAGAGTGTGTATGTGATTCTGAAACACACCCATGATAGAGGACCATATACAAGGAATGCGTGCGTGCTTAGATACACGAATGGCTTATTTGATTGGGGTGTGCCTCCAGCCTGAGAAATGTCCGGATCAGAATACTGAAGTCGACAGATTTCAAATTGCAGCATGTCACCTTACATTGATTCATAAGTGCGCAGGACATGTAATGTACCGGTAGTGGAATAAAAAACAGGAAAAGTGCACATTCACATGTACGTGTACTCAAACCTCTCCTGCATGTGTACATGTGTACATTGTAAATGTACAGTTGTGCACCTTAGACGATCAATTTTTAAAGGATATGGTTTGTACATTTACCGTTACTGATACGGCACAGTGGCTTCAAGACTATAATATCTCAGTTTAGTGTAAATAATAAATTTGATAATCTGGAGTCTAATGTTCAAAAGACACATACACGCACCTCTTAACCCTTTAGATTTATTTCAGACACTCGTATGCTGTCACCTGAGCTTAATGATAGCTATTAACAGTAAAAAAGACCCTTCACCGAGATAGTTTCATATGCATGTATTTACGCAGTACTTATGTGTACATATAACAGGACAGTTTTTTCATGTAGTGAGAATTCAGTGGAGAAAAATATATTTATAATTTCCTTGTGGATGTTGTGTCACATGTGTATGTAGAAATTTTTATGCTAAACAATACAGAACAACCAGTGTGGGTTTTACTTTGTGATAACATTTGTATTTTTGTTATTGATAAAAAAAAATCAAGACAAAGCTTTAAGGACCGAACCTAACATTTAATTCTTATCTGAGTTGTATAATGATATCTGAAGAACAAAACTTTAAAATGTTAGCCATATGTACATATATAAAAACCTGTGCTATTGGTGTTGTACTGGTTAATCTAGCAGACTACATGTTCACGGATGCAGGCCTGGCACCTTTTGATGCACTGAGAATTGTGTAGCTGATATTCATTTCTTATTTCTGTGGAGGGATATAAAGATGATATTTACACACAGGTGTCAATGTATGATCATCGTGATCTAAGTTCCAGTGTAGCCATTCAACAATACAGGGACAATACACGTTTTTTTTGAGGGGGGGTTGTCTTAACAATCAATCCCTTGTTTTCAGGTTTTGTCGAAACATTCTACCAGCATCAAAAGTTCTGTACTTGCAGGGAGAAGTAGATTCCTTGACCAACAATGGGGGATGGTTGTGTCTTACGTGTACATGTACGTGTACATGTAGGTACAGTGTACATGTACATGTATCGGTCAGTTGAGGGCAGTGTTTATTTTACATAGTTTCATTGGAGTGTATTGCTTAGAATGGGAATTTTTAGGTTTTTTGAGATAGTAGGCAGACGCATGGTAACTTCAGAGTGACTGGTAACATACATGCATCAACAAGCCTCCACTTGGTGTGCTGTCTAGCGATTACCGGCCAAGTAGCCCTTGGAAGTGAGCTGCTGGTAGAGGGACCAACTAGTTATCACAAGGTGCATCTGCAGAAAAATGAAAAGAGCTAATAAGTCATTCAGAGGGGCCATTGAGAGAAAAAGACTTTCAAAGTATACAGGCAGGGTGACAGATAGGAAACCGTTGATGATTAGGGCATTGCCTTGCTTGCATCTCAGACAATGCAATGAGACAGAAAATGTGAACAGATATCGTCAACCAGTGATCAGCCAGAACAAGGTTACTTGAGCGGTTCCATGTGGAATGTGACTTTGCTTTCGATCAGAAAGCTGTGGTACATGTAGCAGTAGATGGTAAAAAATTTTTAATGTCTGACTTGAGGCCTCGATTTCTTCCGTCTTCGTCATGTTTCGTCAGTTTGTGTCACAGCGATATGGAAATTTTCAAATGAGGTCAGACTTCTTCTACCGTCACATGACTTCCCAATATTCTTCATGCATAGCAGCTTTTTCTATTAACCCTTGTTTTGCTTCTAGCTCATCCTTTAAAATGCTTCAACATGGGAATCGAGATAAATCACTGGCCCTTGGATTGCCAGGCTTTTCGTGTCAAACTTTCTCTGATAAAGTTTGCATCTGGACTTTTAATGTGTATACATGTACATGTAGCTTGGTTAGTATCAGCGGGTTGGATCGGGTCAGTTGGAATACAATGTTGGAAACATACATGTATGTCTTACAATAACGATTATACTCACGTTCCAGATAGCGCGGATGGCAAACCAAATGACCAGAAAGAGGAAATAAGGTTGACTGGCCAGGCCCTGCAAACACAAAGAGATCCAGTTATCCAAACCATGAATCAGACTGTCGATTCTCAGGCCCAGTCCAAGCTCAGCAGCTGTGGCGAGGAGTAAAGCATGGATCTATGGAAGGTGGCCATGGTGGCTCCAGCCAGTGGCTTGAAGAGGCTGACATGTACACTATACCAAGAGCCGTGTCTTTTGGATGCAGCCTTTATTTGGCCAGAAAACAGTTGGGCTCAGCCATTGAGTTCAGCACCGTGAAAGTTTATAGATGTAGTTCGTTGTACACGTACAAAATCAGGTACCTGTTACCTGAAAGTTGGCCATGCTTCACGTAGATGGACTAGTTTCAGAGACAGACAGTGCTAGAGCAACATGTACATGTACTGGTTAGTCCATACATGAATGCCCTATCCACAACAAAATCCATTTACATGACCAAATGCTTTCTTATGTTGGCATGTACTGCATTCAAGAAAACACATATCCTGCCTAGAAAAAGACTTCTGCCAAAAAGAAAAGTTAAATAGGAGCGCATACCGGTACAAGGGACATGTACACTGTATGGTCAGTGGCGTAACTCTTGGGGGGGGGACGTGCCCCCAACAGAGGCCCGCGCCCCCTCCCTTTTGAAAGTTTGGACAAAAAATATATATAACTGGCTTTCCAAATCTGTGTTTCAGCTAGCATTTACAATGTACATCCATTTATGTAGGTAGGCATTTAGACAGGCACCTAGTTCAACTATTTTCAGTGCCCCTGAAAAAAAATTGTGCACCCCCAGGTGCCCCCTCAGCTGTAGCACTCTAGTTACGCCGCTGTGTATGGTGTACTGTATGTACATGTATGTACATGTATGTAGTTATAAGTAAATTACCTGTAGCTGGTTCTCAGTGATAACTCCCAGGTACACAATGCAGCCCAGCTCAATCACAGTCCCAATGGCGATGACAACGCTGAAGAAAGCCGCAGACCCAGGGCTGTACTGTAACGCAACAACCACGCAATGCATTCGAATCAATATAAGTGCTTCTTTCTGTCTCTTTTGTTTGTTTTTTTTTACCAAAGACTCATCCTTGGGCGCTGCAAAGCCAATAGCTGTTTGTTAACAAGCACATCCCCAAATCACTTACCAAGCTGAGCACTACATGTACTTATAATCCTGCCCATGTATTATTGCATGTGAAGGCACATGCTCAATCCACTCCAATTGAGCCTGACCAGGGAGTACATGTGTGGGAAAATTAATTACACCGTACATGTAACTACAGTCATTTGCAAAAGTTTAAGACCACTTGGAATATTATTGGTATTTCTGTCACTGGGCCTGCATTGAATGATTACTTAACATGGTTTACTGTGGTGCATAACATCAGTGTGATGTTACATACATGTGTACATGTACTTGTCTGAATGACATTTTTTGCAAAGGCAGGTCTTGTATGACTTTTGTCTGTAAGGCAGCATGAGTTAAACAAGGCCAGAAATAAAGGAGGGCACACTAAATATTAGACTGTTAGCATTTCAAAACATTGAAATGAAGTGAAAAGCTGTTTGACCAAGATACTAAGGTTACACATTGGAATTAAATCTACATATAAGTTGCCACGATTGATTGGTTTGGGTGGTCCTAAACTTTTGCAAATGACTATTTCATCACATTTTCCCTTTTCACCCCACTCTCTCCACATTTGTCTAAATGTTCATTTGATCACATCCTTTTAATGATGACAATGTTTCTTGTCTGTCTGTCATCACCTGGTCATGTCTGTAGACTGCTTGAGCATTTATGCTCACTATTTTGGTTCGCTTGTGTGAATCTGAGAAACAAATGATGGAACTTACGCAAAATGCTCCAATGAACATGATGATGGCGGCCAGAATCATGACAACCCCATGTAGACCAATCAGGATGTAGGTCAGAACCAAAATGGCTGCAAACAATCATAAAAAGGATGACATGGTCAATCCCAGGTTTCTCCCTGATCCTTCAGAATCCACCAATATGTGTTCATGGAGGATTCTCCTAGAGTTGCAAAAGCCGGTATACATGTACATGTACATAGATGTGTACATGTTCATACATGTAGTGCCTCAATCACAGTTAATTTATATTATGGCTTGAATGATGCCCACTGAGCAAATTGTTAACAAAATACATGTACTGGTAATCCTAAATTTCTTGTGTTCTTTCAAGGAATCTCTCCCACATCCTCCAAAACCTGCTACACCTGTTAGTTTCTTTTTATTTCACCCTTCCTCTTTACATGTAAAATCACAGGGCCTTGGATCCAACTTCCCCAAACCTTCAAAACCCAAAGCTTTCCTTGTGGATTATATAGGATCTTATTTGGCACGCTAAATATTCTTGCACAGGGAGTTAGGAATGTTTCTCACAGAATCCATGCATGTACAAGTATATTGGGTGTCTTGTTATAGGCTTGAACAAAATTTTGCAGTTTGTTTCCTTTAAAACCAGCTTTTTTGTGTGTTTAATGTTGCTTTTTCGTCGTTACATGCGTTTCTGTTTGGATTTGTGTACATGTGCAGTGTATGATGGATTATGGAAAGGAACCAATATTCCCAGTGAGTTTTTGGATGACATTTTGCGAGAAGGAATTCATAACCCTGTTGCCTAGAATCACGGTGAAGCAGTCTCCAGCCAGAGACATCAGTATATCATCAGTGATGTGATTGGCTTTGGAGCCCAGCATGTGCACTCGAGCAAATGAAGTGGTGAGGACAGCCCATGCATGTACTCGGTATGAAAATGGGAGTTTTGCTCCATTAGAGACACACCGTTACGTCTATTCCTGTGACGTGATAATCGGCAGTTGGCAGTTGAAGGAGTTAATGTGTTGTGTAAGGCGTGACACTCCACTCCAGACACCCTGAGTTTTTCAGGGAATGTTTCTCGAGTATTTTCAGGTCTCTGTAGCTGGAATCTCCATCAGAGTGGATTGAAATTCCTAAGGCCTTGAATTACTCTATCAGATAATGAATAGTGTCAGTTCTGATTACATGTATGTCGGATTAAGCCATTTCCATCAGTGTACTGAAAGCCTTATTAATTTGTTATCGTGTGACACTTCTGTACACTATCCAAATACCGCTGTGAATTCACTTCAGAAAAACGCCTGCAGGAATCTTTTCCGCAGTCCTGGCTCCATAGTGTACATTCTCCAATTTACAGGTATGTGACTGCCGATATGCAGCATTGTGACAACTGTTGACAGGATGGTCTTCAGAAATGTAGGCTTGTCTGTCCACTTCAAGCCAACTTGTATGCATTTGTGGGGTGTACAACTTCGGTTTGACATGCATGTGTGTGTTTTTCATCAAATTTGTTGAAAGAAGCCTGAGGGTGTGAATTTGTGAAATTTAGGTCGTTGTAGAATTCCCTCCGGGGTAAATCGTGGCCTGTTATAATGCAGAAAAGCTGGTACAGTGCTGGGCAGTGTCATATTGAGACACTGTTCAAAATAAAATCACTGAAATCAGGTGAAACTGTCAGAAAATTTGGAACTCTAAGTACAGTTTCAAAATCTGAGAACGTGCCATTAGACCAGTTCAGGAGACAAATGAATACATGTACATGAACTAAACAGGAAATCTTGCTTGCCAGTAAGTAAGCAAGTTTGTACTATGGTAATTCAAGAACCAGTCGTAAGCAATACATGTGCATACAGTACGTTGTAATACATGTACATGTAGATAACATTTTGGTCGGTAACTTTTTTGCCAAGCAAATATTTTCGTTGCTCAGCAAATCTCTGTGCTAAGCACTTCTGTTAATTCCGGCCCTTTCTAACTCCCCTTTGGTACCACACCAATTGACTGTGTCAAAAGAAACATGCCATGTTGTTTTTTTCTGCACTCCCCATTTACGTGCAGTCTGTCCATAGTCATGCCGCCAGACCACTGAATGATCTTTTTTTTTTCAAAAGTTAGTTATGTATCAGTTCACTCTGGGTTTTAAATACATGTTGCAATCACTCCGCTTTATTCTCTGAATCAAGTTGTTGGAGGAAAGTTTCATCCTTTTTACATGATGTATTCAGACCTTGCCTTTGGCTGTTGAAACTACTAAACACCTTGTCCTGGCCTCATGAAATTTTTGAACTTTTTTTTTGCAGGAGAAGAGTTCTATGTAGAGCAAACACTTTACTGCACTCCAGGTCCCAGTCGGGTTAAAGTACAGTACCTTTATTTTCCCAAAGTATGTGGGATGTCTGTAACTCAATCATCTTTGGACATGTTCGACGAAACATCGGCATACTGTACACTTTTTTTTCTCATTGTGTACTGTCATTAAATGTTACACATTGTTAAGCTATTGTCTGTAGCAACTTACAGGTTTGTTGGGCACTGCTGTCAAAGCTGCTCTCCCTCTGTAGAAGCTCAAGGAGTCCCCATACATACAATAGGGCAGTGGCCGCTGCCACCAACTGGAATCAAATCGAATCAGTCGAAAACAATCAAGGCAAATCAAATCAAGGGGAATAGTTTCATATACAGCCACCAGTAATTATTCCCTAAAGTGACCTATTAGCCGTCAGAAAGCCAAAACACGTCCAGAAAAGTTCCACTTAGAATTTTTCAGAGCAGTTCCCAATATTCGGAAGAAATGTTGGGAAGAATTTCCAACAGGACTATCACAGTTTTTCGAGTGAGGTGCATGTAATCATGAACAAGTTTAATAAAAAGGATGTCTCTTAATTTAGGCAGGAAAGAGGGAGAAGCAGTCTTCAATACAACCACTTTGTACTAGTATAGATGTACCTGTAGTTGGTTCAGATGTCAGATTCAATAATGAGCAGGCTCGAGTATGTAACAATTGTGAAATTTTTTTCTTCAGTTTACATGATCATCAGCATATTACACTTGATCCCCAAGGATGTGTAAAAAGTTATCCTTTCAAACATGGAGGACTGAGGCCTGTTAAGGTTGAAGTTTGGTACATTGTACATGTATTGTCCTTCCAGTGCCATTTGTCTGGCACACCCTTATCCACGTCCTCATTGGGCCCTGACCCCAACACAATTAATACCACTGTGGCAAAATGAATTTCGCATATTCCACTCTCGGCCGCCCACAGGCACTTTACTCCTCTTTCCCCCCTACTCACCAAGAAGAAAATGGTGGACACAAGAGCTCCCTTGCGCAGGGACACGCAGCAGAAGCAGTGCTGGTCCAGAATGGCCATCTTGAGTGTTGTCTCGGTCCTCAATCACCCACAAAGATTGACAACCTAAACTGCCTTTCCCAAAGTTGTTTCACACATCCAGGAATAGCAGTTCACCTGCGCTCTGACGCACTTGCACAATATGCACCACTGCTCAGAGTGCACTGTGAAGTCACCACACAATCCACAAACAAGGTGTTGTTGAAAAGAGCCCCACCTGTTATTCCTTCCCCATGCTGGGAACAGGTTTTAGTCATCGGCTGGAGAACGTTTGAGTTTGTTCACTCACCCGCTTCTACTTAGCATAAGAATAACTTGCACTAAATGCCAGTAAAAGTGACATGTGTACATGTACATTCTTGTGTATGTACATGTACATGTACGTGTAAGTGATCAAATGGGCATGCTCTTGGGGACTAAGGTTTCATAGCTGCCTATTTTTTCCAGATGTTAAGAATGTCTCGTGCAATGGTATAGGATCCTCCTTAATATTGATCTCTCTTTTGAGATGTGTCATGATTTTCAGTGGATCTCATCATCACCTCAAAATCATTAGCATATCACCATGGTTGAGTATTCTCTCTTCAAGTTCTGAAACGGAGGAAGACACCTAAATCATGCTTTGTCATAATGTTACACATGGCTTTTTGTGAATGGAAAGAAAGCATAGATGTATGTGCGAGTGTATGTATGAGCCATCGCTGCCGTTATAAAAACACGTTTGAACTCCTGTTCTACCAATTGATGAAAAAGTCTGTGACTAATAATTTCACTGCAGAAAAACTTCTCGTCAATGACAGCTGTGGTTCATTTTGATAAAAATATTGAGAACTAAGAAAAACATTCACAACCAAATATTGTCTGTATATACAGTTGCTTTTTCAGAATTTTAATTAACGTTTTGTGTTTTTGTTTCACGCAGGCACAAATTTGGGGTTTGTGTATACATGTAGGTTCTGAATGATCCAGCACCCTCTTCATTACTTTCCTGAGGCTTGATGTGGCCTGCATCATGTTGAGACAGACTGAGGAGCTGAGCGGTAGCTTGGAGAGTTTGAACCAGCTGGACATGCACGAGAAGCTGGAGAAGCATCAGAAGAGGCGGCTGAGCTGCCCACAGATCGCTTTCACCTCCACCCTCTTGCCGACCACGCCCACCCGCAAAAAGTCCCTGGTGGAGGACTTGGGTGTGCAGAAGGTGGAAGAGGAGACTCTGGAGGAGTGCAAGGAGGCGGAGGACAACGTCTTTGCGGAGGCCGTCGAGGCGGTCCTGCAAGAAGGCTACGAGAACAACGGCGGGTTCGAGGATGAGGAGGACTGTCGCAAGCACACAGACTTCTTGCTCAGCGTCATGGAATCGCAGCAGCGGAAGCGGCGGGGCAGCTCCAAATCACACTGGGATGACAGCGAGGAAGGCGACACCAAGATCGACGAGGACGTGGAGAACGACATGGGCAAGCGGATCCTGTGGGCGGCCGAGAACAATGAGACGGAGATCGTCAAGGAGCTGCTCGCCCAGCAGGCGGCGTTGGTGAACGCCTTGGATGAGGACCGCTACACGCCGTTGCACCGCGCCGCCTACAATGGCCACGCCTCCATGGTGGAACTGCTGCTGCAGCACAATGCCAACATCAACGCCAGGACGGAGGATGGCTGGTGCCCGCTGCACTGCGCCTCCCGGTGGAACAACGCCTCCGTCGTCTCTGTCCTCCTGCAGAACGGCAGCGACATCAACGCACAAACTAACGGCGGCCAGACTGCTCTCCATCTGGCTGCCTCCAACAACGAAGCCAAGGACTGCCTACAGCTGCTGCTGATGAACCGTCACATAGACACAACCATATTAAATGCGGCCAATGAGACAGCCTACGACATTGTCAAGAGAGTTGGCCGATTGTCCTACTTGTTTGAGATGACAGAGGACAGCATGCAGCCTTCTGGTAGCTGATGGTTTGTAAAAGCAGAAGAAGAAAGTCTGTAGGGGGAAGTGAATTGGAGCCAAGCTCTTATCATTGTATATATGTGTATTTAAGTGCTTATTTATGTACAACATATAAAATGTTAAAACATTCAAACGTAAAAGATCACCAGCTTTCATCGGGCAAAAGGTCACTACATTAAAGTGGTTAAAGAATTTGCCCATATTTTGACAAACTCAGGTTAAATTTCTGAAAGTTTCAGTGCTTTTTATGTGTAAGTTCCAACGGCCAACAGTGACCTTGATTTTTGTCGAAATGAACTCAGTCAATTTGCTCCAGGCAGGCTTACTGTAGTCCTTGTACTGTACCTTGTCTGCAGCCTAGAATAACATTTCGCTGTTGCCATAGTTAATTGGTCAGAGAAACTGAATTGCTTTGTCATTCCCGACAGTTGTCATGAACGCCGCACCGGACAGTCACTAATTGGTCAAACTTTCATACAGTCCGAAGTCAGTTTACAACAAGCTGTCTGCGGGAATTCTTGAAAAGGCATTCCTGCCAGTACTTTGGTGTGTTTCTGCCTTATTGTCAGTATTAAACCTGATTTGTAGGAATAAATGACCTGTGATTGGCTGGATAACAATTCGATCCGTTTCCCTTTTGCAAATGGCGGACCTAAACTTAGTAAGTAGGTAGAAAAAAATCCTGTAGTACCTGTCAATTTTTTTGTTCGAAAGTTGGGAAATTGGGGATTAAACACAAACGTTCCATGTTTTATTTTTTTACGGGGTCGGTTCCATGACTTCTGTTTAAACCATTTTGAGCTGTGCAAAATCGTTTTGCCAACACAAGTTGTTTTATCCAGTTACTGTCCGGGAAACTGGACCAGCCGATTTCATTTTCCCTCACACAATCACAAATTCTCCAGTATGGATTAGTCATTTGGTTTGTTTTTATGTTCTCCGTGCACTGTGATAATCACCACAGTCCACAAATGCGTGTAGAGGTTGCATCTCAAGTGGATCCCTGCTTCCAAAGGTCGCCCTGCCCATTCCATTTCCCCCCTAAAACCAAAAAAGGGTTTGTTCCAAATGATGTGTATTCGTCTGCTGAATTAATTTACCCAGATAAGTTGATGTCTTTCACTGAAAAGGAATGGCCATGTGTGCATTTTCTTGTACGATGCAGCGGTGTGGTTTTGTGAGAGTATTTTGAGAGTATTAGGGGGTATAATGTTTTGAAAGTCTTCCTGGAGTTTGTAAGATTGCCTTTCTAGTTGACATGCTGCAGAAAAAGGAAGGCGGGATGTGTTAACAAGAAACATGTGCAACGGTTAACAGGGCATAACGTTATTGATGGACAAAGAATACAGCGAACGGCAGTTAAGTTTAGCTGACGGAGAGGCAAGTATGTTTTTACATACAAGTTCATGTACGTGAATGTTTAAAGTAGCCAACGGCCTTGATTTAGATTTCACGATTATCCAACACTGGCAGATTTTTTCTACGGATTTGTAATGCGATTCGGTACATGCATGTCGTACATAATTTGCTTCCCGTGTCCTTGTACCACAAGTTGTTTGAAAATTGTACGCCTCTGCAGGACCTTTTTGGCATGCAGTACATGTATGTTGTCGCTGTCAACCCAGTGGATCCGTTAATCGCTGGATTGCCATACGTGTAAAATCCAAAAGTTGTGCATCACCTGCACCAGTTGCCTAGTCTAGTCTTTGAACTGTTTGATGTATGATGTCAGCGTTGTAGATTAGAAAAGTTGCAACTTGTCAAATATGAGCAGACAAAACTCACTGCAAAATAATTATGGTTTCAAGTTGTCCAGTTAGTGTAGTTGTAATCTTGGTCAAAACCAAATTTGTGTTTATAAACTCATATTCGCGATCTCCATTGCAGTGTCATTAAATCATTCTCCAATCTTCAGCTTCTTTACTGTAACCCCATTCTTTCCCCACCCCACCTCACCCCGCAAAAAAAGCCAGAAAATAAGATTAAAATAGAAACTGAAAGGCCTTACTACCGGCAGGAGTCGCTACTTCCTGTAAGGGTCAATAAAATTCAATTTAATACCACAACCTTTGAACAAAAAACGCATTTGGGTCTCGACCTATTTCCAGTGTTTGTTTTGCTATATTTTGAGGTATTTGGTTCCTCTTGATTATTTCATGGTATCGCTAATTTTGAAATTCGTACACTCACTGTGATGCCCGAGTCAATAATACACGTAGAAAGGAAAGCTATGTACACATGTACATTGATTCGTGCGCAAAAGTCGGCCGCATAATTGATTTTTCGATTCTTCTAGGTAAATTTCGTTTTCTTTGTTGATCCTTTGTAGGGTTTTAATTAAAAGGCTGTAAGCTAGTGAACAACCATTTCCTAGAAGGACTTCACAGTTTGAACAGAAAATCAACACACTAAACTGCCCAAGAAAAGTTCATGGCGTTGTCTCGTTAAGGACAGTACAGTTCCCTTCATAATCTTTAATGAGATATCAGTAGAAAACGGGGAAATATCTAAGGCATCATTTCTGAAGAGCCACGCCGAGCAAGAATGTCAAAAACAGGCGTTTGGATACCTAGGTTCGTGCATGTATGTTGCAAAGAATGCACTTTTATTAAAAAAAACTTAAAGGCATGTAAAATTAAAAGTATTAATCACTCATTACTTATGTGAAACTTTGAAATGAATTATTAATACTACTTACGGTAAAATTATCTTTATCATTCCAATCACCAAATGTGGGAATCGGCCTTTTTGTTGCCCGACAAAACACTATATAATTAAGACAAAATTTCGACAAGAAATCAATTTCGAAATAGCAGCTCAACTTTTTTTTTCTCCTCCCGCCTTTCCCCCTCCCCTTCTTTAATTGAAGGAATGAAAGAACAGCCGGTGGTGTGGTTTGACGTTTTATCCTCATCCAAAGTTTTGCTGATGAAAGTACAAAGTTAAAAGACTTACTTGTATATGAAGTATACCAAATGTATTTCCGTTAAAAATACAGGTTAAAAGCAGAAGAAATAAATGCTTAAACCAAATAAAGATCTGGAAGGTTTTTATTGGTGTCGATTTCACGATGTAATTCACCATATTTCCTGTGATTGTTTTAAATTTTTGATAATCAGTTTTTATATCCCACATGTCTTATTTCTCAATTTCAGATTGCTGTGAAAGTGTAACGAAAGAAAGACATGCAAAATATTATTCCAAACCACAATTTCGAATTCGAATTTACGTTTCTAAGCAAGTAAACGGAAGTCATGAGTTTGAAAATTATTAAACTTTGAAACCATCAAAACTGCTAACCCCATCTAGAAATTATGACGATTGAGCGAAAACAAACTGAAATTACCCAAAAAAGAAAAAACTGTTTTAAATCCGCAACATGTTGTCACGAAGAAGAATCCTTAGACAAAAGAGAAGAAAGTAAAATTTGCATAAATGGTCAAACCTGATTGCTTAAAACTTTGTTGTGCAAAATTAATCGACCATGTGGTGCAGGGGGGTGGAAGTTTTTTCTTTTAGTCCTGCACGTGCGCTTAAACTAACAACATCTGTGATTCGTATTTGACGTGCGCGCCCGCGCATGTGAAACACGGGGATTGGCTGACGTCCGCAGTGGGTGGGGCGCTCTGTCGAAGGAGGATTTACAGCTTGGACGCGTATACTACAGGAATTGTGATAAATTTTCCCCGGTCTCGGTTAACCATGCCCAATGTACGTAGTACGGCTAAGCAGAAAATGTGCTTGGCAATGAGCCAGCTCGGAATTCCAACAGTGCATGCCCAAAATGATGACGCCCGAAGTCATTCGGGAATTAGCAACGCTCCTGCGCGAGGTCTTTTTTGAAATACCGAACGGGCTCACTTTTCGTAGTTAGCCAAATGCGAAGGGAGCCAGCTGTACAGTCAATTATGCCCCCATTGTGACAGTTTGGTTGGTAAGCTGTTTCTGTGGCACAGCACAGCAAGATTTTTTTTCTTAGTGAATTTCTGTTCCTCGTTGCTCCATGAAACTGAAGCTGAATTCGAAGGTTGCGACTGTGGCCGGGGAAAATGGGCCTCGGGATTTCTGGGGATAAAGCATGTGTGGGAAAATGGCTTTATTGCTTGTCTTGAGAGTAGACGAGCTGCCCTCTGTTGAAATGTCAGACTTCACATTCCCTTTGACAAATCTTACAAAGCCATATCAAAATGGAGATCACGGGGATGTACATCCTCACTGCTTATGTTATTATGTTGGCATTTTGGCTGGCTTACCGCTAAAACCTAGCATCTGGGCTTTTGGGTCGGCGTCAGAGCCTTGACGTTGAAAAGGCTCCGCAGGGCCAAGACTTGACCCACGCCTGCTGATATGATGATGATAGCCTGAGCCACGGACCAGTACAGGATGTAGTCTGCGTTGTTGGCCATGAATTCCTCGTCTCTCTGCGTGGTTTGACGGAGTATGAACTGCTCGCGGGACGCGCGCCACAAGTGTTTCCATGTTCTCATGAGAGACTCCTGTTTTGAATGGAGGGAGATAAAAGTTGTATATGATTCAGACAGGGAGAGGAAAATATCTTTCAAAGGAGTGTGAGATATGCGTAAAGGATATCAGTCATAGGATACAACAGATGCGACCGGGTTGTATGAAATATGCACTTCTTATTCTTTAAAAATATTTTGCTTGTTCCTTAATGTATACCCATAAATCTATTCATTTTTTTCTCTTGACATAGGGGGTCCCACTAATTCACAACTACACATTAATATAGACGCCACGTAGGAAAAAAGGGGCATTTTTTTAGGGGCGTGATAATTAATGAGCCTCGAGCTTGACCAGCGCAACTTTCGTAGCAACGGAGGCTCCTTAAGTCAAAACTGAACTTCGCTGGTTCACAAACCACTGTGAAATGCACGCATTATGGTTGCATCACTACCAGCAAACTGAACTCTCCCAACCAAAAATTGCTCCTTTTAACCGATGAGGTGGTGCTTCTGCTCGGGTTGGATGACCCTAAAAAGATGATTCACAATCAACTCTGTCAATACCACATCACGATATTTTGCTCTTGCGCCAAAGTATTATGCATTAGTGTCATCCACACACTCATACAGTGGGAGAAAATCAAACAGAAATTGAAATAACTAATCCCTGTTTAAGAATTTGAAAGTAAATTTCTGCTTGGACAATCTTGGGAAGAATGTTCAAATTGGAAGGGTGCTAGCAAGAGATTTTCAAGAGTAAACTGACCGACGCATTGCCAAAAAGAACTTCCTTTTCTTCTTTTAGCCGAAAGTACTCTCGAACTTTGGTCTCTTCGTACATGTCGATTGCCATCGAGACCTTCTTAGCATAGTGTCGAGACGCTTGATTGCTGAAGCAGATAGTGAATAAACCTGAAAAAGTGAGGATAGAAGTTCTCAACGATGATGTTGCGAAATCACAGTTGTACATGGTGCTGAAGTTATCTTGAGCAGTAGTGGATTACCGGGCCAAATCTATTGTGATGTACATCTATGTGACGAGACAGCGGTTTTAACGTGAATTTTGCTTTGCACATGATTTTTTGACGTAGTGTGTTCTGCCCAGAGGAGTTTACAGAATCGGCCTCCAAGATACGATCTTTTTCGAGCTGTTGTCCATGTCATTTTGAGCAACTGTTGTCACGTTATTGTTTGAACTCCAGAAAAAAATTGTACTCTTAATGGGATTAACTTGTTTATTATACAGACGCATGGGATTAGTTGAAACGCATCATCATTGCCTTCGCTAGTATAAATATTATCCAGTATTCCTGTTTACAAGGTAGTTTTGGGTTGTGGCTCTTTGGTTTGCTCTGGTTTGCTTTCTTTTTCTTGGGGGAAGGGGTGAGGGCGGGTTAATACTGGGTAGATAAGTTTTTCTTACCATCATAGTGGGCTACCGTATTAAAATGATCTGCCAGTTCTTCGTAGGATTCATAGAGTCTCTCTCCTCGGTCCGACCTGATGATCACCCGTAAGTTGGTATTTACATCCTGACTGGTGGCCTGATTGATAACGTACAAAAGGTTCAGAGCTACTTGTACATTTAACGTTTTGTGCATTGTTGAAAAGCAAAAGAGAAAAAATTACTCTTGAAAAGAATGAGTTCTTTATGAAAATCAAAAATCAATCCAAAAGAGTGAAAATCACTCAAAAGAGAGTCTTTTACAGGGCCACTCTTTTTTGAGTTGTCTTTCATATGGCTTCTTAGAAGAGGAGAAATTTTATTCTTTTGGTATGGTTTTTACTCTTTATAGAACATATTATCTTTGTAAATAGTGGTTTTTAGAACTCTTTCTGAGAGTGGGGTTTTCACGCCTTTTCAGGTAGCGACCTTGCATCTTCATCTCGGGTTTGAACGTGAGTGTTTATCCGACCTCCATCAATTACATGGCGTCTATGTCAGAGAAGAAGAGTTAACCTTCGCACTACGGTTACTGTGACTAGATTGTACGTTCCCGTTGGAATAAAAAAAAATTAAAGGCGTCCATTTGTGTTACCTTCAAAGTCCATTCAAAGTGTGTGGTTTGTGCCGTCCATGTAGGCCCTTACCTATTATACACACGCATGTCCTTTATTCACTGTTTGAAGCTTGCATTGTTCAGTATCTAAGGCAATTATTTATCGTATGTAACGCTTCAAAACTTGGAATAAATATGAAATTTGGTCAGGATTAGACGCCTTGCCAACCCAGTGCCGAATTCAGACCAGTTGAATTCAATTCGGAATTAGTGCACTTTGCACGAATGCTTGTAGTCAAACATCTCTGACGTCAAACTGCAAATATTCCTTATACTCAGTATCCAAGAGAGCTTTTGGATTCGCTGTCGAAACTGCAGTTAACGTTCCTTCGACGTTTCGAGTTACTGCCAGATTCACGCTGAGCTCTTTTTCAACGAAATTTGGCACGTAGATGGCACAACGTCCAGACTGCGTCCAACACTTCAACTGGAAACCTGTATCTGCCAAGCAACGCTTCCATCGCTCTGTGTTAAATTCATGCCTATATCAGACTGGCAACTTACATAGTAACCGAGGTCGAACTTCATGCCTGTACGGACTCTTTGGAAGAAGCACTCCTCCTTCCCAGGCTCGACGACAATTTTTAGCGACACGCTGATCCACGGCTCTTGTCTGTCCACAGGGTCAACATATTGGTGATGTTCAATCATGCTAAGAACGCACCAAAACAAACTTAGAATCAGGAAAGTGTGAAAATAAATTGAACAAAATTGGCCCATGGTAATATGATAACTTGCTCTAGGTGAAACGACGGTGTTTTCCTGAAACAAAAATTGAAAATGAAATCAGCTATACGTTCAGCCCATGTTGCCTCGTCGTCTGTAATTCATTAATAACAGTTTTATGGATATACACGTGTACTTGTATTACAAGTAAATATTAATACCATATGGCCAGTACCAATTATTAGTGGCACATACCATTTCACCCACAGGGGGGTATTTGATCAGTTACTAACGACCTACCACTGTACTGCATTATTGTTTTAGATTGTCTAGATATAACTGGGAGATATCAGAAATCGGCCTATCATCGTCCGTGAGAACGCGCATATGTTTGGCGGTCTAGTACGAGCAGGCTATTTGTTAACGAAGAAAGATAGGCCGTCTCCATATGCATCAGAAAATTACCACACGGCTGAGCGATCTCATCCTTGAAGAACGGAAGAACGAGTACGAGCAATGAAATTTAATACAATCTCCAAAATACATATTTGTTTTTCATGTGGCCTCATTTTCAATGTCTCTTTCTCCATGGCTTTTTTTTAATGACTTTTGTCTCTTAGGCAAATAAGCATTTCCATATTGATAAGCAAAAGTATGATGTCATCCCAGGAAGGAAGCCTTGATGTCACATTAATTTATGCACAAGAAACTACTGCGTTTTTGAACAACATTCTACTGGCCAGATTTTTATTTTCTTAGACGATTCATAGTTGTGTAAGTGCAGAGCAATAAGGAGGCAAGAAAGCCTTTCTCAGAAATGTCCTCACTAAAATTAATTAAGTCAAGGTTCACTATTTCAACAGAAAACCTACCGGTATACACTGAGCCACGTCTTCTGGTGTTGGGCCAAGATGTCAGATAGCGATGGTTACATTTGTTTGCACACCTGTTGTTGTATCTTATCGTTTATTATGCCCACAGTCACTTCTTAGGAATCTGCCATCGATGATGGCGTAGCTTTCATGTAAATTAGACTGTTGGAGTAAATATTAATATCCTCGCACAAACAGTGGCTACCATTAGATAACAATGGTTGCGCGCTCGGAATGGTCACGCTGTGTATCTTATTGGTCTAAATAGCGTGCTTGATCACCGCAGTTCAGTTCTGCACGAAAGCCGTACTAGCTTTGATTACAATTACCGTAGCTCAACTAAGAAAGCATTTCGCAGTCACTGATATACAGGTACCCGAGGAAAGCATATTGGGGCAAAATAAAGGAAAGGTTAGTCCCGCTCTTGTAAGATTCTCGAGACATCAGTGGGAGTATGCGTACTAGTCTAGTTATTGAGTCATACACGTGGATGGACGCCCCAAGAGTTGCAGGCTCCCATTGGACGATCGCTGAAGTTGCGCGTTAACTTCCGGTGCCATGGTTCCACCGTAAACTGCGATTGATGCATAAACGCTATGTGCAGTGCATGTGCGACGGGCGTGGTTTAAACTGAAGTGACATCTCACTTACGAACCGGACAGTCCTGTTTGTTTGTGTTTTTTTCAGAGGAGCACCTGGGGGCACTCCGGGAATTTGTAATGGGGCCCCAGCCCCCCCCCCCCGCTACGCCACTGTTGCTACATTATTATGGAATTCAAAACTTCTATCGCCAAAACATGGGTGCTTGATTAAATGGACAGTCGATTTGGAACCCACGTGGTTTCGCATAACTGCGGTACTGAGTATGCAGGGATTGCGCCGCAATCAGGCGTTACTGTCTGTTCTTTGACTTCTGTAAGGAGTGCAGCGGTTGTCTCCCTGCAAAAGAGAGACTTTTGCAGGCTAGAATATTTGAACCCTCACTTTTCAAAAATTGTTACAAATTATGATGGTAGTCGATCATCTTTCCCTTCCGCACTTTTTCAGGGAGAGGAAAAGGAAAAATTAGAAAATGTTATATGTTTTGTGCCTTGGTAAAAATTACACATAAGTGTAAAAATGGATTACTATATAACACGGGGCGACAAAGTCAATAGTTAGTTTCTTTTCTGTACAGAATATGGATTACCGCTGTCGAGTGTCACAAGTTCTGTCAAGTTCCAAAACACAAACACGTAGCAGCCGCCTGATGTTATTTACTGTGTCCGTTTATAGTGGTGAATGAGTATCCAAGGTCAGCCATGCCTACACAGCTTCCAACGTACATGTAATATTTACAAACGAGTTGAGGCGCTACAAATTGCCGGTGCTCTATGGTAATGGCGTTCGTGAAAAGTGCAGTTCTTGTATGCTTGAACGTGGTACTTACCGTGTACTTACCACGACTGTGGACCACGAAGAGGCCAGTCATCACTGGAGGCACCGTGCAGGCCGGATTCGAACCGGTGGCAAAACTGTTCAGGTACCAATAATATACCTCTTGTGAGTATGTGGGTTTGCTGATAGTCCTACACCCCACGGTACTGTGCTATTGGACGAATCAATCTCCCCCTTAAATGGGGGGACTCGGTTAAGAAGGAGCTCTGGTTGGCAATATAAGACCTGGGGAAATTAGTCTACGAACGTGCGACTAACATACACGTATCAGGCACTACAGCAGTAGGATGTCCTGTATGCCCACCTACGTTTTCACTGTTACGACACTGTCATGCCATATCGCTGAGTGCCGAACATTTTTAAACAAACGTGATAATACAGGTCGATAGGCTTCAATGTAAACTTAAACCACTAGCTTTACTCTCAGGTGCGGAATTTGCAAGAAAGAGTTCATTCAAAAACTGAAATCAGAGCTCAAATTCAGTACAAACAGAAAATTGAACTAAAGTAAACTCTGGGTTTTGGGGGGGGTTTTTGCATTGATGCATATTGTGCTTAATTTTTTTCTGTATTTTTCACAAGTTGAAGGTCTCTTCTTTTTCATTATCACAAACGAGAGCAGACCTTTAACTTGTTAAAAATGCGAGAAAGAACGTTAAAGCACAAGTTGCATGACTAAAAGCAAAAGAATAGAGTTCACTTTATTTTGCTTCTTTTGTTTGTACGCTTTGGTTCTGAACTGAGGAGGCAGGGCAGTCATCTTTACACGTGATAAGCGCGTTGGCCTCGGTTTCGGTGCGCTAACCTTACCGACTTGTGAACAAAAGATGTCCACTCGATGCAGGAAAGGAAGACGTTCTGTGGACTTACACCCGTCCACAGGATATTTCTCTTTCTCTTAAAAAGAAGTTTAGAGGCATTTTTGGGTAGGGGTCGTCGTAAAAGGAAGAGGAATAGTCAAGGAAACCTTTTCCAAAAGCCAACTGAAAATCGTGTTCCCAGTTCAAGAAAAACAAGTATTTTACGGAGTTTTCTCAACTGCACGATAAGAAAGGAATGCCCACATTAGATATGTAAGGTAATTGGGGATGTGTTTGCTCGGTCGTCTGTGTTTCTGGATAAGCTTAGGCGAAACAGAGTGTTCCCACTTGAAAGTTGAATTGGGAAAAGGTGGATCTTGATTATCCGGCATTTTGGTGTAATCGTTATCTTACCGCAAGTCGCGTTCCCACTTTACGATTCTTTACGTGTGTGCTTTTATGTTCCCGCGGTGCTCAGTGGACCGTGAGCCCCCCCCCCCACTGGCTTCATAGGGAAGTGCAGAAGTAAAGTGTGACGTCATCAGTAAAAAGGGCTATTCCATTGGTCAGTCTGTGGTTGTTCTCATGCACTGTTCAACAGCGAGTGATTAAATGTCCCTTACCCATAAAGCTTGGAATCTTTTGCATCTCGTTGGGATTCCACACTTGTTATCCAGTAAGCAGCTATTTGAGAGTAGTCATAATTGCTGACGTAAATCTTTCCAGGGAAAATTTTGAGAATGGTGTGGAATTTTCTACCGGTGGTTCAGCCTACGCGGTGTATTACAAAGGGACAAAGGTCGTGGATATCTGGGGAGGCTACGCGGATAGTGAGGCAAATCGTCCCTGGAAGGAGGACACCTTATCGGTGCTCTTTTCGACGACAAAAGGCGAGCATTAAAAAGGAAAATGTTTACTTCTTATCATAAACTAAACATGTCTATATGTAGTGTCTACGAACAACCATTTAAGTTCAAACTGGCCTTCTATTGTTATCCATAACTGCACAAGGCTGCCGCCAGGTCCTACATAATGCGTCCGTGAAACACGACCAAACGATTTGACTTGCGACCTCTTTCGAGTCAGGTCGTAATAATCTAACAATGAATGGGCTAATGTAACAATCGTGAAAGGGACGTTTATTTTGCTCTGGCCGTAACCTACGGTTCCACTAACCCATTACAAAAATACTCGTTTTTTGTTAACCTCGTCAGGCATCACATCACTATGCATGCTGGTACTAATCGATCGGGGTTTGATCGACTTAGAGACAACAGTGGCGTCTTATTGGCCAGAGTTTGCTCAGAATGGCAAAGAAAACGTCACAGTGCGCATGCTCCTCAACCACCAGGTACGCCTCATACACAGGCTCTGGTCGAGTTTACCTGTACCACGACTCTTACCGTAGCTACAGTGGGAATGGGTGTAACGCCAATCAAAAGCATTAATTAAAGTGGAGAAAAACAAGTTGCAGTTGACCTGAGTGAAGTGTTTAGCTTATCAAACTCTTCTGTACAAGTGCAAATCCAGGAGTGACCAATGGGGGCCATGGCCACCTACCCACCCCCAATGTTTCTGAAAGATAATGAGAAAAGAGGCGATTGTTTGGTCTGTTTCATGTCTTTATCTTCCAAAAGCGTGTAAAAAGCTCCAAGATGCAGCCTCACTCCTAGAAAGGCCATACAATGTTACATAAAAAGATCGACGTTTTTGCCTTTCATGCTCAAAAAGCAGGTTGCCCCGCCCCCAACAAATTAGTTCTGGATCAGCCCTTGCTTCTGTATGGAACATAAAAGGGTTGAGGTAGCTTGAATAATTATAGCTATAACTCTCAAAATCGCATCGCTTATGGGATAACAGCTCCTCAGTTGAAATTGTTAAATTGCTTAATGTTCCCGTTGCAACTTCATTACTTCCGGACATAAGTGCAAAACCTCTTTTAGGAAAGTACTACCATATCCCCACCAATGGGTCCAAAGTCGGCCTGGTATTCCTCCTTGCTATACTGCGGACCAATGTTCTCTTTCATTCTGATCAAGGCCGGACTTTCGTACACCAGCGAGAAAGTCACCCTTGCTCTTCTGGAGGACCAGGATGCACTAGGAGAGGTCTTGGCACGGGCTCCGCTTGTATGGCAGCCGGGCACTGCTCATGGATACCATTCGATGACGTTTGGTCTATATGCCAGCCAGCTCTTGCGACGCGTCGACCTCAAGCGCAGGACGCTGGGCCAGTTTTTCAAGGAGGAGATCGCTCAGCCGTGTGGTAATTTTCTGATGCACATGGAGACGGCCTATCTTTCTTTCTAAGGCTAGTTGCGCATTCAGTGCTTATAAGCGTAAAATGAGATCTAAATTAAAACAGGATCTTAATTAAAGTTGGCGTGACATATTCCTTAAATCGAGGAGCGTGTTCTGTCAGTGACCTTGCATAACGAAGATGATACAGATCAGCGTGCAAAACCTTTTAATGTCATACTCTAAACCTCAGTTTAAATGTAGACGTATACTCTTCAAAATATCCCGATATATCGAAGGTGTCCTCCCTCTTCCTATTTGTCTCATTTTGTTTTGATCCCGAACAGACCTGGATGTCCACATAGGTCTGCCCTTGGAATCGTTTCATCGAGTAGCGCGGCCCACTGGCAACGCGGTCAACGTGGCGCTCGCACTGCTGTACGGCCTGACGACAAGCCCGGTCAACCGGCAATTGCTGTGGGCGATGTTCTTCGGGGAAACCGACCTGCCTCAAATCATCGAATCGAGTGGGGATACAGTGGAGGTAAACGTCATCATTTGCTGACCGGCACGTTTTACCAAATCTGAGTTTTGTTCTGCCATTGGCTTCAAGAGATATTAGGCCTATACCTGAGCTTGTATCATTATTATTACTATTACTTGCTCGAAGGACATTCAAAGCTTTGGAACATTAGAGTCATAAAGGCACAGTCAGAACGAAGCCGTGGATTAGATAAACAGCTCAGGTTCCACTTACACACCCAAGTTTATGAACAAACCAAGTACGGTTTCGGGCTTGAACAGGCATCACCCAAAAATGTGATCCCTTTTCCGGGAAACTACAAAAGTACCAAAAACAAGGTGATCTGCTCCAACATGTCTAACCCACGTTATTCTTTGTCCTCCATAAAACCTGGATATATTGCACGAGGTTTCGCAAACACTTTTCCCAGTTCAGTGCTTACCAGCGTCCGGAAACGCTAGCCCTGGAACAGCCGTCTGTGTTTGGTGTCGGCACGGCCCGGGCTGTTGCAAAAGTCTACGGCATATTGGCCAATGGAGGGCGGACTAACGACGGTCACAGGTTGCTGTCCAGTGACATCATCGATAGGATCATCAGCGAAGCCAACAGTGACGGGTCGCGGGACCGGACTGTTGGAATTGTGACAGTCTTGAATTTTGGGTACTTTATTGGTGAATTCCAGGTAGGTCTACAAGCAAATTTCTGTGTTTTTTTAAACACAGCACCCCGTCAGCGGTGAAAAAGCAGGAAACTTCATGCGAGTTTTTGTAAGCACTTACTGACATAAAAACGGCGCACGTGCGCACCAAACTCTTTTCATGGTTTAGGCTGTGAAGGACGCAGTGCGCACACTACTTTCTTTGGCTCTCTTGTGGATATTGTCTTTTCTTGACAGAAATCGGCCATTTAGATTTGAAAACCTTTGCTAATGGTGCACTAAATTTCTCCCCCGCAGGGCTCACCGCAGTTTGGGCACTCAGGGGGCGGAAGTGTGCAAGGGCTGGCCGACCCTCAACAGAAGCTCGGCATGTCCTACGTCTCCAGTTACAGTTCCATATTCAGCCTTACTGACGACCCAAGGTTCACGTCTCTCCAAGAGGAAACATACAAGTGCATCAAGGAACCAGAGAGCTAGCAAGGTGCTAGAGCCGAAGCCATAAAAATTATACCAAAGCTATACCAAAATTATCGCCTTTGTTTAAGCTTCCAAAGCGCGAGCGAATCAAATAGAGATAATTGATCAAATCGACTTTAGGAGAATTGCAAAATGTCAAAGTCTATTACACACGACAGATGCTTACTTGTTTTGCCTGTCTGCAACCGATTGCAACGGCATCACTGAATCAGGACAATGTTCTCCTTACACTGTTTTAATCATTATTTTGCCTGAAGGGTTCACCTCAGATTGGACATCCGGGGGCCGGCGGCATGCAAGGCCGTGTTGGACCTCAACGGAACTTCGGCACGTTTTACCTCTCAAGTTACGACTCTCAGTTCGGCCTGGGCGACGACTCAAGACTCACCTCGGAACATTCTGGGCAACAACCTGTACTTGTGTATCGATGGGCTGGTGGCTTAGATGGAGCCTCACATGTGCTACAAGGTGTTGGTATTCTGGCAAGTTCTGCGATGCGCATGTTTCGCGTCGATGTCAAGTTTGTTTCACACTCATATCTACTACAAGATGGCGAAAATGCGATGTTTGATATTATTCAAATGTAACGTGTCCAGAACACGAAAATGTAAAAAGTAACCACCTGTGGAAATTAACAGACGTAATTCAAGAATGGAAGCAATGGGCGTTAAAAGCAGATTATTAACAATAATAAACCTAGCATTGGGGATTTCAAGTTGTAATACCAACGTGACAAACATTACCAACTCGTTTCTGTCCTGACTGCAATTGTTAGTTTCTTATGTGAAGAGCGGCTCATGATGACCTGTAGATGACTTTTTTTGTTTGTCTTTGTAATAATATTACTGTTCAAAATATGGCAATTTTTATGCTTTGTCACTGGCCTTCTCTTAAGTTAGGCGAAATATATTGTATTGCTTTAAAAGTGTATCTGTTTAATTTCTGTGTGTTATTTTGTGATGTTAATGCTCATGACCTTCGTTTTCTGCGTTACTTGAGCCCCAGTCAAATCAATAGATTTTTGCTGATCCAAAGGGTTTTTATTCATGCAATCCCTTCCGCGAACATTCGTGGAAAGAATTTTTTTTAATACGATCAGACGATTGCAAGTAAGGAGTCAAGACACAAAATACATAAAGGTATGTTAAATTCAGACTTTTCAGGCTGCACATTTTTGTTGAAGAGTCTTTCAGGATGACTCGACACGTAAAATCAAAAGAAAAATAACGGCAATTACTGCGCACTAACGTACCTGCGGTGGTCGTGTATCTGCATGTGCAGTGCGCGTGGTTTAAACTGAAGTGGCGTCACACTTACGAACCAGACACTGCATGTACTGTGTCGACTCTGCGGGCGCCCGCGATGAAGTTCAACACAGAGAGCCTCAGTTTCGATGCGGATATGCGCAGACGGCGCTCATGTGAAATTCCTCTATTCGTTAAAGCTTCCTGGAGGGTAGTAAGCCCTTTGTAATGCAACGAGTTTTGGTCTCCTTTCGGTACCGTGAAGCTGTTATATAACATCTCTCTAACCTTTGTCCGCCCCTCTCAAATGGAGATGTCTCAGGCTAGATATGGCGTTTCACGTTTTAGGTCGTTAAGTATGCCTAATACCTCCATGGCCCAATCAATATTATTTGAATGTTTTAATTCCTGAAAGATGTGAATAACCGCTACGAGGTTCAGGTAATATGATCAGGTGGTCACAGAGACTGCAAGATGCTTTTGCAAGACCTCGTTCTGTGCAGTACATGGCACTCAATCGCCTCTCAAAATGCAGCAGCCGTCAGTTGTGTATGGGCAAATCCGCACGAGCTATCAGATCAGGACAGTGCGCAAATATACTTTGTGTCCAGCCAAATTAGCATATTCTATTCAAAAGAAAACCAGCGGTTATCAGTTAATAGCTCCATTGACAATATGCATGAAGGCCCGCATTGATTTATGTCAGAGTACATGTACATCGCAAGCGCTCGATTCACCATATTGACAGAGCCTTCGAAATGACGGTCACTAAAAGTGCATTCCTAGTGTGCGCAACCGCCATATTGACGGTATACCTGCCGCAGCTATGGACCACGACTCGGCCAGTCATCACTGGAGGAACCGTGCAGCCAGGATTCGAGTCGGTGGCCAAACTGTTCAGGTACCGTCCTGCAGGAGCACATAAGTCAGTGGGGGTCAAAGATTCAGGACTTGTGCCTATGCCATATACTCTTTCGGACTTTTATGTCTGTTATTGCAATTGCGAGCCTAACAGTCAATATACACCCACATTGATCTGTTGACAAGTTATTATGGCACCCATTCAGGAATGCTTGAGAATTATTCTTATGATCTACTGGAGCTGTGTAATGTAAAAGTAAACTTCCAACCTGAAGTTTTCATTTTATATACCAAATACTGCGATAGGCCTCAAGCTTTTGGCACCCATTTGGGAATGCTTGAGAATTATATTCTTATGACCTACTTGAGCTGTGTAATGTAATAATAAACTTTCAACCTGAAGTTTTCATTTTAAATATATAAATACTGCGATGGGCCTCAAGCTTTTGTGAAAATAGAGACAGATTGACACATGTATTGTTCTTATATTAAGGGATTTACACAAACGTACGTGAAAAGTGACATCGACGTTTCATTTGTTCAGGGAGAACTTTGAGAATGGCGTGGAATATTCCACTGGTGGTTCCGCCTACTCGGTGTATTACAAAGGGTCAAAGGTCGTGGATATCTGGGGCGGCTACGCTGATAGCGAGACAGGCCGACCATGGAAGGAGGACACCATTAGTATTTTCTTTTCAACAACAAAAGGCAGGCTTTCAGATTGTGCTCCGTGGCCAACATTCGTTTTGAAACGAAGCTGATTCAGTGAAAACAGCTAGTGGGATGTGGGTTCACTTCAGGACAGTCGAGTACGTATCTGGGTCTTGGGTCGGGGTGGAGTTTTTCCCGAAAACGACAATTCGATTTCTTTCAATTTCATCTGTAGAAAGATCCTCAGTACCCTCCAGATAAAGGTATATCGTTTCTTGAACGTTGGCGTTTTCAAAGCCATAAACTAATAATGACCATAGCTGGTGGTCGTCAAAAACTGGCTGATGGTTCGGGATCGAGTGGCTTATTCAATTTCACAGGCCGGCGCCCTCTGTTGCACAGGCTTGCCGATAGATATTTTTAGGTCTGAAAGTAAGCAAGTGGTCAAAAAGTAGCTTGTGATGTAAAATTAGCAAAGGGTTTAAAAGGTAGCTTATGGTTCGAAGCAACTGGTGGTCGAAACGGAGTTGGACGTTTACTCCAGCTTGTGGTTTAAAAAAGGGTGGTGGCTGAAAAGCAGCTATTGCGCGGACTGGTGGCCTCCTCTGTCTCGTCTGTAAGTTATTCCATCTTTTGGTTAAAATGTAGCTGTAGTCTTGAGTCGAGGGTTGGTTTTTTTTCCAAAACTGCCCAGTCTTTTTTTTTCCGAAAAGAAGAATACTCAACCCAAGGTTGAATTAAATTATATTGGTACCATGTCTAGAATGTTGGCTCTATCTCTCAAAAAAGTCAACATGTTGTTGGGGGACTGCCCCCCTCAGGCTGCCCCCTCCCGCTCCGCCCCTCGCTGGATACTTTTCGGGACGCTTATGCCAACAGACGCAATGTGCCCTGTGCTAGTTGCCTACAACCTTTTATAAACCCTTGTGCCCTGATAGCTACAGATCTATCCCTACTAAAATGGTCTTAGCCTGAACGATCTTCAACCACCAAGAGGCGCTTACAATATCATTCCTGACTTCTGAAGTAAGCAACCAAGAAACCCGAATTTATGGAGATCAGTTGCAAGACGCCGATTAGTTTCAGCCCATTGCCGTCTAAAACTTACTTCTTTTCGTTTCTGTTCGAAAACATACAGGTATTGCAGCAGTTTGCATCGCTGCTCTCGTCGACAGAGGTCTCCTTGACTACGACAAGACTGTGGCTTCTTATTGGCCAGAATTTGCTCAGAATGGCAAAGAAAATGTCACAGTGCGCGAGCTCTTGAATCATCAGGCGAGTTGTAATAGAAAATTTTCAGGCAGACATCAGTTTGATTACATCAGATTCGTTTGAAATAGAAACTCAGACGGTGAGGAACGGCTTGCACTCTACGACGAGAATGACATCGATTTCTGATTCTATTTCAATGAACTCAGGCTGGGCTGTCCTACACTCATGATAAACTCACCTACCCTCTCACGGCAGACCAGGATGCGCTGGGCGAGGTCTTGGCGCGGGCACCTCCAGCTTGGGAACCGGGCACGGCCCACGGATACCATGCTCTTTCGTTTGGTCTGTACCTCAGTCAGCTGTTGAGACGCGCTGATCCCAAGCATAGAACCATCGGCCAGTTCTTCAAGGAAGAGATCGCTCAGCCATTTGGTAAGCCACTGAAGACCTCAATACATTGTCAAAATAAACTTGGTGACAGTATATAAAGTTTGCTGAACGAGCCAGATCGGTCTTCTAAAAGGGCATGCGAAATGAAGCACATCCGAGGTCATTCGGTAACAGCTAGCGACACACGCACGCAAGGTCTGCCCTATCAGTATGGCCACACTGCAAGCCGGCTCGTGATCATGCTTTGCTCCCTAGTGACCTGAGGTTTACCAAACTGGCTAGCTGTCCCCTCACTGTCATTCATTCTCCCTCTGTAGTGTCTGTAGCACTGGCTGTACCATTTATTTTCTGTTGCTCTCACTCCCGTGTAACCATTTTCCAGTGGCTGATTGTTTTTGACACTGTGGAAAATAAACCTTGCAACTCATTTTCTGTCCCACAGATGTGGATTTTTACATCGGTCTACCGCTGGAGTCTTACCATCGGGTTGCACGGCTCAAGGGCGACACCAGCAGTGTGCTGGTCACGTTGTTGAAGGGGCTTACCAGTCCCTCAAACCGGCAACTGCTGTGGGCCATGGTCACGGGCAAGAGTGATTTACCGAAAATCTTGGAGGCAAGCGGGGACACTGCCGATGTAAGCAACCTGTTGACACTTTTTGATAAAGAAAGTGAACATTGGAAAGAGGATGTTACAGATCTTGCAAAGTAGATCGAAGCAACCCCTGAATATATATGTCTACCCAAATCTCACGAAATACTTTTCTTCAAGAGTTCCTAACGTAGCTCTAGTGTGATGGTTAATTTGAACTACTTTCTTCTTCAGTGGACGTATTCTGTATTGTTTGTTCAGTCCAGTACTTTCACGAGCCCTGAAGTTCTGACCCTTGAACAACCGTCTGCGACCGGCATCGGTACGGCACGAGCCGTCGCCAAGATTTACGGGATCCTTGCCAACGGAGGGCAGAGTGTAGAAGGTCAAAGGCTGGTTTCCGGTGACATCATCGAGAAGTTCCTCAGCGAGGCCAAGAGAGACGGTTCCATAGACAGGACTATTGGCTTGGCAACTGTCGTTAATCTGGGGTTCTTCATCGATGAATACGAGGTTGGCATGTTTGAGTGGATTTCGCACACATTCGCGAATTAAGACATTTTCACATTGAACAGCTTAAACGTTGCAGCTATTGGTGCGTGCATAGCCGCGATGGTTTCGACTGTAGGTGTGAGTCGTCTGTGCTGGCGGTCACTGCAAACTCGCACATAGGCCGAAGGACAGTGTCAACTTCCCATTCAGCTGAAAGTTGGCATTTGCTTAATTTTGCCATTACTGCGAGCTGCCGACTCCCATCTTGAATGCCATATGCAAAAACTACTTATCTTTCATTAAACTGTACCCATTCACATTAACCCCTTGAAGCTGTTCTCTCACAGATCTGCTGCATAGTCATTACCGTGCGTTCATTGATTTAAATTGGTAGCTTTTATCAATAAACAACTCGGCAAGAGACAGACACGAAGCTCAAGATTGCAGGGGATACCAATTAAAACCTTTGTTTCGCAGCTGATTCATTGTCAGATTATTATTAATATTGTTTCATCGTAGGGTTCATCGCGGTTTGGACATCCAGGGGCCGGCGGCATGCAAGGCTGTGCCGATCCTCAACGAAAGCTCGGCATATCATACCTCTCCAGTTACGGCTCTCAGTTCGGCCTAGGCGACGACCCCCGATTCACCTCACTCCAGGCAGCAACGTATGCATGCATCAATAAACTAGAGGCCCAGAAGTAGTCGTTAAACTGTTTCCACGCTGGCATTTATGCTGCAAATGTTTCGTGACGGCGAATCGTCAACGCATGCGCACTTGTGCGACATACGAACCGGCCTACAAAAGGAAGATCAAAGCCCTCTAAAATTTCTACCAAAATTAATTGAACTGAATCCGTTAACTTCGTCAACAAATAAATGAATGATTTATTCAATAACAATTCGGGAAAATGATCTTATCAGTAAAGTGACGACATTCACGGTGTTAGCCATTGAAATATTCCTATCACAAGCAACTGCATTACTTTACAAACTGCAGTTTACTTATATGAAAAAGTGATTAAACGAAATGCATTTTCTGAGGCAATGGATGCCCACTCATATTTTAATTTACGGCTGAAAAAGTAGAATAAATGTGTCATTTTAAAATTTAAAATCGGAAATCTTGTTGTCTGGTTTGAATAGGCTACTTCAAATGGTGCGTGAAATGTAATTATTTTTTTTACTAACGAAGTATCAATAGTTGAAACCATTTAAGGCAGACCCTTCTACATCGTTTCGATATCGTGCCTCAATTATAGCTTATTTCGCTATTTCTGGACATTTTTGAGCTAACGTCATCACACGGAGTATCTACAAAATCTCTTGGTGGAGCTTCACGGCATAATAAAAATCAAGCAAGATGAATCTGGTCACGATGTCTTTTCCTCGTGTATAAATGCCACTTGAAGCAAAGCGACATTACCATTTTAGCTAAAATCTCTGCATAGTTATAAAGTTTGCTTATTATAACATGTTAGAGGTATGGTAAGATGTTTCTTTAACAATTTTAAGCTAATTTTTCCCTTGCAATAAAACAAGCTGTGGATTTAATTTGTAAACAAAAGTGGACACTTTTTATCACCTGCTTTGAGCATAGGCACCCCCTCATCGATTGAAAGGAGTCATGTTGATAGGGAGTGTCCATTTTGTTGGTATCCATGCGACAGCAATGCAAGTATTTCAAATTCGTTCGTGAACCAGTGATGAGGTGCAGTTCAATCATCACCCACGTGCAAGGAGGATATACAATGTACGTCACAACTATGAACACGCAAAGCATTGCGTGTTACTTGCTGTCGCGATCAACGGTGCATGTGTCATGTACACAAAGGCTGACCTTGTTATTGTTCAAATGAACTCTGTACAATGAGTGTTCGACAAAAATACGTTATGATTTGCCCTTCTGCCCTATGCAGATGCTGGGTGCGGAGCGAACGATGCAGTGCACACCAAATGACCCTCAGTCACTGGGAAACTTGCGCCTTCTCTTTGGACCACTTGAGGAGGACGGCAGCGACGTGCATTCCACTAAATCCCTAGATTTATACGCGCGAGATCATTAATATTTGTTGTGTTACTTTCGAATGTTTTTCCAAAATGTCGACTCGCCGGCAATGGCACGGTCAGAAAAAAAGCTGACCAAATGCATCTGCTTACTTGAGGCTTCCAATCCTCAACTACTCTGTTACCACAAACACACGCTGCTCAGTTGTAAGCTGCATTTTGCTGGTCTGAGAAAATGAACAACCATTCCAACTGTTAAGGAGTGTGCAATGAAATAACATGCTGAGGACTGCACAATGGTTTCGAGGCCCAACAAAAGCCCTGCACTGAGCAGACAAGGTTCTTTGCCAAAACATTTCTATCTGTTGCAAGAGCGGTTATGACACAGTTGATTGAACTGCTTCGTGTTCAATCATCTGTGATAGTAAATTGGCTTTATTGGTTTCATACATAAGAAAGAGGACATCATTAGTTAATAAATGGTGGTTGCCAATTTCCAAAATATTTGGCCATGTCCAAGAAATGAAGAATCAATTTCGGTTTCCTTTTTTTTAGGTACTGTATTACTCTAATCGGTACTTTAACAATGACAGTTGCTGAGACTTGAGCGGCCGAGAAAACTTAAACTGTCTGTAAATGCTTGCAAAAGACATTAATGCAAGCGAATGAGGGAATTCTGAGAATGAGACCCAGCAAGGTCACTAAATACAAAATAATACTCCAAGCGTGGGAGTGAATATTTAGTTTTCGGAAATGTCGATCATACAATACTAAATCATTGTGCAAGGCTACTTTGTATAGTGTTCTATACTGAGCCGCCAAATGTGCGTCGCGTCGTTCCGTCTCCCCGTCACCACGACGTGACGCCACGACGGGACGATGCGACGGCAAGACGGCACGACACAATGTATTAAACACAGCATAAAAGCAATGAGAAAAGAGGCGACGCCACGACGCGACGGGACGACGCAACGCAATTTTGGCGGCTATAGAACACCATAACTTTGACCTAGCCTTGCTCACTTCACGCCTTACGATCACCGACACACCGTTGAAGCTTCAAAACGGACGTACAACGTGGCAATTGCAAAACATGGCTTTCATAAAATGCTAAATCATTGTGCAAGGCTACTTTGACCTAACCCTGCTCAGTTCACGCCTTTTCGGTCGACGACAGACCGTTACAGCTTCAACGGTACTAGTGCGTGGCAATAGTAAAACATGGCGTTTATTAAAACTGCTTTTCTTGTGTGTGCGACTGCGGTATTGACGGTATGCCTACCGCAGCTGTGGACCACGACTCGTCCAATCATCACTGCAGGAACCGTGCAACCAGGATTCGAACCGGTCGCCAAACTGTTCAGGTAATGTGTTTTATCAGTTCGTCCAGCGAATAGCTACGGACGGTCTATAAGTACATGTATATGCACGTCAGTGTTGTTTATTCCGGGAAAGTCTTGCACATAGTCTCAACATGCAGAAGTTAACGCCACAGTCAACGACAGTCCCGTGACTTGCATGTATTGCTCCAATTTTCGGTATGTTACACGTTCTACTGGAGTGATTCCACATTAAAGATTTTGACCTTTAAGTCATTTGCGCAAAAGGATCTTAGGGGGGGGCGGGTCCAGAGGGCAATCCAAATGATCAATCGCACAGCAGGGGCTTTTGCGGGTGCCTGTCAGCTTTGCAGTCATCTATTGTTACAACGATAAAGGACATATCAAAGTTACAAGGGCAAGACATGTTACCCTATCATAGCCACTGAGATCCATGCTGGAGAAAGAGGAGGAAGCAGAAAAAATCAAGAATTTTATAAACTGTGGTCTCATTAGTTGCCAGCGGACTGTATGTACATCTGGCCAAAAAGCACCTGTAATCTGCACTGTGTGGATATAACCGATGTACGTCACCCATAAAAAGATTACCGGTAACTTCTGACCTTTGGTGCGTTTATTATCAACTGACGACCATTTTAAAACAAGGCAAAGCTGTAAGTAAGGAGATAGTTGAATATCTGGAGATGTTTTTCTTTCCAATTGTAGAAAGAAGGAAAACTAGACGGGGATGTGGCTAGGGGGTATTTTCTAAAAGCGATTTCGACCCTGTGCTACTGTCGTATCACTGGTTGATGTTAAGGAGAATCATTTGTTCAGGGCGCATTTTGAAAATGGCGTGGAGTATTCTATTGGCGGTTCTGCCTATTCGGTGTATTACAAAGGGTCAAAGGTTGTGGACATCTGGGGAGGCTACGCTGACAGCGAGGCAAATCGTCCCTGGAAGGAGGACACCGTGGCTGTTTTCTATTCCACAACAAAAGGTTGGTAATGAGATGGAATACTCACTACTAATTTCCTCTGTGAGTACATAAGTCGTCTCCTTCACGAGTTCTTGCAGGACCTTTTCATGTCACACGAGTGAACTCACGATCAAGCTAGTCAAAATGTAAGTTTCTCAAAAGGCCCGAATTTTAGATGCAAGGACGACATCAAACGAGATTACAGAAATGATAAAACATACAGACTATGCAAGGCTGTGATTTGACAATGAGAAAACACTTCAAGCGTACAGATACAGTTTAACAAAGGTTGCCAATGATTAGGTATATGTCCGCCGGTAAGAAAGATCCTGCACAGGCGAGGACTAGGGCAGGGCTCTGCGACGAAGCATGACTCCATGGATGGCGAAAACAGTTCTTCAGCCGGGTGCAAATAAGGCTGAACTGTGTAGACTCAGTCCTCAATGTGCCTCTTCTTCCGGCTATCAGGTTGAGCTCTCCAACTCTTCCTCAGTCACTCAAGGCGGACTTCTGCCAGTGGCTCACTTGCCAAGCCGCAAGCAGATCAACGAGTGATGAAAAACGCGTTTATAAGGTTTACGGTATGTCAAGTCTGTTGGCTGGTACTAGCAGCTAACTTTATATACAGAAGGATCCTAAAGTGCTATGTCTCTGCCACTTACAGGCATTGCAGCTATTTGCATGGCCATGCTTGTTGACAAAGGCCTCCTTGACTACGACAAGACTGTGGCTTCTTATTGGCCAGAGTTTGCTCAGAATGGCAAGGACAATATCACAGTGCGCACGCTACTTAACCATCAAGTAAGCAGTACAACTCTAACATAGTTTTGGCTTCAGTATAATGCTATGTTTGTTTGTAAAGTAAAATTAGGCTACATTCTGGACGCTTAAATATGTACTTTACTTTTCAACGAATGAGTTAAGACTGGGTACTAGACTTTGCTCGTGAATTTCGATCGGAATAGGTTGAAAAAGAACTCCTTCTGGTGGAAACTCGATTGAAATCTCTAGGCATGAGAAGGAAGACATTTCGACCGAATTCGTCTTGGGGGTCTCGAGTTTTGATCGGAAGGAGTGAATTTTCACTCTTTGGAATTTGGAAAGTACAGATACACTGTAATTGTTTTCTAATTCAGGCAGGCTTGTCCTACACTCCTGAGAAAATGAGCCTCGCTCTCCTGAAGGACCAAGATGCATTGGGCAATGTCTTAGCGCGGGCTCCCCCGCAGTGGAAGCCGGGTACGGCACATGGATACCATGCTATGACGTTCGGTCTGTATGCCAGTCAGCTGTTGCGACGTGTTGACTCGAAGCACAGGACTCTGGGCCAATTCTTCAAAGAAGAGATTGCCCAACCGTTTGGTAATACATGTATTAGGTGTTTTCGCATCCATGTGTGTTCAGTATCATTGGTTGTTATTTAATTGGATTTTTGTTTATTATGTACCGATAGTCTTCGTTCCCAACTCAGTCTAACTCTCGTTCAAACTGATCCTACAGACATAGATTTTTACATCGGTCTTCCAGTGGAATCCTTCCACCGTGTCGCACGACTAGTGGGACATTCCACTAACATCATGCTGTCACTTCTGAAGGGGCTTTCCAGTCCCCTAAACCGGCAAATGATGTGGGCGGTGGCGACAGGGAAAAGCGACATTCAGAAAATTTTAGAATCAAGTGGGGAAACGTTGGAGGTAGGCTTCTACTGTGACGCTTTTTTATGTGCACAAATTATTCTTTATAGCTGCATGTGGCATGATCTCAACAATTTCCTGCGAGAGTTATATGACAATTTTCAAATCATCAAACTTGCTCTGTTACACCTCTGTTTAAATGTCCTTGGCAGTCCTGAACTGTATGAGGGTTTTCATTATTTTGGAAGTCTACGGTTTTTATTCTTCTTATTTTTATATTATTTATTTTACTTGTCTGTATTCTGTCTCTGATATTTATGCCAAATAAATTATTAGTAGTAGTATTACCCTTTGGGAAAATGGGTTCATTTCACACAAGGCGACACAATCGTGGCTTTGTAATGGCCAGGACCCACCAGGAACAACTTTTTTTAGTAGAATGCCGTAATAGCTCCAACCATGTCACAAGAATCACAAACAACCTCGTTTTCAGTGGTAGAGAGCCACAACCTTATTCACTGCGAGATATGACGCGTGTGATATCCTTTCCCCTGATGGATTGCTTCATTTGTGCACGGAACCATCAGGACCGATATGTTATTTAAGACTTGTTGTTAGGTTTAACAGTGTACGTGCGTCCGGGTTTTTATTTTTTATTTTATTTTTTTCGAGAAGCACTCCTCCCAATTTTCATATGGTCCTTAATCTGTTTACTGTCTCAAATTACAGGGTTTTTTGTAACCCACCATTCCAATACTAGGCTAGAGGCTTCTTAACTGTTAATGCGGCAATAGAGTAGTGAGCAATACAAATTACACAACTTTATCAAAGCCTTCAGCTGATAAAACGTGCACTATCATGGATCCCTTTAGAGTTTAATCATACAGTGGGTGAGGCTGAGGAATTTGTCAAACCACGGAGGAAGGACACAGAAGGAGTTACAACTCTGGAACATCGAAGTGCTCGATGATCGTCGCCGCCCGGTCAGACGAACAACAGTTAACATTCCAAAATATGCCTGATTACTGCTTGCAACTCGGCCGGACAAGTAGGGCCAGTAATATCCTAGCAATGTCTATGGAATTTGGCTAAGACTGGCCAACAACATGGTGACCATCACAGGACCGTAAAATTCACGAAACACAAAATTCGCAGTTTCGTTATAAGGAGTGATCATAAGACCTCATAAAATACCTTTTTATGCAAATTCCGTGATAAAATGATTCAAATAAAACACAAAGTCTTATAAACAACTTGGCTATTTATTCCCAAAATAAGCCCAGAAGCGCTTGATAAGGGCAGTAACTGCACATGAACACTTTGGGTACATAGCCTAATAAAACCAACTGCACAAGCATTAAATTTGATGTTGTTGTCAGATCATACCAAGCACCAACGATGGCATGAATATTCAACTTCCTATACTGCAGTATACAATGCTTTAAGGGTGCAGATTACCAGCGAAACATTGCGGCGATGATCATAGGGTACTTGTAAAGCCGGGGCTTATGGTTGTGAAACAGGTGGTGCGTAGCAAGCATTCGCCGCGCTGTGGCTATGGACATGCAGGGCATGCCAGAAAGCTAATTGGCCAGATAGCCCGGTTATTTCAAACTCCTGAGTCCTTCCTCCATGATCAAACATGCAACAGTTACCTCAGCCCTGTTTTCGAATGGCGGGTGCTGAGAGGTCGGTTCTTAGGCTACCAACTCACCACATGACTAATTTCGCTCAATCAGTCCGAGGCATTTTTGCGCCCAGAGACGCTGGCCCTGGAACAGCCGTCTGCATACGGCGTCGGAACGGCGCGGGCCGTCGCCAAAGTCTACGGAATTCTGGCCAACGGAGGGAAGACCAAGGAAGGCAAAACGTTGCTCTCCAGTAAAGCCATTAAGAAGATCATCAGTGAGGCCAAAGATGACGGTTCACTGGACAAGACTGTTGGCTTTGCTGCCATCAATAATCTCGGATTCGTCATCAGCGAGTACGAGGTAGGGTCAACACTTTTAAGAGGGTCTGGTTTGACATTGAAATTCAATAATTCCGTTTTAAACAATACTTGACTTACACCCTTAGTTAGTATTCTATCGGCATTAATGATAAAAATATTTTCGGCGATGCAAACTCTAATAGCCATAGCTAAAGTTGAACAATGTATTGATACAATCAGCTGAGCCTTGGAAAAGGTTACTGCCTCGTTAACACCGCCTCAGGTTTCCCAAAACGTAGTCTTATTTTCTCAGTCACGTGTGACACATGATGTTTTCAGAAGGCACTGTGTTTCACGTGAACCCCTATATCCTCCATTCTACTCTGCAGGCAAACATCCTGAAATAGTGATGGTGTAAGACATATTGACGCTTCTATGTGCAACGATGTAAAAACGCTGTCAATGTCAGTTATCAAAACTGAACAAAATTACACCACGAGCCGCTAATTCCATTTGAGTGGTCTACATGCTCGTTTTGTTTAATATCCCTTCAGGGGTCACCTCAGTTTGGACATCCAGGGGCTGGAGGCATGCAAGGCCGTGCTGACCCTCAACGGAAGCTCGGCATGTCTTACCTCTCCAGTTACGGCTCCCAGTTCGGCCTCGGCGACGACCCCAGATTCATGTCACTGCAAGCAGCGACTTACAAGTGTATCGATAAACTGGAAGCCTAGAAAGGAACGAGGCTGAATGGGCTGTGCTTGGTGCACAGGCAAAAAACGCAATTAACGAGCCGTTATTCGTGTACTTTAGATTTGCGCTTTTGCCCAGCCTGGCATGAGACACATAATGAGTCGCAAGAACCGCTTTGAGTCGATGCAAGCAAAACGAATAAGGCACAACGGGAAGATGGGAGAACTTCCGCTCAAAATATTTCTAAGCGCCACTTTGTTCAGTATTTGCTGTCATATTTGGGACCAATCGTAGATATATTTCTATAAATCACGAATTTTGGACTAATGGCTTTCAACTCGGGATATTCAGTTCCATACAACTCGAAGCGGGCCAATTTTGCATAGATGTGGGTGGCTACATTCATAGCTGAGTGCATAGTTTTACTACTATTTTGGGGTTGTTTTCGGAGGACGATTTTAAAAATGTGCACTGCTAACCCGTATAAAATTGAGAAGGAAACTAGACTCTTGGCCATAATCTTGAATTTCCAGTGAAACACAGCAAGGCTAACCTGTTATTTGTGAGAGTCATACCCGGTGCAGCGCTATTGCTGTCCGATTTTGCACTGTTTTACACACTCTAAAAATAATTGCACAATGTTGGGTAAAACTTTTACACTCTCAAGAGTAAAGTTGGAACATGGTCGCCAGTTTATTTAAAAATATTGCACAACAGGAAAATCTTATGAAACAACACATTTCTGTGGAAATATTGCACTCTGCCTGTGTTTAACTTTTTACACAACAGTATATTGGGTAAATGGTTTACCCCCAAACGACCATGTTCCCTTTTAATTAATAATTGAGTAATTTTTTACACATCGCCGTTTCAACCCAAATGCTGTGTTATATTTTTACGCATAAATTGTACTTTTTTAAATTACCCAATACCCTTGTGTCAAAAATCACACGGTTCTCAATTAATCAGTTATTTTCCAATTTGAATGTGATAAATTTAATCAATGAACAGCACATGAATTTTTTCCTTGTTTTAACGATAACCTGCTAAAAATAAACAGAGTTTTCAACATGATACACAACAGTTAATTTTTGTGTTGAATGTTGACACGTCATTAGTTCCACCAAGTACATAATGTGAGTAAATGTTCTAACTAAAATCTTGAATAAGGGAATAAGTATGTACTCGGCCAATGGACGCGACTAATGCCATCGCCTGCGGCTCGGACATTACCATTATGCCGTTATTAGACATGACAATCAAAATGCACCAAAATTACATGTACACAACTGACCACTTTAAGATTTAAAGACCGTTTTGTTTTTGAAAATCATGAAGTGAAATTAACTTGAAGCATCTCTGTCGACAAATTCTGGTTAGCAACCAGATCAAAACGGTAGTTTTAGTGAGCATGGCGATAGGATCCTTCGCTATGTTTTCAATTAACTCGGCGAGAAATGATAATAAGCCCAGACAGCTTTCACTGCCCCTGCCTTACTGGAGACGGTCTCAATATAAAAGTTCCATGATGCAGTTGCTTGGAGGGCATACTTTAGGCCCCAAACCTACAGCTGGTGGGTTTTATACCACAGGTTCAAAGCACCGAGGAGGCCACCGCACTAAGTTTACTGCCTGCCTCTCACAGATGAGGAGGCACCGTGTTGGTTGGGCCGTGTCTCCCCCTCACAATGGTCAAGATGAACAGTAGCGTCCTCCTCCTGGTCAGGTTGTCAGTGTAGTTGGTGACATGTTTTTCAAAATTAAAAAATTTATGAAACTACCCGCTTAACCGCACCGCGTACACATCGCGAGGAAGGTGGAATACACCCAGCCAATTACCGAATTGGTTTCAAGCCTAACCTGCATAATACGCCACGGGACAGGTCAGCCAGCGGTCAAGCCTATAGTTGTTGTGACCGGAGACATTTCTCTACTTCGCGACCTCCAGGATGTCCTTGCAACTTAAGTAAAATATACACGTGTTCCTTGAGAAAAACAACATGAAACCCTACATTCATTATGATGCTGTGACACAAGGAGTCTTCTGATCTCACCTTATTTGTGTATAGAGTGTGCATGCCAATGCCATCTGCTACCTTTTATAATCAGTCCTTAAATTGCACTTACAAACGTTCGTTTTCTCTTCTAGAAAGTTTTACACATGTTGTACGTTGATGCAATTTCCGGGGTGCGACGTGGAAACTGAGTGACTCGACAGTTTACGTACGTCCACACCGTATACAGAAAGTGATAATGTGGCTGTAACATAAAAGTTTGTACCAACTGGGCGCATTAGTGTGGCGGAATAACATTGCTTGAGCACATTGTCCCGAGTGCAAAGGTTTTTAAAAACTTTTACTTTAATCGGTGTTGCAACAGTTAACGATGCTGAGAGTTGAGCGGATGAAAAGACTTTAACTTCAGTCTATCAATTCTTGTCTTTATAGCTACGAAGACGGTTATAGATGAAATGACCAATGAGCCATTTTGTTATCTTATATTCAGTTTGCACTTCGCAGAAGATAATGTGGAATAAAAATAGAAATTAACAAAGACCTGTTCCTCTCTGCTGAGGGCGGCTGTTAGATGTATGGACATTAAAATCCACTTCGTAATGAAACGAGCGTTATTGAAGGAAGATAATGTACGGGTAGACATACATATAGCTCTGAAATAATTTTCTTTAACGATTCTGCCGGTCATTTGACAGTATCATTTCCATGAAGTTGGCCATTTTGCGATGCCCCGCTCGTTTACGCTACGGTTTATCAAACAGCCGTCTGTTACTTGCAAAAATGCAAGAGAGTTAGACCCAGCAAGGTCACTTAAATGCAAATACGCCAAGCGTGAGATAGGATATTCAGTTGTCCAAAATGCAGTTCATAAAATGCTAAATCATTGTGCAAGGCCAAGTTGACCTAGCCCTGCTCAGTTCACGCCTTTCCGATCGACGACAGACCGTTACAGCTTCAACGGTACTAGTACGTGGCAATAGTAAAACATGGCGTTTATTAAAACTGCCTTTCTTGTGTGTGCGACTGCGGTATTGACGGTATACCTACCGCAGCTGTGGACCACGACTCGTCCAATCATCACTGCAGGAACCGTGCAACCAGGATTTGAACCGGTCGCCAAACTGTTCAGGTAAATTAAGTTTCATTTAAGTTCATGCAGCGATTAGCTACGGGTGGTCTATAAGTATATGCATGTCAGTTCTGTTTATTGAGGCAAAGTCTTATTCACGATCGGTATGCGCGGGTTGATGCAGGACAGTCATGTGAGTTGTTGCTACAGTCTTCAGTGTACATTTTTCCAAGTTTTACTGGAGTGATTTCATGTTAAAATTTATCCCTCGTGCAGAGGTTCAGAGGCTTTGACCTTCGCCATTTTAACGCAAAAGCTCCTCAGGACGGGTCCAGAGGGCAGTCCCGAAGGTGCACTGACATGCTAGGCGTGTAGGCCTATGGGTTCAAGTGCGCTTTAGTTGTAGCGTGGTCTGCTTGACAGCCATCTATTGTTACAACCATAAACGGCATGTATATTGACAAGGTTACAAAGGCATGTCAAACTTATCGCCTTATTATAGCCAGATCCGTTTTGGTAAAAAAGTGGGCAGCAGAGAAAAACACAAGAATTTGAGAAACTGTGATTCATGTATCATTATTGGCCTTTTAATTATTACTGGTGTTTATATCGACATTTGCAGCCAAAAAATGGTAACCTGCTCTGTGTAGATATACGTCACCCGGACAAAAGATTACCACCATCTTATTTCGCTCATTTATTATCAACTGACGATCAGTTCCAAACAAACCTAACTAGGGCCACAAGTAAGGCGTAAGTTGAATTTCTTTTCTGCAGATCTTTTCCTTCCTCCTTAGCTAGGGGGTAGACAAACTAAACAGCCTGAGTGACGTGGCCACGGGGGGAAACTTCAAGCTATTCGTACGGCCGCGTGCTGTTGTCCGATAACTGATTATAATTGATGCTCAAGAGGTGTGAAATGTATTTGTCCAGGGAGAATTTTGAAAATGGCGTGGAGTATTCTACCGGCGGTTCCGCCTATTCGGTGTATTATAAAGGGTCAAAGGTCGTGGACATCTGGGGAGGCTACGCCGACAGCGAGGCAGATCGTCCCTGGAAGGAGGACAGCGTAGCTGTTTTCTATTCGACAACAAAAGGTTGGTATTGAGATCGAACATTCATTGCGCCTCTCTCCATAAGTGAGTATTTTAGTCGAGTTCTTCACGAGTTCTTGTAGAGCTTTTCTCACGTCACCCAAATGAACTCACGATCAAGCTATTGGTAACAATCCGAAAATCTGCAAATGATAAAAAGATTAAAGACTATGAAACAATGCGATTTGATAATGAGAATATTGAACACTTCGGGTTCAGGCAGGGTTTAACAAACGTTGGCCGTGATTGTGCTCGACGTATATAAGAAAAGAACTCACATGATGCGAAATAAGAGCATCTCACAGGCGAGGACTTGGGCAAGGCTCTGCCACGAAGGATGAGTCAACGGATGGCAAAAGCATTTCTTTGGCGCAGCAAATAAACGGAGCCATGGGGTGGATTCACCTCAGAGTCCAACAAACAGCCGAAAAGAAACGAAAACAGCAAGGGGCGGCAGCTGCATGACTCCTGCCGCGAAAATATGGAGAGTGGGATACCACACCATAAAATGAACTTTGTAGACTCATTTCTCAATCTGCCTCTTCTCCCGCATATCAGGATTTCGGGGGGGCAATTCATAAGCAAATGCACTTTCAACATAATAATGGGAGAAAAAGCCTATTTATTTGATAAATAAATACATGTGTGCCGATTAGTTTCTTTCCTACTCACCTATATGAAGTCATCTCAGTTGGAAAAAGACCCACACAAACAAATACAAAAATAATTAAATTGAATTTTGTAGTTTTTTAAGTTGTCCCCCCTCCGTTGGATACGTCACTGAGAAAAATCCCCCATCGCTCACTAGACAAGGCGCAAGAAGATCTACCAGAAGAGATCAAGACACGCGCTCGTACTTGTGACGTCTATACTAGCTTTTGCGTGCTGGTACCATCAGCTGCCTTTAAATACAGCACAATTCTAAAGTGCTATGTCTCTCTTTGCCACTTGCAGGCATTGCAGGTATTTGCATGGCCATGCTTGTTGACAAAGGCCTCCTTGACTACGACAAGACTGTGGCTTCTTATTGGCCAGAATTTGCTCAGAATGGCAAGGACAATATCACAGTGCGCACGCTACTTAACCATCAAGTAAGCAGTACGTTACGGACGTACGACTTTAACATAATTTTGGCATCAGTACTATGGTCTGTTATTTTGTAGACTGAAATTGGCTATATTCTGGACTCTATGTACTTTTACGGGCGTCAATCCCTGAGGATGGGGGTATATACCCCCCTTTTTGAGGTGGGGGATGGGTAACTGAATCATCCCCTACTTTATTTTGTGAGCCAAAAAATTAAAGCGTTGGCCCATTGCGACGAATTTTCAGGATTTCCCAACAGCTAAAATGTTTGCAACATCATTAAAAAGGGAGAACCAGGTATAAAAAGCCATAAATATACCATTTTGATGTAAGTTTCTGCATGAATTGGGTACACATTAGAAATGTACATCTTTATCATGAACATCGCCCCCTATATAGTGTGATATGGTGTCCCCCCCCCGCTTTTCAAATGTCCAAGTAGATATTTGTTTTCTAATCCAGGCAGGCTTGTCCTACACTCCTGAGAAAATGAGCCTCGCTCTCCTGAAGGACCAAGATGCATTGGGCAATGTCTTAGCGCGGGCTCCCCCGCAGTGGAAGCCGGGTACGGCACATGGATACCATGCTATGACGTTCGGTCTGTATGCCAGTCAGCTCTTGCGACGTGTTGACTCGAAGCACAGGACTCTGGGCCAATTCTTCAAAGAAGAGATTGCCCAACCGTTTGGTAATACATGTACTAGATGTTTTTGCATGCATTTTTCACACGAGAGCAAAGGGAATACCCCACAAGTATAGCTGTGTAAGAGTGGGTGATCTGGTGCAGGCCTATGGTTTCTTATTATGTATCGCTAGTCTTCACTCCCAACTCAGTCTAATTCTCGTTCAAATTGATCCTACAGACGTAGATTTTCACATCGGTCTTCCAGTGGAATCCTTCCACCGTGTCGCACGACTAGTGGGACATTCTGGCAACTTTATACTGTCACTTCTGAAGGGGCTTTCCAGTCCCCTAAACCGGCAAATGATGTGGGCCATGGCTACAGGAAAAAGCGATCTTCCGAAAATTTTAGAATCAAGTGGGGACACGTTGGAGGTAGGCTTCTACTGTGACGTTTTTTTATATGCAAAAATTATTCTTTATAGCTGCATGTGGCATGATCTCAACAATTTCCTGCGAGAGTTATATGACAATTTTCAAATCATCAAATCATTTTAGAATCAAATGGGGACACGGTGGCGGTAAGCTTCCACGCTGACGCTACTTCATGTGATCTGTAACGGTAGAGTTTTGTGAAAACGACAACCGCAAATTTCCTCATGGTCGCAAATGACAAATGATTTCAAAGATATACTGCAAGAATTCTTTGGCAAGTTTTTAAAATCATCGGACCTTTAGGCTGATCGGTTCATTTAACACTAGGTGCCACAATAAAGTCTTTGGACCCACTGGGGAAAACCTTCAAGTTTCACACCGGGTGTACAACGCCGAGGATAGCTCCACCATGGCTCCACCCTTTTAACCATGCATCACCGGAGTTTCCATTGATTAACCAGCCACAGAGTTACAACCTTAATATATTCGATGCGACTGATGTATGCGATACCCATCGTCTGATAGGTTGTTCATTTGCGCTCAGAATCATCAAGACTGATGCTTTTGTATTGTAACACTTGTCGTTAAATTAAACAGTGTCGGTTTTTCTTACGAAGCACATCTCCGATAATGTACAAGTTTGTTTCCTGTTTTAATATCACATCATGTTGTGACCCACCATTCAAAAACTAGGCCGAAAGGAATTGACATCAGTGATGAGCTTTGCCAATTCCTCAACTCTTCCTGCCCAGAACAACCTATGCCTTCTACAGATAATGTGCGCTATGATGTATCCCGTTGAAGTAGTGGGAAGGTCTGAGGAATTCGTCAAACATACAAAAAACAAAATCTACTTCAGCCACTGGTTTGAGAATTGTCTGTCAATTGGTAAATCTCGCTAATGAGAGGTAAGTTACTTGGCCATCAAACCGATACATGAGACTTTCTTACTTAATTAATCAGCCCGAGGCTTTTTTGCGCCCGGAGACGCTGGCCCTGGAACAACCGTCGGCATACGGCGTCGGAACGGCGCGGGCCGTCGCCAAAGTCTACGGAATTCTGGCCAACGGAGGGAAGACCAAGGAAGGCAAAACGTTGCTCTCCAGTAAAGCCATTAAGAAAATCATAAGTGAGGCCAAAGATGACGGTTCACTAGACAAGACTGTTGGCTTTCCTGCCGTCATAAATCTCGGATTCTTCATCAGCGAGTACGAGGTAGGGTCACACCTCAACAGAGGGTCTGGTTACGAAACTGAAATCCAGTCACTGCCCATTACAAAATACTTCACTTACACCCTTTTTTGTATTGTTCTTTTGTCGGTGTGAAAATATTATCAGTCCAGAGGATGATGCCAAAACTAACATGAGGTAAAATAGTGGATGGATACGACCATCTAGCTGAAAAAAATATGTCTCGACAGCGCCGCCTCAGGTTTCCCAAAACGTGGTCTCAGGCCGTGCCGACACGGGCTTCCAGAGCTACGGCTAGGTCCATTGTCTATGCGTCTCCACGCATTTCGAATGGAGCGAAGACCTAGACCTAGCTCTAGACAAAAGATTCGGATGCAGCCTTATTTTTGTCAGTCACATGTGGCGCATAAAGTTTTCAGTTGGCACTGGGTTTCACGTGAACCCCTGTATCCTCCATTCTACTCTGCAGGCACACATCCTGAAATAGTGATGGTGTAAGACATATTGACGCTTCTATGTGCAACGATGTAATAACGCTGTCAATGTCAGTTATCAAAACTGAACAAAATTACACCACGAGCCGCTAATTCCATTTGAGTGGTCTACATGCTCGATTTGTTATTATATCCCTTCAGGGGTCACCTCAGTTTGGACATCCAGGGGCTGGAGGCATGCAAGGCCGTGCTGACCCTCAACGGAAGCTCGGTATGTCTTACCTCTCCAGTTACGGCTCCCAGTTCGGCCTCGGCGACGACCCCAGATTCATGTCGCTGCAAGCAGCGACTTACAAGTGTATCGATAAACTGGAAGCCTAGAAAGGAACGAGGCTGAATGGGCCGTGCTTGGTGCACAGGTAAAGATAAAAAATGAACCCGTTCGTTATTAGTGCACTTTGTATTTGCTCTAATGAGTGACGAGTCGTAAGAACCACTTTGAAATTAAGATGGAAGAACATCGGGATTCATTCCACCCAGTCCCTAGGTTTGTACGCGTGAATTCATTAACATCTTGTGATCCCATTTTCTTTAATGAGAGTTTCCATAATTGTGACCAGTCATAGAGATTATTCTATAAATCGTAAATTTCAGAAACCTGGTCTCCAATTCTGGGTGTTTCGTTCCAAATAACCTCCAACACGTGGGCTTATTTTGCAAAGAGGGCTATAGGTCTACATGCAAAGCTGAATGCATAGTTTACTACCAAGTTTGGGATAATTTCAGGGACGGAAAAATACAAAAATTGCATGTCTCGTCCTTTTGAAAATTGAAAAGAGATATAGACTTCTGGCAATAATATTGAATTTCCAGTGAAACGCGCGAGGCCAACGTACTCTTGAGAGTCACTAGGCGGCACTATCTCTGTCCGATTTTGCGCTGTTTTCCAAGATGGTCTGTTCACTGTAGTGCAACCATAATGGAAGGCCCATAGTGTGACGCTTGGTGGTGGGAAACATGAGTCCTACTTGACCAGTAAGCCTACACTATTGTTTGCGTCATTTTGAGCGAGGCCAGTTACATGCAACCTCGTTCCCATTGGAACGATCTTGCCGCGCTCGTGAAGGAACACACACGCAGCCCACGTGCACTGTGATCACTTGGGACTGGATGTTTGCCGCCAGCAAGCGTTTCGAAGTTTCCCATTGAATCCACTTTCTTCGCTCGTGGCCCAGAGCCCGAACAGGGCGCTGGGGAGGGCTAACGGCCTTGCACAGGTTTTAACGAAGGGAATACGTCACATGGGATCACAGCTAACGACGCGCACAGCATTGTGGGGCAAATTTCTGCAAGGTGCGCCACAAGCGGCGGTTATCAATTTTATATTTGTCCTTTTCTTCCCCATTTCTGAAAACATCCTTACTACACGTACTTTATTCGTTCATCAAAAATTGATCAAGATAACCAATGATTTGAAATCTATTGCCAAAAGACAAGTGATCAGTGATACGTAGAAGATAAATTACCATGCTGCGATTGTACCAAGGCCATGTTTTATCATATAGCCAACACTTTGCCCGTGCAAAAGCATTGCCATTGGCGAACAAAAACTAAAAAAAAACGCTTCGCTAACAGGAAGTGATAACCTCGCGGTCACAGGTAGTGCAGAATGTGGTCAATAACATTGCAGAGCCATTAGCCCTTCCCAGCGCCCTCTTTGGGCACTGGGCGATGAGCAAATCCATTTTCAACCAGAGACACCAACTGAATGACATCAAAGGAAAGATCGTATGCAATTGCTCTTATAAATTCATGCTAAAGTTAAACTATCTGGCCTCAAGACTCAGATTGTGGGCTTGGATTATGTTTGCGCCAACTGTAAAAACTTGTTATTGCAAAAGACTGATGCCTCAGGGAAATCCTTAGCCAGACGTTATAAAACAAATCTGGGATTGTTTTGATTTGTAAATCAAAGACAGATATTCTTACAGTCTTGAATGTATTGGGCTTTTGTATACCTTCAAAACTGAAAAGTGTTCGTTGTCACATCTAACTTAACTATATATATATATACGACGACGACAAGAACATATTTGAACAGGTTGCAAAGTAAAGAAGTGTGAAACGTCATATGTTTTTTCATCCTTTAGCCGTCAAAGGTCTAACTGAAACAGTGCACACTGGAATCATGGAACCTTGCGGGTGGTAAACGTAGTTTGAAACGCTCTGGCAGAGTGTGTTACGTACTATTTCACATGCCATTCTCTATGGTGTGAATCAAGTTTGTGTATAATATAACTGGAAACCGTTGGACGCCAGTCGGCTGACTCCAGCAAAATCTCGCAGAAGTGCAGGGACATTTCCGATCACGACACACACATTAAGGCTTTGTCTCAAAGAAAAACAGTTTTATTGAGAATTTTGCGCACCTTGTAAAGTTGATTCTTTAACTATAAATGTGTTTATGCGAGTGGAACTAGTGTTACTGAGATGTACGTGCTGTGGAATATTGCGTAGCAGCAAATTAAAAATGAACTGGAAATTTTGTTTGATAGTTTTCCTTCTAGAGCGGCATACAATCCAAAAAAGAGATGAAACAAAAGTTAAGTGAAATTACATGCATTATGTTACGTATAGCTGCACCATTATATCATTACTTATACAAAGCCTAAATAAAAAAATCCTATTCTGCCTAACTAGTGGAGTTCCTGAGTGTGTAAACGCCTTCTATCGTGGACCTACAACAATAGGGGACAATTGGGTCCACGGTTGCCGAAGAGTCCACGGTTGGAAAACGTGTACAAAACATGTGGGAGGTCTTCCGAAAAAGTGAAAGTATGAACAAAAGAGGAACAATAGGGAGTCCACGATTGAAGGCGTTTACACACTTGAGTGCGTTGACTAAGAGCATATCTTATCGTACGGTAATTAATATTTTTAAATAATTTATTAGCTACTGTAGCATCCATGGACCCTAGGGGCTTTCGCTTTCAATAACCGTTACGTGAATTCGTTATTATATCCGTGTATTTGAATCCCTTTTATTAGTAAGGGCACTGTCAACTGAATTACGGAATTACTGTTGTCCATTATTATACTTAAATTGCTTCTATTTAATGACGTTGCAAATGCTTTTTAACGTGTAATTTTAATTTACCCATAGGTTCTCCATGACGCAAAAGGACGTTTCAATAACAATAGAGTGCCGTTCTACAATTGACAAGGTTTTTATTATTGGATATTTTGTCAGAATACCTGGCATGTGGATGTATTTATTGAACTGGTAGAACATGGAGTCTATGTGTTGCGTACTACGTCAAGATTTAAGTGCAACGACAGCAGGGGAGGCCTTGTTGAACACACGAATTCTACAGCAGCAAAACTACAAAACGTACTCTTGAAACATTACCGAACGACACAGAGCCGAAATGGGTCGACAAAGAAATTTTTCTGAGCCTTTTCGACTTCGACAGAGACTTTATGTCGACTCCAATTTCTCAATACACCGATATGTTTCCTCCTGCAGCGGTTCAAAGCGTTTATCGCCCCTCCCAAGAAAGACTAAAGAGTAACTCGAGACGTAGCCCAGGCTGAGCCTGCGTTGCGGGTCGGCAAGGCCGTGCATGCCCCCTGCTCCTGAGTGGCCGAATCGCTGAGCCCCCTTTAGAAGGAGATGAAAACGAGGTTTCAAGTGGCGAAATTTATAGGTCATTATTATTATTTTGTCTTGAAAGGTCAGGTTTCATACAATAATGGACACTTTTCTAACTTATTTTGTGTCTCTCAGGTGCTGTGTTTTGAACAGAAATTCTCGATATGAGAAACGACAACGTTTTGTTTTATTTTTCGCTCTTTTCACGATAAGTCATTTTTGCGTTAAATTGCAGAAAAGGTATGTTAGATTTCTCTCCATTTGAGTAATTTTTCGTAGTAAATCAACAGAATGTTTGTTCACTGGGTTTGTTGGTCGATAGGGGTGGCGACTAAATTTCCTCACATTTGGGCAAAATCATGCAATTTATTGTGGAAAGGAGGCGAATTCATCCGTGTGGTTTGGTTTGACCGCCAAGCGGGTAACACATAGCGGTCAGATGTCCAGCTAAATTTGCATTTTGGAAGGGGAGGGGATCACCTAGAGGCTTTATCGCCCTCTCAGGAGTGATCACGTGATCACTGAAGAGATCACCTGTGGAAAGAAATCGGTAACAGGTATCATGCCTTTTGTCTGACTTGATCCTGCATAGCCTTGTGACAACCGACAACTTCGTTTAAAAGGTGAAATTCTTACCTTATACTCTGATTTAACAAAACCTAGGCTGAAGGTAATCGGAAATTCGGTCGGCTTCTGGAAAGATTTGTCAGTTCTTTTTTCGGCGATAATCTCCTTTATGACATCATTAGAGAGCAACCTTTGACCCTTGGTTGTGGTTCCACCATTGGCCAATACCCCGTAGACTTTGGCAATAGCACGAGCCGTCCCTACTCCAGACACCGACGGCTGTTCAAGAATCAGTCTCTCGGGACTCATGTAATCTTCAAACTGAAAGTAAAGAGGTCACAATTCCTAAAAAAAAAAATGAACATTTTGATTGGTATAATTTCTATCAAGAAAATCAGGCAATTGATACATCCCAGACAAACTGAAGGAGCGTAATATTATTGGTCCACTGACACCTTTGATGTACTCTGAAGGGCAAAACGCTATACATGAAAGTGCTGTGAACAACACGGAGTTTGTCTTTAATCACCTGTATTGGCTTCAGAGACGCGCTAAGGCCACTGGCCAGGCTTTGCCACATTATCTTTCCGAAGACCGGGTTGGTGATCAGCTCCTTGAACCACATGTACCGGCTGGCTCCCTTCAAACGTGGGAAGCGATGGTACAACTCCAGAGGCAGGCCGATGTGGAAATCAATACCTGTAAGTGCACAAAAATCGTGAGCCGAAATTTAAAAATCAAGCTTGGTTAACGTTTTTACGGAAGCCCGTTAGTGCCAACTTGAATTTACTATGCAAAACAATTTTCACTGCAAAATAACGCAATAGTACTGCGAAATAACGCAATAACTTTGCTTAACATCGCAATTGTTCTACGAACATTTGGGGTACATTCGCGCGGTTACTCCGGTCAATAGGATGCATGCGCATTATACCTGGGTGCAGGAGTATACCGTACTCCCCCCCCCCCGTTAGCTAAAGTATAGTCTCGTTGACCCTGGGGTCGTACTCCAGCAGTTCGAACGTTCAGTGTCGTGTTAACACGAGTAGCTCCTTCGAATGCATCCTCTGCGTCTGCTCCAGTGTGAAAAGAGCCAGATCAACAATTGATGTCTTGTTCTTTCTCCTGGACAATCCGTAATAGGCCGAAGTCATTTCCCGGTCCTTAAACTTACGATGATACCATGATTTGCTGCCAAAAACCACAATATGTGATCATAACTCGAACCAACAGAGAAGTAGAAGCTCACAAATTTGCGTAATGTCATGCTTAGCTTTCTTCGATTACTGTCTCACGGAAAATCACCTGCACTCCTCACTCAAGGGTGCGTTCGTGCGGCTTGAGTGCGACCATCTGGTCAGCAAGAGTTCTCACTAACGGGGGAGTATACTCCTGCACCCAGGTATACAGCGCACACATCCGACTCATGTTGAGTAACCGCGCGAATCTGCCCCAAGCGTCCGTAGAACTATTGCGTTATTTTGCAATACTAAGGCATTATTTTGCAACGTTATTGCGTTATTTCGCAAAGCTATTGAGTTATTTTGCAATATTATCGCTTTATTTTGCATAACAATATTTTTGCACAGTGCACATTGGCATTAATAACGGGCTTCCGTACGTTTTGATTGTCGTAACCAATAACTGTTCTGGTTCTTAATTGTGTTATGAACGTTCCAACTAAAATGGAAGCAAGTCTTATTGTTGTTTGTCGCTCGCTGTTTACAGATGACAGAAGAATAATTACAGGAAGTTTTTTTCACAATTAATGTGTCGCTTTTGAGTTGCTGCATGCCCCACGTGCCCCCTGTACCACTGGAATATCTTTCTGAAGATAGGGTGCCAGGCAAAGATGTCTCTACTGCCGACGAGATATTTCTATATAAACAAGAAGAATTGTGGAGATATATCCGCATTATCTTAGAAATAATCTTGAAATGGATTTAGCTGTTGTTGGACCTCATCTAAAATGTTTTCGTTACTTGAAAATGAGCTAAGTATACTTGATTTAAAATGTTGAAGGAAGTTCTTAAAGCTAAACATAAACGTGTAAATCGCAAATGCGGTATGAAATACCGAAAGGTTGAGCGATCTCTTCCTTGAAGAACTGGCCCAGGGTCCTATGCTTGGGGTCGGCACGTCTCAATAGCTGGCTCGCATACAGACCGAATGAAAAAGCATGGTATCTTAGAGTGGTGCCAGGTTCCCATTCTGGGGAATGCCGCGCCAAGAATTCGCCCAACGCATCCTGATCCCCCAAGAGATGTAGCGTGTCGTCGTCCGTGATGTTAGCTAGACCGGCCTGCCATTAAAAATGCAGAAAACTATATTAGGCTTCCAGGCAATGTGGCGTGGCATACATAGTGTGGACCTCTGCATAAAGAAAAGTCCACATAACGTAGGGTATGATGGCGTTGGGTGAACTTGTGCGTTAGAAAGAAAATGTTTCGAATGCAAATTTTTGTCAAGCAGTATTCGGTAAGCTTAGCTCTGTTTGATTCACGCTTAGAGAAACATAGGCCTATTACCTGGATGTAATACCTAATTGGCTTAACTGGAGTTCACCATCTTTAAGTGTAAACAGAATGCACAGGGAAATTCTAGATACAGACGAATTAGTTACTTGTGGCTTAAACCGAGATGTTTGAAAAGTTTTGGGTCTCCTTACCTGGTGATTAATGAGCATGCGCACTGTGATGTTTTCCTTTCCATTCTGGGCAAATTCTGGCCAATAGGAAGCCACAGTCTTGTCATAATCTAGGAGACCCCTGTCAACCATCATGGCAATGCAAAGCGCCGCCATACTTGTCGATGAGAAGACGCAAGAAAGCATATCTTTAACGTGGGGAAGACTCTATTTTAACAAAGCAAAGAGAGGGATTTAAAGATGTTCTTGCGTGCAAGATATCCGCCTTGGTCATGAGCATCCCCCCGTTGGTTGAAAAAGGCCATGCTGGTGGGGTGTGCTAATTTTGTTGATAGCGACGAGACCGCAACGCGTGCACGTCATATTGGTTTGTGAACCTGCGAAGTGCAGTTCCTACGGAAAGATCCTCCGCTAGGAAAACTACGAATGTTAAACCCAGGTCAACTAACAAATAATTTACACATTATTCTTAACCATATTTGTAACGAAAATTGCCCCCTCTCTTGGTCCATGCAGCTCGGGGCACATGCGCTCAAGCGATGTGGGGACAAATGCAAGTTTACACCTTACCGACCATGAGTCCTATAAGAGTAAGACTAAAAGCTGAACTGACCACAAAAAATGCTAAGGACATTACCCTCTGTTTCACTGATTTTGGGATTATAACTGTTAAGGGTCACAATTTTAATACCTTTGGTGGTGGAAAACACCACGGTCAAGGTGTCCTCGTTCCAGGGCCGGTCAGCCTCGGTGTCTGCATAGCCTCCCCATATGTCCACTACCTTGGATCCTTTGTAGTAAACTGAGAACGCAGAACCACCTGTTGGGTATTCTACTCCAGTCTCGAAGTTCTCCCTGATGGAAATGCATTACACAAAACCTTATGTTTTGATAGTTGATAAAAATACCTTCCGCATGCCTGTTTCTATTGCCCTTACCTGAACTTAAGCTTTCCCTTACATTCAGCCAAGCATCATAGTGACAGAAACTCGAATCCGGTTCCTGGGTGTCAAGTGTCTTGGGAACTTCACTCATAGTGCGCGGCAAGGAACCATCGGGACCGGAAGTAGTGCAAACATATGTGAGCCAATGGGTGCTTGTACATGTACTATACTCAGCCGAGTGTGCGTGATTATGCAAAGTCACTAACGACCTTCAGCATTCTGCCAATTTGTTGTCCCCTCCAAAGTCCAATTCTTACAGTGAAAATTGTTTCCAAAGTTTAAAGCACCGGAATACATATACGTGTATTACATAACTAGTCGGGGAAGTTGAGGCTACTGGACCACTTAAGCACATTCTTGATTCTAACCATATTCAATGTTCCAGGAAAAGGATAAGACTACTCTTCATATATGACCAAAACACTTGTTTGTTTATTGCAAACAGCTGAAATCAATTACATTAATAAAACTTATATTGCAATATTAACTCATTAGGAATTCATCCAAAAGTGGACCACTAGGTCGCCACATCCGAGGCAAGTGGACCACATCGTAAAACTTTAAAATTTGCTACTAAAAGAATAAAAAATAAATTTTGGAACGAGTAAAACACTGAGAAAGACAATTGTAATTATCTCAGAAGCACCAGAGTTTAAATAAAAATGATTAGAAAATTCCTGTATCTTTCCTCCGGTCTTGCAAATTTCTGTTTTTGGAATGTTAAGCAAAGAATAAAGTTGTCTGCTTGTGCCTTTTTTATTATCCTGAATCATGATTTGAAGTTTATTTCTTAAGTTATTTATACTTCTCCCATGGGCCTCAATTTATGTTCAGTTTAACCTCTGATAAAAATAAATATTGTAGCTTAAAAGCAACGGGTCAATTTCAAAACCTTTTACCTGTTTTTGACCTAAGAGTGAGCCAGTTGCCCTGATGACACTCTTGCCCAACCCTCCCATGAGGGTCCAGCTTTGATGGTGGAACCTTTCTAGAACTCTTTCGAGAACTCATAAGGTAAATCTTACTCGGCGAGTGTAGTCGTGTAAAGAGTCGATCCGAGGTCTTATTGAACTCTCGTTACCTGAACAGTTTGGCTACAGGTTCAAATCCTTGCTGCACGGTTCCTCCAGTGATGATAGGACGAGTTTTGGTCCACAGCTCCGGCACGTAAACCACGAGAACTGCAGTCACACACACAATGACAGCATTCGTCATGAACGCCATTTTTCCCAGCAAAAACTTGCCCGTTGAGGAAGTGAAACGTGCAATCCGTAGCGTCGATAAACAAACTGCAGTCAATCGGCACGTCGTCATCAAAAGTTACGTGGACTTTGTCAAAGAACAAAGTTCGCCCTGCGCCGGAAAGGCGTTGTTCGTCGTGAGACACACAGACATTGCCTTACGACTGTTACATGATTACACGAGGTTGCCTCTCAATCTATCATCTCGGAATAGGCTTTGTATAAAGCCGCCAGCCACTGGCTAGCAGTTCTAGTCACCGCTGCAGCCTGGGTTTCCAAGATGATTTCGTATACTCGAAGTTGTGAGATGGTTCTGAAATTATTTTTTTTGGGGGGGGGCAGAAATACTTACCTTGACAATTTGCAATCTGCAGCAATATATGCAACAAACACGGACTTCCAATAATGCGTGAAATTCTTTATGCCCGTGCTGTCCTGTCATCGTCTCTCTCCAAAATATAACTTTCGGTTTCCTGAAAATTCTCCGTAATTTTCTAACTTCTTTATACACAAATCATTTTCTGTGGAAACTATTTTAACGGGAGGGGATTTCTAATACATAATTTAAGGATTAAAAAAATAAGGGTGGATCAGCTGTATTTCGAGTAGTGGGAGGCAGTCTGGCAATTTGACCTTTGCAACAGAAATATGAAAAAGGTCACATGACTATGCACAAGCATAATAATATAGATATGAGTAGCATTGATGTGTAGGGATGAAAATATATGGCACAAGATGACCTTTTGTAAGGGATAGAAATAGGGTCGGAAAGTGTAGTGTGACCTCTTGTATGGGATGAATAGGCAAAGGGTCAGAATGTAACATACACATTGACCTTTTCTGTGACATTATTGCACAACAGGATGAAATATCATCATGAAAATATACAATGGGTATCATGTTGCGTGATGCCATGGAAAAAATACTGACTGGCCCACCAGGCTAAAGTAATCAAAAGGCAGTAAGCGATAACCCCTAGACATACAGTACAATGGACAGTACGTGCCGCCGGGTAATGATAAGGATAATGCTTTGACCAAATGGGCTGTCCGTGGCACCAGGTGGGGGGGGGGGGTAACGTAGCCTACTGTGCTGTGTTAGTGCGCCCTCTTGCGATATTTTAATGACCATGCGTTACACTTCGTGTTACCGCGCGCGATGACCGCCGTGTTTCCTGATGTTTTGCGAAAGCTCTGACAGAAAATAGTCATATAATAATCCCAAATCAGCGTGGGTTATAACGGTGTCATCTCCAATTTATTCAGCAAACTATATTGATTCTTTGCGTGTTCTCACTGGCTCTCAGGTGAGAGAAAGATTTAAAGGTAATGCATGCATATTAAGGGTCACTGACCATGATGCACGTGGAAGGGCAAGGTTTATGTAGCTGTCACTTAATTGGGACCCGTAAATTCCAGGTGCACTGCTGGACTCATAATTTCAGTACATGTATGAAATGCCACTAATACGTTGGAGAATAATTACTTCATAAGTTTGTTGATCAGTGGAAAGAGAGCGTGTGTACATCATCACATGTACATGTATATGTACATGTATACAGTGTTTGTTTTATTTGGCTCTCTAGGCTTTCACCTCCTGTTAGACCTCACCGCTGTTGGTGTGTGCTGAGTTCAAGCTTTGGATTTCACAAGTGAGGCAGCGCATCCAGCCTCAGTGATGACTGTTGATGTACTGTGCCAGAACTGCGTATACGTGTGCAAGAGCCGTATGTATGAACATGCACACAGTGGACTGCTGTTCCATGTGGACTTACAATGTAGCAACTGCCGGACAGATGTGGACGGTTTGAGGTTCAGCGTTGGCTGCTCTTGGCTGAAGAGAGGCTCCACCCCATGTGGTGTGATTGAACCACTGAACTGAGCATAACTGAAAATTGTTTCAGACTGTAAGCAAGGTAATGCTTGGGGTTGATGCAGGAGATCTCATGTAAATTTATTACTATTCGATTCTTCTATTTTTTTTTGGTTGAGCTCAACTGGTGTTTACATTATGTAAGTTGTATTGTTGTAAGAACACAGAACAAATTCAATAGACTTCACATACTGGTTTAAGTAGTGTTTTTATTTCTCTTTTTCTCATCATTGATTTTTTTACAATTATCTTACTAATTTTAAAATTTGCTACAAGAGCGATTACCAGAATTTTGTAAAATTTTATATCAGAACACTATATGTACAAGTTTTGTTTTTGGAACCATAATTAAGTCTCAAATTAATACTAGTATCTGTTAATCGTTTTCGTCTTAGTCACTTAGCTGAAAAGGTCCGTCAAATTTATCAGCATGTTTAGGCAAAACTATTCAAGGCTTTGTTGACTTTCATGCCTTTATTAAGTTTTTCTTGGAGATCATCCACGATGTCCTTGTGAGTTTCATTGTCCTTCAAATGTAGGTAACTTGACAGAAACTTCTTATGGTTGCTTGACCTTTATCCATGCCTTTGTGACGTACTTGTCATATTTTTCATCCCACATTTCCGTATTTATTTCTCTGGCTTCAGTCAGCCAATCTTCATCATCCACCTCCTCAACAGGTTCCGAGTTATCATCAATTTCATTCATGTCTGATTCCTCCTCAAAGTGGATATTTTCCATGTACCTGTCTGGATCAGACTTCCGTCCAAAGCATTTGTCACACTGGTGACAAGTATAGGGGCTTGACTGCAGAAATAACATTCATGTTAACCCTTGGAAGGATGACCTTTAAATGACAAGAAACAATGAAATCGTTCATTATATAATGTATATACATAGACATGTATACGTATTTCGTTGCTCATTTTGCTCTCTTCATTGCTCATTTGACTCTTTGTAGTGCTCATTTTGCTCTTTTTATGATGTGCACCATTATGAAACCACTAAATAGTAAAAATCTTGATAAATTTTAGTAATCAAGACTTACGTTTGAGCAAACTTCGGCTGTCCATACAAAACGCCAGTCAATGTTTGTAAATAAAAGAAAGATACGTTTAGACAAAGCCAGCGCCATTTTACCTTATATCCGAATGCCATCGCATCGGTTCTTGTTCGAAGGGACTACCTAGCAGTCTATAGAGGCTATGTATATCGCGATGTTTACTGCCATTGGTAGTGGCCAATTTTAAGTTCCCGTGCTGATGTAACCATGCATGGCTTCCTAGTGTTACCATCTACGCCGTGGTTACCATCTACGACATTCGACATCTCACACGCGTGCCTTGTTCAAGAAAGACTTTGACACTATGAAAGACCAAACTGGCCCTTTGGAAGCCGCTGCTGTCGTGGCTTCGTGGTCGCTTCCAGGTGGTGCGCGCACTTCAAATACCTTGTCGACTAATAGTATGCCGTGACTTGCCTAGGAGCACGTGCGCTAATGTTGCGGCACCGCAGTGACGGTGCATCTTCGGGTGATTCAATAATAACAAGATGGAGCTGGGTAACATTTGTAAGTCTCCATTGGAAAAGTGCAGCCCCCTCTCTCTGCTTATTTGGTGGGCGATGGAATCATGCAACAAAGGATGCCCTCTACAAAATATCTGATTGAGAGCTGTGTACAAGATTGTCCTGATAATCCTCGACAACGTTCTCCCTCTCGTGACTTGAAATCGCAGAGGGCACAATAGCAATTGGCGCGCGAAGCGTATGCTAGATTGAGTCTGCTATCGAGTTCTGCCGTCTTGGCCCAAGACTACTCATGAACCAGCGAAGTTCAACTAAGACCACAAGAGCCTCTGTTGCTAAGAAATTTACGCCCGGCTCTCTTGGTCGAACTCGAGGCTCTTCCTATCCTGTGGTGGAGTTTGCTGGTGCCTTTCATCAACCCGCCTGATTTGCAAGCCATTGGATGTTGCTCGTCAACAGACCATTATCGCAAACAACTAGTGAAAGTCATTGAATATCTCCAAGACTATTTGAAGCAGCTGCCATCAGTGAAAAAAAGATGTTATGCGTACTTCGTAAACTTTGAAATAGAAGTTGGTGCAAGGTTGGTGAGTGTCGATCTTCTCCCCACTGCAGACAACGGTAACTCCCTTTGCGCTGTATATGTTTCCTACTGATTTCAGAAGCCTATATTGTCACCTGTGCATCTTGATTAGGTCTTCAAAGCAAGATGAGGTCTAGGTTTGCCAATGGAGATTTCACATGGTCATGTAGGAAAATTTCCGTGGATACATGTAGTCATACATTTTTATACAGGCAGAAAGGATATAAACGCAACGTAAGCCTGGCATTTTAATTCCTGCGTACTTTTTGTGACGGGATATTAAAGTTAAGGTACTAATCTCTGCATTTGTAATTCTCATGTTCTAAAGCTTAAATGAACGTTGCATTATTAGTTACATGTTGAATGGTCCATTTGACAGATCATCAAACGGTATGTGGTGAAATGTTACAGCTTAAAAGTGGCTACGACCGGGGATTCTACTCTGCTTTGTTTGTCGAGAAACAGAGGGATCTCGTGAAAGGTCAGCCCTTGGCCGTCAAGGAACTCATCTGATTGGTGAAATACTGGGCTTATAAACGTCTCCCGGAGCACGTTCACAAGTTATATCCGCTAGAGTTGATTACGATTTACTGTTGGGAGAAAGCCAGTAAACCAGAACCGTTCTTAATTGAACAAGGCCTGAAGGCTGATCTCACGTTTTTGGTAAAGTGGCCGTTCAAGAAGACGTTTTGGACGCACTATTACAGAAATAAGGAGGCACATGATGCAGTTACCGTCCTCCACATGGAGCAGTGAGTTGCAGAACTTTTGCATTATAATCGCCTTGGTTTCTCCTCCAGATAAATGTGTATGTAAAATTTTGCTACTCAAAAACGCTTCCAAATTTCTACGCACTTTATCCATGGTGTCTGTCAGCTATTCACCACTTACTGTGGGTATTGTTGGGGGTCCAACCATCCCCCACCCCCAAAAAAAGGGTGGATGGGAAAATAACAAATAGATAAAATAAGAGCGCCAATGTTATGTTTCATCATCGTTTGCGCTTGTCCGCAAAAATGAGACATTAAAATAAGTAAATTCTTGAGCCTGACCTCCCCCTGGAAAACATTCCTGGAACCGCCCCTGGAGTAGTCCAGAGTCCAGTGAATAAGTTAGTAAGGTGACATGTAAATGGCAATGATGTCTACTATACAATCAATGCCTAACAGAAACGTGACATTGTTGTGTCGAGCTATTATCCTTTCATGTGGATACATTGGTGCACAACTTAAATGTTTCAGCAATTTTTGTGAATAATGTCTCATAACCGTCGCCAAAGTCGCTCAGTCTGTAGCCACACATTCAAAATAAAACCTCTTTTCTAAAGACACAACAGAATATCAAAATGAGTAACAGTGTTTTATTCTGAATTGCAGACCTGTCCTATTGGATCCTGCTCATCCGACAAACAATGTGTTACGAGTGTAACAGCAAGGGAAAAACATGAAAGCAGGTTCAAGAAGCTGCTAGAGAGACCCTTCAATCGCCACTTCTAAGGAACCTCCGTCCCTGCTCTCTTTGGAAATGACAGCGGCCTTAGTCAAGCTGCAGACGTGCCAATTTTATTTTCTTGATTTTTCAGTGATTAATGCTCCTGCTTTATCAAGGATCTCATTAATGTTGCTGCCGCAGTGATGAACAGCGCAGGTGGAGCTCGGGGTATGAACTCACACGGCAAAGGTCGTCAATTCTATAACATTATAAATTATTGTTGTGTATTAAGCCGGAGGACAAGCAAATAATTCCATATAAATTACTTTGTAGCCTGTTTACTGTGTACTATTTAGGCAAAGGGCACGCATGTGTAGATGGATCAGAGCCATTATGCGGCACATAAACAAAACAACCGATCAATGCGCGCGGGAGTATTATTGTTCAACATAAATGTTGCACCTGTGTATGGTACAAAAGTAACCTAGTTCATGCTTTGTTGGGTTTTGTATGTACAATATTCTATCGGATTTCTTGGTGTTGCGTGCTTTTCCAGAATGACAACGTGAAGATATGATATTTGACTCAAGCGTTCATAACGAGACAAAGTTACATAATGGCCTCATTATTCCAAAGATTGCCATGCATAAGTTTTTACAACTTCACTGATGAGGAAGTTCGTTACATTTCGTGTTGCTGTTGCTATAAGTGCGCAAAAGAATGATTTGGATTGGTTGCCATCGCCGTATTCCCCTTTAATTGATTCCAGTCACATATCCGTATGTTGCCCTTGCTGTGGTTCCAGTTATTTCTGCATGCAAAGCAATGGCAAGAATATTAAAATATTAAAGCAAGAACTCCGGTCCTGGGGCTAGGAAAATCTGACCCCTTAACGAAAAAGGATTTTCGCATATTTTACCCGAACAGAATGGAATCCTTTGATTGATTTTAGTCGAAAATTCTATGTGGTCCACATTCAATAATGAGTTAAAATAAGAATATGCAGAGCCATCCACCTGTTTGTTGCTAAGCCAACCGTTTAAATACTTTCATGTGTGTTGTTTACAGCAAACACTCGAACTGTCCATGAAGCTCGACACGAAACCGAATCTGAGACGGATACAGAATTTATCAAATTGCCCAACGCATGCAGAATTTGCAGCCTTGCTCGTGACACTCTTTCTCATCTGGGGAATTCCCGTTCCTGTTCAGTTTATGATTGTGTGCATATGTATGTCGTTTGGGACTAATGAGGAAAAGGAGGTTCAGAGGAGGCTGAACAAAGTACCCGACATATATCTTTTTCCATATGATTATGTACTTCCATTTCGGCCCATCGCTGAAATCGCTGTGAATCTCGGGACAAAAGGTAAGTCAGTGGCAAATCCCTCTGTAGGCGTATTCATAATTATGATAATGTCCAAATAGTGTGCATGTTGCTGGAAGCTGCCTCTGCTCAACGGCGTCGCTGCTGTTATACTTCCGATGGAACGCATTTGTGTGGGCTGCAGGCTGGACAGCTGATTTAGACATGTTCAGCCAACGGTACAATGCAAATCATACACAGGTAGTCAAATGTGAAGCCTATCGTGTATATCTGCGTGTGAAATTACGATTATTGTGAGTTTTTGCAGCGGACCTCAGTGTTTCCTATGCCAAGCGGTGGAATGTTGAGGCTTTTTTCAAGTTTCAGTTTATTGGCGTACGTGTAGGCTTACAAAGTGCGACGTGCAGGCAAGCACAGTACACGTATAAGAGAAAAAGTCATCTTTCGAAAATTTATTTCTCCTCAACAGGCAGGGATTTCGGTTTTACCCTACCATGCTTTGGTATGTTTTGCTCAACTGTAGATGATTTAAAGTCCCATATGCAAACGAAACTATAGTTCCTATATCTACAATGCATAGATTCGGGGTTGTGCACCACCCATGTGTCCAACAACATCTTCTGTAGGGAATCTGCATTAAAATGAAACTTGATGTTTCCCTTTTGTGTGGTTAGGGTGAGCCGTGAGCAATGGCCAATCCGAGGCAACCCTGGTGTCTACCACCAGAGAGTTTAGAGGTATGGTACAACGAAAAATTGCAGGAGGGTACGGGCTCCTTCAATTCGTACTGCCGCGAGGCGGTGGACAATGTCGTCAGGGCCCTGCACCGCATCTGCTCCACCGACCTTGTCCCGTTTGATGTCGACCGAGTGATCAAGGTACTTAAGTTTGTGGGAAATGCTTCCTTGAGGATAATTAAGACTCCAGACCTTCATTAAAGTCCGAAAGAAAAGTTGGTTGAAGGTGGTGTTTTTTTGAGGATGGAGGAAGGCATGGAAATCTTGATGACGGTAAACATGAAGCTACAGCGTATGTTCTGAAAAGTATTTTTCATGGGGAACACTATAAGGACTCATGATAATGAATAATGTCTGCAAATCATTTTGTTCTCATTTCTTCGTTATTTTCATTGCACAACTTTATCCTTTCAGTGCGAAGACCATACAGCGAAGAACTGATTATTAAAATTGTTTTTCAGAGTGGGTCCCTCGGGAAGGGCACAGTGGTCAAAGAGCTGTCGGACGTGGACCTTGTGGCGTTCGTCAACCCGCCCCACTTGCAGCCCATCGTTGACGTCGGGCCGCAGACCTACAAGTACCAGCTGGACGTGGTGCTGCGGGACATGGTGAGAGCCCTGAGGCAGTTACAGAATGTGACGGATATCAACAACAAAGGCTTCCTGCTCAAGTTCAAGCTCACCAATATCGGCCCAAACCGAAGATCTCTCAGCATTGATCTGATGGCTACATCGGACTGTCACCTGAGTGATTCTCGTGGTAGGATATGTGACTCTTTGTTTTCATACACTCCACAGAGCTGATATTCATATATCAGTCATTTCGGATTTTTGTTCTTCAACATTGGAGGACAAAATGCAATTGTTTCAGAAATTATAATTTAAATTTGAATGCACCATTCGAGACTGGTAAAATCCGAAATTCTTGTTTCAAACTGAGTTGTTTGATAACACTTTAAAAGTCATGGGTTAAAACTTTTGTGATCTTAAATTAACACGGGGTATAGTGCTGGATTTTGAACACTGTGGTTTTGGAGTCATGTAATGTTGGATTTTCAACACCACAGGTGTTGGATTTATTCCATGAGGTGTTAAGTTACAACCATAGGCTATACGGTCTTGCATGGGCACGTGAGTTTGTCACCAACGTTTTTTGCACTGGAGATGGTAACAAAATGTTCTCATAACCGCACAGCCAAAAGGAAGCTCTTCGATGCCATGCTCCAGCAGCGGGCCGATGATCGTCGCTACTACTCCCCCGCCGTGATCGAGAACCAGCTGGAATTCGTCAGGGATCAGCCAGGCGCCTTGAAGGCCCTCATCCGCCTGGTCAAGTACTGGGCCTACCAGCGTCTCCCCGACCACCTCCAGAAGTCGTACCGACTGGAGTTGATCACCATCCATCGCTGGGAGAACGCTGGGAGCCCCTTACGTTTCAGTAAGGCCCAGGGGTTGAAGGACGTCCTGCAGGTGCTGAGCAACATGTCGCAGCTTCAAGTGTATTGGGAGCGACACTATGACGCCTCAGTGGCAAAGAAAGCGATCTCTCACTTCAAAATGCAAAGGTCTGTACACGTACTGTTAGTTATCTTTTTCTCCCCCCCCCCCCGATTTCCGGTGGGATTTCCAACTGCAGAAACCTACAAGAAACTACCATGTTTAATCGACGTCAAGCAATATTAATCGCACTCACTACCTTGAAGGCCAATAACTGGGTAATTGATGCGTTTATTTCCCTTCACTTCATTTCTAGCTTATTTTGTCTTTTCTACTATATTTTCTGCCAAGGCCTATTGTTCTCGACCCGTCAGAACCAACGGATAACGTCTGCAATCTTTACATGGAAGGAAACAACCTGCAGTTGATGCGAGCAGCCGCTACGACGACACTCCAATCCCGACTGCTACAAAATGTCTTCGTTCGACAGGGCTGGAATTAGTGCCGAGTCTTCCCAGAGCCCTAAAAATCCATGACTACGAGCATCAGTCATGAAGATCTACTTGTAGTCATTTTTCAGTGCTTTAGTGATTGTCCACTGATATCACGTGCTACTTTCAAATACATGTATAATGTAACACCAAAGAAAATGTTGAATGTGACACGTATCTGCAATAACATTTTAAGTACGAACTCGAGATTTTAGAGGATCAGAAGGTAGTTTATGTGCACGCTATTTGAGAAGGAAATACCTTCGAACCAGCGTTAGTGAATTTTAAGCGTTCTGAATGTGAACCCTCCAATTTTGTCGGTATAAAAGTTTATGTACATCGCATACAGAAAATGCTGAAAACAGTAATCTAAGGACATCACAATGTGCAGGTATTAATGCTATAAAATTATCAAGAAGGGCAGGGCCTGTAATTACGTATCAGAGGCCTATGATAAACGAATATCTCGCTGGATCCCAGCTTTTCTGTTAATAAGATCTTGGAAATGATTCAATGATTTCATACATGCCCTTTGTCATACCCCTTCTCGCACTTAGTATTGCAGGTTCAATAGAAATCACTATGGAGTAGTATATAACACTTAAATCATCCTGAAGCGTTATAGATGGATATGGGTTTAGTACCCAGCGTGATAAATTAAAATGGGCATTATTCACAAGCCGCCATATTGCATCGAAAGCAAGGTTGCCTTTTTCGTTTGGGAACCTAAGAATAAAAATTAAAGCAATGAAATAAAAGTTCATTGCTAATGAATCTCAAATGCTGATTAATCCTTTAAAATTTGTGATTAAACATATCTAAATTTTAAAAAATATTTTCGAATGAAAGGTTGGCCTGCATGATAGCCTCACGCCACCCTGTTTACCAGATTACATGTATTAAGATTGGAGGAACATGATCCAATTTAAAAAGAAATATGAATACGTCAGTTTAGTTGACCAAGTGTAATAATTAAGGATCAGCATATGGATCAAGCAATGGCCAAGTAACGGGGATAAGCAAGTATTGGTCATACACATGGAGTAAATCGTTCACCAGAGAAAGGGTTTGCAAGAACGTACCTAGCTAAGCAGAAGCTGTGGTGTTGTTTTGGTAAGTATAATAGCAGTTTGTACCTTACATTGCCACACAGGTCTTTAAGCATTAAAACTATCGTGAGGAATTTGTGTTCGATGGGAAAGAAACCTTTCTACTGTTAGGCAGCCTCGCACTCTATGCCCAATTGTAAGTCTTTATTCTTTGTTTTTCAGTGACAAGCATGGAAATGTTATGAATATATGTCGGTGTAATGGCAAAACTCGTGATTAAAAATTAACTCCCAAACAGCTGTCTTCTTGGTTGAAAGTTTGGCGGAAATTCCCCCTAAAAACGAGTTTCAACTGACTTTTTCAACTTTAAACTGAAAGAGCTGTGGAACTTTTTTTAATAATATTTGCAGTTTTGAATTACAGACACATTTCAAAATAAGACAAATTTGCCAGTTATTTTGTTATAAACCGTGCTACTAAATAATTAATAATGTTAGAGCTATGAACACGACTGTTGAAATAAATTCTGTTATGTGAAATGGCCTACATGACACCGTGCATATACCATACACCACACGATTATAAAATGAAAGCTGATTACATGTGCAGGCACGGCAACAACCTATCCGAGATTTGTGTAGAGAAGATGATCATATGCCTGCTGAATGAGCAGGCAGCTGCGGGGCGCACTGTTTGACTCCATGGAAATGAGGTTGAGATTTTCGTTAGGGGGTCTAACGGAGACTCGCCATCAACACGTCGACGTATCTTTTTTTCCTCGCGGACCTATACGCATATACACATCGCTGGCAATCGAGCAGGCCCATAATACAAACGACCCTGAATGTTGAGGCGATATGCTCATGACGTGTACAGGACATGAATAGTGCGTGCACGGCCGGCCTTAACACATTGTCCGTCCCTGTCAGGTTCAAGGTCCGAATTCATTACATCGTTTCTTGGTGCTACGTGCGCCAGGCACCTGATTCACTATGTTTGCAAGCGGGATTCATTGAATTGTGACGAAACGTGCAGAATAATCATTGCATACAAAGAGGAACTGCAAACTCTTCTCCAGCATTGTCTGAAGAGAGTGGGCTTGTGTGTACATTTAAGATAAAACTTAAATAATCCTTACAGATATTATCGGAATATGTAAAGACTGTATTTTTCAAAGGGATATTTCTATTATTAATGTTTCCCACACCCCTTTTAAAGAGTGGAACAGGCGCCGGTGCAGCCCGTCATATACACAATGAGGCACATTCTGGCTCACCCCCCGGGGCCCATGAACCTGTGACCTGGTGAGGCAATGCCTATGAATAGCAGGCACTGTTGAGCAACACCACGTCGGGAATTCCACATTTTCAGCGGTGATTTGTTTTACCGGGTAGTCCATGTGGTCCTCTGATTGAACAAATCTGATTGATCTGGCGATCTGCAGCATGCTGTATTTTCACTTTTCCGAATCCGATTAATTGATTCTTGTACATAGATTATGTTTCTATATGTGATGTCAACTTGTACTCTATATTAGAGACCATGAAACAAGTACGTGTATAAAAGCCTATTTTTCCACGTACTGCCTTACGGAAAAATTCAGGTGCACATCTGTATCTAAAAATAGAAGCCACTTCACTTAGCCATTTTCTGTGAAAATGCCTTTGATGTGTTCTTTGTTTTTTCTTTTCTCAGTTTGACACCTTAACATATGGGCATAAATACCGGGGGATGGGATATATATACTCCCCCCACCACCACCGCTTTGGGGAAGGGGAACGGCGACTGAATCCCCCCGTCACTTTTTTTGTGATGAGCCAAAAAATTAGAGAGGATTCTGACGAATTTGGGGGATTCCCCAATGACTAAAGATGTTTGCAATGTCACGAGAAAGGGAAAACGGTTTGATAAAGCCGTAAATCTACCATTCTGATGCACGATCCCGCATGAATTTGATGCACATGACCGATGTATATCTTTATCATGCACGTCGCCTCCCATGGTGTCGCCTCCCTCCCGCTTTTCAAATTGCCATGGTCGGGCAAGTCACCCCTCCCGCAGCTCCCGCAGCTGGGTCAGCAGTTTCCGTCTTGTACTCGGTAAAACAATTCCGATGTATGAATGGGAGATCCTTGATAATAATGCAAACGCACAGATAGAGCGGACTACAAAACACAGCGCTTTTCTTGTGCCTGTTTAGCAGGGTGGAAGTGATGGAGTATGTGCGCTACTTCTGCTGCAGGTGCAAAGAGCCTAAAGAGACTGATTATGGCTATGAACTTTTGTCATTGGATTCCGAAGAGCCATGGAGTTTGTCTTGTGACAAACTGGACGAATGGTTTGACGCAAACTTAAAGGAAGGGACAGAGTCATGTGAAGCATTCCGCAAAGCTGCATTAACTGTGTACGAAGACATCGGCTGGATGTATACACGCGGCTGGATTCCATACAAATGTGATAAATTTATTTTGGTAATTACTACCTTTCAGGGTCTTTTTAATTATGCTAATGCTCTAACATAAATCCTATCAGAATATTTTAAATTGATTTTCACCATCGATATATCGACCACTGCTTTTTTCAATGTTGCTGGTTACTCTCAGGGCCATGCAGTACATAGAATTGAGGTAAAAATCGTTCTTTCCAATTAATAATTTCAAAATAGCAACCCTGAAATAAACATGCTTGTTACACAATATACTCTGGGTCATGAGATAACAAGACTTTTTCCTTAATTTGTTAACCTGAAACCTCTCCTTTGACAAATTTAATACTACATTATGAATGTTTCGTTATCTTTCCTTCCAAAATAGAGGTACTTTTATTGAGACAGTTGATACGGTTGGGACGTACGTTACCTCATTAGGCCTACTTCACTTAATTCATTATTGACATACAGGGGGGATCGGTTGGAAAGCGCACTATGTTGTCAGATCATTCCGATGTGGATCTAGTTGTGTTCATCAGCACCGACCACTTGAAGCCAATCAGCTCTTATCCGTCACCGAAAGACTACACGGCCAAGCTCAAACAAGTAATCGACGGTTTTGCGAGAGCGATGGAATCCGTCGGCATGGAGGTTATCCGGTGTGACGATTTCCTTGTCTGCTTTGAAACTAAAGTTGGCCAGAAGATCATGAGAGTTGATCTTCTTCCAACCGCTAGCAACGGTGGTAAGATTTAAGGCAATATTCTTTTGTTGATTTTTTGTTGTTCGCTTTGTCGCTTTTTGGTTTGGTTTGGTTTGAATTGGCATGTTTTTCAACAGATATACATACAGCCACAGTGTTTTTAAATCCTAAGACAATGTACAACTCGGTATTTTCATATTGAAAGTAATTTGAAAATCGATAATATACAGTCTTTCTGTATGGTTAATTTTATGACTATCTGATAGAGCGGGAGAAAGTATACAGGGAAATGTTTCAGCTTACCAAGTTGGCGAAGAGTACCGCGGAATACTCGGCATCTCTGGTCGAATACCAAAGAAAGTTTGTTGCTAACAAGCCTGAAGCTGTCAGGGAACTCATCTGCTTAGTGAAGCACTGGGCCTGCACTAAGTTGCCAGAAGAGCTACAGAAGTCCTACCCGCTAGAGCTGATCACCATCCATCACTGGGAAGAGGCCGGGGGACCCGCTGATTTCAGCAAAGCCCAGGGTCTCAAGGCCGTTCTCTGTGCTTTGGCGAACTTAAAGAAAGAACGGAAATACTGGAAGGACTACTACGGCAAGGATTTGGCTCTTAAGTCCATGAAATCTCAGGGAATGAAGAAGTGAGTTGTGCAAATTATAAAATTAATTAGTGAATTAGGTTCGGTCTTTTAACTATGTTTGCTTACCCAGTGCATGTACCCACAATTGGCTGAGCCTTTTTTTAATCACCCGTTTTCTACGGCGGATGACTGTATCATAGCTTTACCGACTTGAATGAGAAATTCGTATTTCATTCAATGTATTGATCAGCTTCTGAGTTCTGTCAATCACCCTGTTGGGATCCCAAACTTCTAAAAAGTCAACCTCCAACGTTTGTCATGTAGTTTTAGTGGAACGTCTTATTTTAAATTTCCTTTACCGGAAATCAGGGGGTTCATTGATGTATTATCGTATGATACAATACAGTAGGCTAACTTATGAGTGAGGCTAGTCAAAGTTTCGAACGTTGCATGCAGAAGGCTCGAACAAGCCTCACTTATAAGTGTGCCTAATGTATTGCATCATATGATAATATATTAGCACCACAGTTACAGCATGGCTATTTTGCTGCACAGGCTTCACTTATAAGTAGCGGTGGGTAGTCGGATCGGTGCATTGTTTATCACTGGAAGCGAAAATTGGGATTTCATTTAGAACATCTAGAACTTCAAGTAGAACTAAAATAAAATCAATCAAATTTGCAATACGCTCAAAAGGTCACGTTGCTTGGGTTATTGTTGATCAGTAAACTGTTAAACAGCATTCATGGTGTCCCAACACTTCAAGACCCCTGCTTTGGTTTATTTTCTGGTATACTCATGAGTGATAACATGTTACGCTCATGGGAGTATAATCAAGATTCTGGTCCTGATGTATTATTTGTAGTCACCTTTACATGGGGGAACAAGATGTAACATCCGACTTGCAATAATCCGTGTTTCTGTTAAGGGTACACTTACTATGTACTATATTCCAGTCCCTTGGTCTTAGACCCTGCCAATCCGATGAACAACGTATGTGCAGTGTACCATCGAAGAGATAACATGCAGCGTATCGAACAAGTCGCAGAGGAGACCCTGCGCACGCCGCTTCTGAAGAACGTCCGCATCCGTTCAAAGTGGAGACGAGATATTAGCTATGCTTAATACCACTTTCTGTTGTAACGAAGACGACTAATACCCAGGCCTGAAAACAACATCAATATTTTTTCTGGACTTTGCAAATGGTTCCTATTATTGTTCTTGCAATTAATAACGAAATATCTGGCCAAACAAAAGAGAACAATAATTATGAGCACGATTATAGAATTTGTTTTTTTATCCTTTGTTTGTTTATTATTTATTTCCATATCTTAAATAAAATACTCACATGAATTAAATATCAAAATAACAGAAATGATATGAGAATTCCAGAAAAAAAGCAAATTTGTACACAAAATCTGGAACTTGAGTCTAATTATTTAAATAATGGACTATTATGTATTACAAGATCAAAAACACAATGAATTATCTATGTTTGCATCAATAATCCAGTTTTATATTAAAGGGTTAACTAAATAAATTTCTACGATAATAACTCTAAGAGATGGAGTGAACTACTCAAAGAGAGAAAAAGAAAAAAGGAACGTTATGTCTTGACGTACATGCATGTATATTCACAAATTTTTACGGGAGGGATCATGTCCCTCCGAAAAGCGAAATAATTGAATATAATGGGATATGATAATGAAGCCCCAAATCCCATCCCTGGCATAATACATTCCCCGCGCGCCACGCTTAAGTTATGCACCCGACTATAATATCACGTCAAATGCTGTTGAGTCAAACCGTTCTGGTCTTCAACATGCTCGCGAATTCGGTTCATGTGACAGATTTCCTTCAAACGAAAACAGACTTATGATAATATTATTTCAAATTAAGTGTTACTGCAGGATTTGTACATAATTAATTGTTTTGGGGTTTTAGGGATGTCATGGAATACATATCCCTAAGTGAGTACATTTACTACTACCCGTTTATCCTTCATCGTGCCGTTACGAAGCCAAACGGGAAGTTTGTTTTCTTTTGTTTCTAGGAAACGTCTTAACGACATCGGGCTCGTGTTCATGTTGGAGATAGAACAAAAATAAGCTATAAAAACAGAAAAAATAACGAGTGGAAAGGGCAGAGATTGTAATTCTAAACGGGATGTTTATGTTATTACCGTTTGGTACACCCCTTTTTAAAGAGTAGACCAGGCGCACGCCCCCCGGCATTAGCAATGATTGCATGCACATGCATCTTTCTCATCGGGGAAATTCCCGGCCATGAGTAAATGATTATAAACAATGTCTGTAATTTATAATTGTCAAGTTCCTCGTCTGGTGTTCGTCCTGACCTGAATTGGATGAAGCAGGATTTAGGGACCAGCGAACAAGATATACGCACAACTGTTGTGCAATACTACCCGCCTTTGCAAATTTCCGAGGTGTTGCAACCATCGCCGCATAGTACGTGACACCTTATGAACGGTTGCAAGCAGCGATTACAGCCCTTCATTTTCTGTGGTCAGGAAAAGATACATGTACGTAGTTTCTGGCTCTACACAGTCTCCAGGAGGTAGGCCTACCGTGACCAATTTGAAGAGTCATCATTTAATATCTTTAGTCTTCCGAGTGCATTTCCATGCAACTTGAGTCCGTTGAAACTGATCGCTGCGACACGAAACGGTGAATGATGGCTACTGCTTCTGCTAAAACTAAGGTAGGGTTGCCTTGGTGCACGGCTATGAGTCCAAGGGAGCTGGAGACCTGGTATAACGAAAACATCCAGCATGGGACTGACGACTTTGACCGAGACTGCCGCAGAGCCGTGGACGAGGTGGTGCGGTCTGTCCATAGGATTTGCTCTTCGAATGGCGTTTTATTTGACGTGGACAGAGTTATCAAGGTAAGTTTCTTTTTCAAACTTTAAACTTGAAGTGTATTAACAGGGAGGAATATATTTTGCTTGATTGTGGGTAATTTTATGCATGGATTCTGAGTGCTAAGTGCTGTTTTGACATTGGGATGCTCTGGCGATAGTTAAGCCCAAACAAAAACTTTTTGCCTTTTTGCCAATTAACACAGTCGCTACCGATTTCCTAAGGCACATTTCAACTCTAAAAGTCACCGTCATACTACAGGACATGACAGATGGGATCGATGGAGTTGATGGATTAACCTTGGATCTGGATGAGAAAAACATTTCCCGTTTCACACCAGATATCCCCTCGTGTCTGTTAAGTACTTTGTGGTTGGACGTTGTTTTTACTTTAAAATGTGGTATGCTGGCCACACCAGGGTAGTATTATCTATATTCGAATTGTGTTGAAGGCAAAAGCAGTCTGGCTCCCTGCCTCCCCACTCTGACTATGTAACTTCCCGATGACAATTCAAGAAACCAGGCTCCATGCAAAGTCCGAATGTGCAATACTGATGACGCCCAATTAATGTTTAAAGGTACAGTTCGTGACGTACAGTTATCCAAAAATTGGTGAAGCTATTGTTGACAAGCATGCATGGTTTAAAGATTGTCATTGGACTAAACTCCTAAGGTTATTAGTCTTTCTAGCAAGCTGTCATTTTGAAGAAACAGTAAAAGACGACCACTTCCAACATTGCGTTGCATTTTTTTTGGAAAATTGTTGTTAGAAGCGCGTGCAAGACAGTTTTTTGTATAAAAAAAAGCACATGATGACTGCGTGCGCAGGTAAACAATTATAACAACATTGTAAAACATTTTTGACAAATTACTGTGCGATATACATTTGAGATATCAAAAAGGGTTGAACTGCTTGCCTGGTTATGCCAGACGGCCCAAACCACTTTTACGAAAGCACAAGGATAATTCCGTAGCAGCAATCTGCCTACATCAGTGCTTGGAGAAGACAACACTTTTACGTATAATGTTTTATATTAAGTTTTTCCCCAAAACCTCCAAAGGTTGATTAATATTTATACCAGAAAGCCTAGAGATCCCAAAGGTTGGTCCACTTGAGATTAAAATGTTGAGAAAATTTTAAGGTCAAAAATTTGACATGCTTTTAAACGGGTGCAGGTAGGTAGGTGATTTAAAAATTGGTTTGCCAAAGCCTCTGAAAAAAACATGGAAAGGGTTTAACACTCTAGGAAATGTTCCTTTTGTATATTTAATCAGGGCGGATCTCTTGGAAAAGGCACCATGGTCAAGGATTTGTCCGATGTAGACCTGATTGCTTTCATCAACCCGCCCCACCTCAAGCCGATCGTCACATTGGGCCCCACACACTACCGGAAACAGCTGGAGGGAGTGATCCGGGACTTGGAAGGGGCGCTGCGCCAGTTGTCCTTCGTTAAGAATATCAGCAGAAACGACTTCTTGGTCAACTTCACCATCGGAAACTTGGGCCCCACAAAGCGGTCGCTTGGCGTGGACCTACTGCCCACCGCCGACAACTGTCTGGGGCACGGTAGAGGTAGGTGGGTACGGGGAGTGGTACCTCGTAGATGATGCACTGTTCATACTAATGAGCCAAGTTTCGCAAGTACCCGCGTGAATGCCATTTCAGAACGATTATTTGGCTCTAATGTTGTGTGACAAGTGAGTTCTTTTCCAGTGAAACTAACACGTAATGAAAATAGGGGCTCTAGTCCAAAACTACCATTAGGGAAACTTTTTGATGGAAGTTTTGTGTGAACCTTTGCCTTGAACAGTAGAAGATTTGTCAGCGTTGTGGTGTGTTTATTAAAATGTTGAAATTGCTGTATTTCATAATTAGGAGGTGAACATTATCTTTTATACAAAAGTGGAAGCCTCAAACACAAATAAGCAGCGTATTTGAGATTCATTTCCTTAAATATGGCCTCAGTCTATTTTTTTCTGGACAAGAAATTGAAAAATAACAGGAGAGAACACGTTAGCATTCATGTAGTCACTGTTAAGAAATTGAAGAGGGTCGGTACCCAAGTCAATGCTTAAATTTTGACTTTATTTTGGGTTTGACACTATTCTTGTAGCTCACTCTGATATGTTCAGAGCCATGCTGCAATTACCTAACGGCTACGACCGGGAATTCTACTCCGCCTCCTTGGCCGAGCATCAGCTGAAGTTCGTGGCGGAGAAGCCGGGCTACGTGAAGGCGCTGATCCGCCTGGTGAAATACTGGGCCTACGAGTGCCTCCCGGAAAAACTGCAGACGTCCTACCCGCTGGAGTTGATCACCATCTACCGCTGGGAGAATGCCGGGAAACCTGTTCACTTCAGCAAGGCGCAGGGGCTGAAGGACGTCCTGCAGGTGCTGACGAACTTGAGAGGGCTACGCCACTTCTGGACCTACCTCTATGACGCGTCGTTGGCGAATCAGGCGATCAAGCAACTCGACTATGTGAAGTGAGTCCGTCAGTTTAAAGTTCACGTAGAAACATGCAAAAACTTCACCAATTATGAGTTTGGGTGTTTGATATGCGACTCTCAATTTGACGTTTTGAAGCCAATGGATGTCAGGGTTTTCAAAGTAAAAGCCATCCCGCAGTTTTCATCCTGCAGTGAAAATAAGCCCAAAACGTCACTCCATATTCCAAAGCAGTAGAGGGCTAAATGTACTTTTTAACAGAGACTGGCCTAAGAATGTTTACAGGAGATGATCACTGGAGGAAACTCACCCAAAACCTTTTACTTCCTCTCTCTTCATAATTTCACAGGAGTGACATGTGGTGAATCGACGTTTAATTCGATTCTTGTCTCAATTGACCATCCTGGAAAAACGTGGGATATTTTTCTTTATCGTTGAAAAGGATGGAATCGGCCCTGTCCGGTTGTTAACTATACGTTTCAGCCACAATTTTCAGCATAAACATCGTGCCACTGTATTAACAAAGAAACAAACTTGCAGACTGTGGCAGACCGTCATGCATGCATAATGTTTTTTGAAAAACGATCTCAATCCAAATTTACAAATTCCACTTCTTGGATAAACCGTGTTTGTGAAAGTAAAAGTTCCTCCAGGAGTATTTTTGGAATCTGTTTTCTATTTTTTTCTTCTCTTTTCTTTTAATAAAATCAGTCCGATAGTTCTGGACCCAGCCAACCCAAACAATAACGCGTGTTGGGTGTACCAGAAGAGAGGCAACAATGTCCGTGAGGTTGAGGATTCCGCTCGAGCTACCTTGAAGTGCGCTCTTCTGAAAGATGTCGTCGTCACGCCCAACTGGGGAGCCTAACTTCACAGTCTGGCCAGAAACAATTCACGTAATGCCGCAAAAATGATAATAAATACATGTAGGTAAATTAGGCTGAGTCACTGATCTTCCCATGTTGACTAAATAACGCTAGATCAAGAGCTAAAGTCACTAGCATGACTGATGTCAATGAGAGACTCGAGCTTTCAGTCATAGTTGGCTGTCAAATCCGGACTTTTACAGGCCGTGTTGCACGGACTCAGTGTTTTAAGGAAACATTTCCGCCAGTGGAATTACTGTCAAACATGTCCCATATCTTTAGCTAAGGAATTATTTAGTTATCTCCCCAGTACTGCGCGAAAAGTTGGAAAAATTACAGCACCTCATCTTGAAGCCGACTTGGTGGTATTTATCTTTGATTGACCAAGCAATCGAGTCATAATTAAGTGGCTTAAGTTGTCTTGTGCGTCCAACGCTATCCAGTTAAAAAATAGAGTTCAATGAGACGCGTTGAAATTACATTGGAACACTGTTACAACAAAATCCTTGGTATGCAAATTTCCATGCTACAATATTTACCTTGTATTATCAGTAATGGAAAACACAGAAAAACAAAGACATGGGACCTAAAAGTGTCTTTGTTATAAATATGACCTTACAGTGCTCTTCTTATCTGTGTTCAACTGTACTTTGTTTGGCTGGGAATGAGGTTAACCCAGTTCGAAAGTGTGACGTCACTTTAGTTTAAACCACGCCCACTGCACATAGTGCAACGTAAAATCACGGAACCAGAAGTTAACTTGAGAGCTCATCCGGAGCTTACAGTCAGTGGTGCGTTCGCGTGTATGACGAAGTCACTTAAGAACCGAATAGCAAGCAGCTACCGCTGTTTTCCCAGAGGTTTGTGTCTTACTACCAGCGAAGACCAAGGTATGCCAAGTACCGGTAGTGTTAAGCTGGCTTTTGTCGTAGTGGTAAACCGAGGAAGGCTCAAATGAGATTAGATTCGTTAAATTCTGCAAAAGTTTCACAGCGGAAAAAAAAAGGAGCAATAGGAACTAATTTAGGTGAATAAAAGGGTTGCCAAGAGCGGATCCAGAACAAGATTTTTGGGGAGCAAAATATTGTTTTGAGGAGCAGGAGAGTATTGACCATTTTAATGTAACCTAGATATAGGCTTATCGGGGTAATTTGGTGCTTTCTACGAGCTTTTGGAAGGAAAGGAAAAGAAACAGACCAACGTATTGCTTCTCTCTCTTTATTAAAAGGTTCTTTGCTGCTTTCTTTGGGGGCTTGAGAATCCACCACCCCCCGATTCGCCACTGATTAGAGCACATCGTTACCAAGGTAAATGAGCATTTGAAGCGGACATATTTAGAACCTTTTATTTCCTTTTTTTATTCCTTAAGTACATACGAGTGAGTCTGTTAAATTGAAATTATTTGTTCAGGTTTACGCAAATTAGTAATTGAAATGAATTAAATTCGAAAATTGTAAGCCCTTTGTACGGTAAGTACCAGTCTCCTCATTGAAAGACAGATAAGGGGACACAATGCATTAGCCTACATACCCTCACGAGCTCTGCCTAGATTAGGAACATTGAGTAAAACAGAGGTTTTTTATGCAGTGATATTTAGCATCGCCACCAGGCCTTTTTCGTTCTTGGTAATATTCTATTTTTATGCTCAAGGTTATTTTTGGCAATGCGACTTTATTTGTGTAATATTGAATTTTCACCAGCACGAGCAGCCATCTCTCACACAGTTGACTCACTGCCTCAATCAGTCCTATTTTATCCTATAACATCTCGCTTTATGTGACAGCCAGTATCAATATACTCATACTGAATAATAAAGAGTCATTGGATTGAAAGACTAGTTAAATTTGCATGCAAAGTAACAGACCTGTTCGGGAATATTTACATCGTGCTTGTGAATAATGTCTCATTTTGCATCTTGAGTTGATCTTGGCATTACATGTATTGTGACTTTAGATGGAATATTGCTGATACGGGGACATACGGTTCATGGGGGTTCACTGCCTCCTTAAACAATTGATTGATCTGGAAGATGGCCCAAGGCGACTGGTCATAATTTCTCTTGTCATTATTATATATGTCTTTGATCTCACTATCAGCCGTTAACCCTGACTAGTGAAAAAATGAGAAACAGAGGGGAAGCGCAGTTTTATTGATATCTCTCAAGCCTTTAATCAGTCAAATTGGAGACTGGAGGGTGAGGCTACGGTTGAATGGCTAGGCCTGCACATGATACTGGGAATGAAGGATTCATTTTGCTCAGCAGAAGCGGACCAAGAAGGGACAAAATACAGCGACAAGGTCCCCATTCACGAATTTAGGGTCACACCTCCGAGGAAAACTAAGACTTCAGAGGCCTGATGTTGTAATGACTTGTTCAAAACAAGAGCTACCCTGGCCGCCTGCAGCTAAAAAATTGGTTTAAAAGTGGTTGGATTTTCTTACAACTTAACTTCCGACAAATTCTGAAATGGTAAATGACCTTAGTAGTGCTTGTCACAGTAGGTTTATATTTGTCATAGTACTTCTTTGAAATAATGACGTTCAAAAACTGTACACTTTACGTTTCACTTGACTCCAAAAGATTCCAAACAGTTTTCAGAAACTGAAGAAGAGTTTAGACGTGCACAAAAAAGTGATTCTTAGAGAAAACATTGCATCGTTTCTCTGAAGAAAGTAGGATAACTATTAAAGCTATAGGTATAGACAGAAACCGTTGTGGATTAAAATACCTGCGAAAAACAAGATAATTTAAATAATTTATCATATCTGCAAAGCTTTTCGAACTGTGTGTGTTTATGCACGAGATTTTCACTTAATCGTTGTACTAAATTAGTTTCCACTCTTTTAGGAGAAATTTCTTCAGATATTATTTTTAACCATTACCGGTAACTGACCCCGAATGAAGTAGTGAAGAGATGCTATTTCAGAATAATGGTTCTTGATGCTTAACAGTGGAGAGATATTCCGATGTCTTTGCACCACAAAGATCTAAGTTCCTTGTATTTCTTGTATAATACTGATAGGTATCCTTCGTAAAAAGAATGCAAAGCGAAGAAGGTAATAAATTCCTAAAAAAGTAAGGAGATTCGCTTGAGGAGCTTTTTGTTCTTCAAATGTATAAAAGAGTGAAGCAGACACAGTGCGATTATCCCTCCCGAGCGACAATGAATTCGTAGGTGCAGGATAGGGAGGAGAATATGGGGTCAATTTAAGCCCCCACCCCACCCTAAACATAGCGAATAAATAAAAATTAAAGTAACAATGAAAAAGATGACACAATACAGCGCGTATGAAGGTACGTGCAGCAGTGATAAACACGTATAGTACATTATCCACGAGTCCGAAGCGACCGGGGAAAAAAAACTGACAGGCCGGACCCTCCACCCCTGGATGGTATTGTTATTCAAAAAGTAGCCGAAGTTCGGACTTGTTTAGTGAGGCGTAACTAGAGTTCAGATTTTGTGTGACTTATCTTTTTCTCTGTGTCGACGTCCGGGCTATAGTTTCAACTATAGGCAATCTACGCTGACATTTACAAAGCTGTACACAAATCCACTAATAGAATAAATTCAAATAAGGGTACAATCCAGTCTGCAAAAACGTCATGTTGAGGTTTTGCTTGTGAGCTCTAGTATTTTAACTATAAATAGATTGACTGTTTCTGTTTGTCCATCTGTGCGTCCGACTGTCCACCAGTCTGTCTGGCATGGTGTTCGGAAATTCTTTGATGTTTTATTTCTAATAGCTTCTTTTGTTTTCAGGGCTTTAGGGATTGAAAATGCCATTAGATATATGTACCAATCAATAAAAGCGGCTGTTTCCACACCCCATTCATTGGGAGTGTCAAAAAGGGTGTATCGTGGCTCCGCCGATGCCGTCAAAGCTTGTAGGAACTTGCTGTAGCCCTTGGTAGGTTGACCATGAACTTCATCGGAAAGAGTGAAATTAGGGGCAAGACGTTTAAGAGTGAAGATCACTCTGAATTCAGACTGGAAAAGGTTGAAAATAGCCCCTTTCAGTGGAAAGTCGAGTGAAATTTCAATCTTTTGGAGTGAAAAAAAATCACTCCAATTCGTCTGGTCCTTAAATTTGATAATAGATTGATTTTTTACTCAAATGGAGTGAATTTGCACTCTTTGGAATTTAGAGAGTGGTGTCCACAATCACCCCAGTCTTCTGACGGTGGATCCTAAATATGATCTAGGGGTACGCATGACGTCATATATTTCCTTCACCTCGCTCATGTCAACCTCTGTCCCTGACTGAACAAAACCAGCAGAAACAGAACGAAAAGGAACGTGCACTTTTGGGTATACATCTCATTGCGGGGCTTCAGCATTTATTCAAATTGGCGGCTAGTGGGTGGAGCTAGACTGGTTTGGGGACCACGTCTGTGTATACAGGCGAATCCTTGCAGTTGTTAAGTCGAAGGGACATTACTATTTTTGCGGCACGTGCTACGATATTAAACCCCAGTATACCCAACAAGGTATGGGAGGGAGGGGTTCCCCCTCCCCACGTGTCCAATCGCTATACACACTGTAGACTAATGTCACCAAACACATCCTCCAAGACGTCTGAAAAGAATTCCTGAGATTCCGATCTAACAATGACCAATACAAAGGTGGAGGTGTTCTCCGTCCCATATCTTGCTTTAAATGAATCCCACTGGCCATGGTAGGAACATTGCTGCAGTTTTGATTGTTATAGCCACATCGATACTTTTAAAAGATGTCATCGATGGCATTTTGCTTGTCCTGGTCTTGTCAAATGATATTGGTGACTTATGCTTGCGATTTGGGCATATCTGATGGAAGTACTGTAGGAAAGAATTTATAGTTGTCAGCTGTGGCGGTCGTTTTCATCACTGTGGCGTGATGCTTCCCCGAGTCACGACCACAGCAACACTGTCTTCAGTCTAAGGAATTATTATTATTACGTTTATGTGCAATCTAATAAGTCTGTGTACCGGTAGTATGCCAATCTAACGGCTTATTGTCCAACAGTAAGGAACAGCGATGCCTATTGTCCGATCAATATTGTATCCAGGGCTCTCACTGATGGGGGGAAGGGGAGCTGGTTGTTGGGAGCAAGTAGTAGTACTTCCTATATAATGCTATTATTTCTCCGGTGGAGAGGGACCGGACGACTATTTTGTTGGGATACGCTCCCGTGGCTACGCAGTTGTGTGTCCGATACCGGTACCGTAATGAACAGCGCCGCCATTAAAAGATGGTGCTGATCAGTTTACCAGTGAATAAATATGGGCTGCCTTTCAGCAAGGATGCCAAGTGCCCTTTTCCCGGTTGCATGCCCTCACCGTGCCCAAACAAAATGTCACTGCACCACGGTCTCCACCATGGTACGTAGAGCAGCACGAGTGAGCTTTCCAAGACACCTTGGGACAAACTGTGACATTGAGTTAAATTTGACCAACTCAAGGCGATGACTGTGATTAATTGTTTTAGGTAATTTAAAAGTTGTGGGGAGATTATCAGGTCAGGATACCAGAGTTTTTCCCCCTTTAAAACGGATTTCATACACACCGGCGCAATAACGTCAGGCCCAGGTGATTTCTCATCGGGGGATTCCCGTTGCTCTTGATTGAGCAACACTGAAGTTTTCATTTGTGGTCGACGGGACACGTCATCTTTATACCGGTATAAAAACATCTGTAGGTTGTGCAACCGTTTCAGTTTGGGTCGAAGCACTCGGTGAACAGGTAAGTGTGAAAATTATCGTAATATATTAAGCAGAACTTTCATCCTGTTGGTGTGTCTTCAGTTATCTGTAACCTAGGATTCCATCGATATGTTGCACTGACTTGTGATGTATCCTTACTTTCGTCTGATTTAGAAGTATCCGTGTTTTTGTGCAGGGAAACAACTCAATGGTCGTATGTATTCAAAACTAGCAAATGATAGCAAAAGCGTTAGAAGCATTACAAATAAGCACATGCTTGAATTTATAAGAATAAAAAATCCATATTTTAGTTTGCAGTAGTACAAATGGAAGAAAGCATTTAATTGGTATTTGTAGCTGAGTGCACAGCTGAATAATTTTTTTAATGGTTTCCATCGTCCGTACGTACAAGGGCTCACAGAGCAGCCCGAGTATGTTTGAAAGGTTCAGTTCAGCAGAAGGTCATACGTGTATTTGGTCGTTTGTACCCCGAATGCTGTGAGGCAAAATCTGTCGTTTGAAGTTTGTGAAATGTTGGGCCTTGTTTACGAGGCAAAACACGCAGGAAAAAAATTAACTGCACACGGTGCACGTGAGCTGAGCTGAGGCCCACGAATGACTTTCTGCTTAGCATTTAGCTTTTTTGTGTGACAAGCTTTGTTCGGACGGATTCTGATTCAGAAAACCTAACCGATTAAAGGGAGTTTCCGTGCCACCGCAGGAAAGAAGCATAGCTTTTCCCTCTTGTAAACCTTGTAAGTTGTTAATGAACTTGGTAAACCACATGAACTTGTCTTGAAAGTTAATATGAACACGAACACTGATACCGAAAGGTGTGCTATTTGAGGTTTATGTTACTTCTAAAAAGTGAAAACACAATCTTTTGTAGCGAAAATGCACTCCCGAAGTCAAAAACTATATAGGACCAGACGTTTCAGAGTGAAATTTCTGCAATCGAAAAGATCGAGCTTTCACTCGAGCTCCAACTGAAGTGATTATATTTTAAGAGTATTTCAATCTAAATTGAGAGTGATTTTCACTCTAAATCGTCTTGTCCCTAGTTTCACTCAAGTGTAATGGCGTCGTCGGGTATCAGATTACAACAGGCGCGGATCCTTGCAGTTGGGGATTCACCCATTGCCCATTGGTTATTTTTATTTGCCTGGTTAATTCACGTGAGCCTTGCTTCCGGTTGAAACAGGTTTGCATTATTACTTCAAATTCAGAAAAGATTTGAACTTCTTTTCAACCATATTAGTTTCCTGTAAGAAAGTGCTCTTCAGACTGGGACTTCTGACATCATGTAATACCCGAGCCCCTTCCCAACATAAAGTTGAGAAATCTTGGAAATACATTTTCAATTAATGTTTATGGTGCAGTTTGTGGCGATCGCCACAAATTAGTTAATGATCACCCTCAAGCAGCTTAACAGATATCCAGAAACTCAAAATAATGACGTTATCAGACTAGAAGTAATGTCCAAAGAATGTAATGAGATCGGCCGCGAGACAGTATAGTTTTGTAATGTCCATAAAATAAATGTATGGGTTTCACGTTTTCTTTGGGTGACCTCGTGACGACCAATCAGGTATCAAATACTTAAACAATATTACTTTTAAATCTTTTGAATGAATAACAATCAACCACGAAGGATCATGTGATGTTGTTGGTTTGCGGGTGTTATTCAGAAATCAGCTAAACAACACTTTCTCGTTACTTCTGTTAAACGAATAAATTCATAAGACATTTATTATTGGTGCCTTATAATATGAAATTGCTAAAAAATGTGAACTTTCTTTTTCTGAGACAGGACGATTTCTGCACGGGTGTGGAGATTACTTTGAATATGCATACACTCTAAAAACTCCCGGGTCAGATTGACCCAGAATAGGGTCCCATTCGGTGTGACCCTTTTCCGGGTCAAAGTATGACCCAGAAGAGGGTCAAATATGACCCGAAAGAGGGTCATTTTTGACCCAGAAGAGGGTCACGCCGAATGGGACTCAATTCTGAGTCAATCTGACCCCGGGGTTTTTAGAGCGTACTAATGCGTGCACTGGCACAGAAATTGCCCGCGCAAAAACAGCTAACAAAATTGACAAATACACTAAACAGAACGTGCAAAAGCCTCTCTGTGAGTTACTTTCCTTCTGTATAAAATATACAACGTTCAAAATAAACTCTATTATTTTTTTTTTTTTTTACAATCATCCTAATTGAATTGAAGGATTTTCTGTCCAATCACCCAGCATTTGATCATCAGTAATCGCTCCCTTCCGGTTTACATTTGTGGTTTTTCAGAAGTCCCTTTTTTCAGTTTTTCTAAATTGTACTTGTGGCTGATATATAATACTTAATAGCTTGTATGGATTTGCAGTTGTATTTTTTTTGTCTTGCGTCGGTTCTTCGTTGTGGTGATGGCGGTGGCGGGGACTGCTGTCATCTTTGTCGCTGACACAATGTCGCCATCACCAGTGGCGTAAATTGGGGGATGGGGATGGCGAAAGGTTGGCTGTGACTAGGCGATGGAAATTTGAAAAGCAGGGGGGCCTGCACCATATACACTATTGGGGACGAGATGGGACGATAAAGATGTATATCTGTATATGAAATTCGTGCAGAATCTCACATCAGAGTGGGATATTTATGGCTTTTTACAATTGGTGTCCCTTTTTAGTGATATTACAAACATTTTAGACGTTGGAAAATCCAAAGAATTCTTTGCAAATCCACTTTAATTTTTTTGCTCATCACAAAAATCGAGAGGGGGATAATATACCGCCATCCCCCCCGGGCATTACATCCATAGCCATCACCGTCTACCTCACCATCGTCGGGGTCAGCGACGTCCCTATTCATTTGGTACTTTGTATGCCCCTTATTTCAGCTTGAAAACAACACTTCCGATTGAGATCATGGGGAGCTGGTTTTCAGTGGGGTCTGATCCTTGGGATCTTGACCCCAGCTACTTCGAGAAATGGTACAACCTGAACATTCGAGAAGGACTGGGGAAATTTGAAACCGACGCCCTCGAAGCTATTGACACTGCCCTCATCGCCCTGGCCCGCCGAATGGCTTGCTCCAAAAGAAACTTGTTTGACGTCCGCGAAGTTATAAAGGTGAGCCGTGAGTCTTCACTTTCATGGTCGCCAATTAAAGAGCCCCGTTTCTAGTACGTCTCCACAATGACACACGGAGATATTGGTCGAAATCCAGCCGACACAAACTTGAATGATGATAACCTTTGTACTATTTGGCACACCGTAACACCCTCGATAGGCTGGGAAGCGAGGAATGATTGTCTTGTCATACCACATAATAGTACAAAGTCAAGTGCACAAAAGATCATTCATGATACGTGGCAGGTTAAGGGTCAGGGCGTCAGTACGCAAGACTACTTGAGTAAGTATACCACAAAACAATGCCTGTGTATGACATGCATAGCTCAATTTCTTAGTCGACATAAACTGGTCTGATTCCTGCTAGGACCGTCTTATTTGTTGCAAGTTTAAACAAGAAATTGAGATTTTTAAAACATTTAAAAATTTTCTATTTTAATACTTACACAAATAAAGGCCTTTGCGAGTTAAATTTGAATAAAATCTGGTACTCTGAGTTATCTGATTGCAATTGAATACTCCAGACTTAAGACAATTCGTTATACCTCATAACTCAGGGCGAACCTTTGCATAGCGACCACCATTTCTGGACTAGACTGGTTCCATTATGCTCTCCTTGATCCTAATCTTTCAGAATTATCGTTGACGTAAAGATATTTAACATTGAAATATCATTGCCTGACAGGTAACGTATTTGAAATTTGCTTTTAAGCTTGTATTTATGTTCATCCTAAAATACGATCGAACACTTAGGCTGGTTGTACTTTCAGTGTCCAAGCGTCGCTGCCTGTACCATACCAATTCCAAGCTATATGAGGCTAACTGACCTCAAAGGGGCTTCTGACTGGTTGTAGATTTCACTATTTTGACACATTTCCAACTGTGTTGTCTTGAAGGGAGGTTCCCTTATCACTGGCACCGCGACGAAAGATCTGACCGACATAGATGTGGTGGTTTTCGTCAACTCGCCCCATCTGGTACCTATCGGCTGTTCGTCGGTGCAAGACTACAAGGCTAAACTCAAGTCACTCATCGATGAGTTGGCAAAGGCACTGGGTGCTGTCCCCTCCGTGATAATAAGACAGAGCGACGCATGCCAAGTTAACTTCGACTTTGTAGTTGGTGGGCGGTCTTTGAGAGTCAATTTCTTCCCAACAGCAGACAACTTTTCCGGTTATGCCCTTGGTAGGGACTTTTTATCTTTCTTGAAGTACAGACTGAAACTCGGGCTCAAAACCCATGATATATAATTAAATTGCACAAATACATGTATACAACAACTTACATCATTCAATAATTAAAAAGGAGGGGGCTCCACAAGATCAAACCGAGGCTTAGTGCAAACCTACTCACAGGCGAGGGCAAGAGTGCTGCTCCAGTGAGAATCCATTGTCTCTTTGATTTACTATCTTGTTCATTCGCGTTGCCATTCGTTAAAGGTCCTTCAGACATCTTCAAAGAGATGATGCAACTGGGTGGTTACGACCGCGGGCTCTACTCGGCCTCCTTGGTCAAATACCAGCGGGACTTCGTCAAGAACCAACCCTGTACAGTCAAGGAGCTGATCCGCCTGGTCAAGTTCTGGGCGCACACCTGCCTACCCCAAGCGCTCCAGAAGTCCTACCCATTGGAGCTGATCACCATCTACCGCTGGGAGAACACGGGGAAGCCTGCCCTCTTCAAGAACGTCCAGGGCCTGAAAGATGTCCTCAGGTTCTTGTCGGCACTCCAGGTCCTCAGGCACTACTGGACGGAAATGTACGACGAGGAATTGGCGGAACAATCGATCACCAAACTTGGCCACAGAAAGTGAGTGAATACACTGACTGCATCATTTATAGGCGCTAGTTCAGGTGGATGGGTTAATTGGAATAAGTGACGAGCAGAAAATGTGGCAAGTGCTGAAAATTGTCAGACAGATGTGCTTTAAAGGAATAGATCTACGTTAATCAATCTGGGTATACAGCCATTCTGCCTTCTAGAACCCCGTCTGGCCACTCAATTTTGTGAGTGCGAACGCAACTTGAACTGCCCAATAACTAAGTGTATCATACTTATTTCTAAACACCAGGCATCTTAATTCTCCAATCTCGTGTCTTCCATGTAGCCCCATTTTGTTGGACCCTGCAAATCCAACAAACAACGTCTGCTGGGTGTACCAGAAAGGCGACAACATCGAGCTGCTGAAGAGCGCCGCCGAGTCGACCCTCCGGTCCAAGCTCCTCACCGACGTCATCGTCTATCCGAATTGGTGGGGTAGAAGGGACCCCTACGACTTTCTTTGTAATGATGCCGAGAACTAGCAATTCCAGAAAGAGCTCCATCCACTTCTCCAAAATAGCAACGCTGCAGCCATAACTTTGAATCAGTAGATTGTTACCTGTAGTTGCTCCTATGTTAATTAAAACTCAATACAGCATGATCCAAAAACATTCAAGAATTACACAATCTCTTAAAATTAGAGAAAAGCAAAATTAAAAGCAAAAGAATCAACAATATCAAACTAAACGATTTTGTATCTTTGAGCTTCCAACCAATTATTTTCATCCTGAGGGGCCCCTAGATTGACAGTTGGAAAAGTGTCGAGAGCAAATATAAGCTACTAGTAATGAATTGTAAATAGCCTAATATTGAAACGTGCGGTCGCTTTGGAACGACTTGAAATCATAGCTTATTTATATAGCGTATGGGTGAAAAAAATTACTTTCTTGGAAAACGTTCTCTACTCAGAATAAGCTTCCACATATCTTACATTGGACACTTTGATTCCAAGATCAATTAAAACTAGGGTAAAATCCGTCTTGTTAAAAAGGGAATAAAAATGTACTGTTTTACGTTTGTAAGACAGGGGCCCAATTTAATGGCGCTGCTTACCGCAGAATTTCACGCTTACGATCTCCATTCTGCGCCAACCGCGCTAGCAGAAAAATTCTACGCTAACCTTTTAAGCACAGAATGCTTAGTTAGGGGTTGTATATGCATGTGCACAAGCCAAAATTCCTCACTAACCCGTGAAATACGTTCGCTGTAAGCACAGAATTGTCTGCTTGGTAAGCGCATGCTTTTCGCTTGCGTTAAGCAGCGCCATGAGCCCAGCTCAGGAGAATGTACTTGACTTATGCCCGACCCGTAGGCGAGGGCATTATATGCCAATCGTAAACGTTAGTTTAAGACCAGCCAAGCGCATATTTGGTCCTATAAATACATTTTTTAGTCAAAGAGTCAAAAGAAATCTATATATGATGGATTTCCATCAAGTTTGTTTCAGAACTTTGCTTTCATTTTCCCAAACACCCCGTTCCATTTAATGGTATCTTCCTTGTACAATGTCCAAAAGAATCTCTCTTATATGGAATTGGCGCGCGCGTGGCAAGTCGCATGCAGACAGACTTTTGACCAATCAGAATCGATTAAACTGTCTTGTTTCCAGGCGCCACAGCGTGATCTATGCAACGGGCATTGTCACTTCTCAGCGGGCATTATCAAATGTTAATACATGTACACGGTCAAGTTGCACGTTGTTGAATAATAAGACTGTATGAGGTATGTATGATGAAGGGAATAAATAAGTGCTTGACCGGTCTTAAACGTTAGTTTAAAACCGGCCAAGCACATAATTATTCCCATTCATAAATAACTTTTTTGTCAGAAAACCAAAAGAAGTCAATGAATCTTCGGCGATTTTCCTCAACAATTTTCCCAAACAGTCCCGTCCATTCAGTGGAATACTCCTTGTGCAAATTGTCAAATTGGCGTGCGCGTGGCGAGTTGCGTAAACACAGACAAGTTGCACTTTCATAATAGAGAGACTTTCTGAGGTGTTTATGAATTAAATATAATTTTCCATTCAAAGCACAATCAAAACCTTTCAGAGGTTGAAAACGTTTTGGACAAGTTCTATGATTATTACCAGAACGTTATTATTTCTTAAGTTGTTTGAGTTAAGACATAACTATGCAAATCGTCTTTCAATCTATTTGTGTTAATAATGTCTATACGTAGCAGGGAATGAATGATTTATATTTTTACAAAACGGTTATCGAAACCCATGATTGACCAACATGTAATACATGGATTTTCCTTGCACATTGATTTTTGAAGATAGTTACTGACTGCACTGCCGACAGTGATGCATCAAGCTAACTAGTTTTTGACCCAACACTATACTGGGGCCGCATTGAGAGTCAAGCATACGCATTTGGAATTCTCTTCACGCTCTCACACAGTTTACCATGTTAAGAAAAAAAGCTTGAGGAAATATCCAACTCATAATAATCATCATTTTCTCTCTGTGTCCCGTCCCAGCAAACCAATAAAATCGGGTTTCTAACAAAACATGATTTGATTAGCTGTACAGTAGCAATTTCATACGAAACGTGTTTGAGGTCGTCTAGTTCCTTCCCATGTATTGACACCGCTCATTTGCATGCAAGTCATTTGGTTCTTTACTCATACATTGCTCAATACAGTCCTTGACCTTACACGCCCCTCCGCAAACATGACGCAGCAGGCTGTCCTCTCAAACGCCGAGTCTGGAATCACGTGACACCGGCACGATGATGGCGCTGCGATTTCTCATCGGGAAATTCCCAGATTTTTTGCCCGGTGCCCTGAATGGCTGTCATGTTTGTCGTTGCCTTCGTGCGGGCACCAGCGACGAAAAGTGTTCTGAATATGCGTCTGTCCTAGAGGACACGAATCGCAACGTTAGGAGGCTGCATTCATCGTCAGAACTCGGAAAGATACTATTCGGTAAATATATCTGCAATATTTTACTCAATTATAAGGTAGCACGAGCTTGATTACTTTCTGAACTATTTTGGAAACACAGAAGTGGGCACGACAGCAAGACAATGCGAGAAGAGTGCCCAGACTATATGACTACATGACATAGTGACTTGCATGTAAATGTACACAATGTACCTGAATTTGATATGCCCTACAACTGATAGCCTGTAGCGTGTTTGGTTTTCGTCGAGTTTTGTTTTGTGTTGTATTGTTTTTAATTACGTTCACTGTCTGTGTCACACCAACTTACTTTCCTGTGAGAAAATGAGTTTATTGGCCGTCTTGAGATTACAGTCTCCCACAGCTAGTGACAGTTTTCCGACAGTTTTCGGACTTCCCCTTATGGGGTAGTCTTGGCAAAGGACGTCAGTGATCGATAGTTGTTTTATTTCTGTTGAAGAGCGCCCTTGCACAGGTTGCGCACAATCTAATTATGACTCGTTGAGGGTGCACTATACATGCTGTTCGCTATCAAGCACTAACGTCTTGAAACCAAGACTACTTATGGGGTAGCCCGGACATCCAGGAGTTTCACCGCACCCTTGAAAACAACTGTCTGGTGACTACTTCGACTGGTGAAAATTTCGTATACATCATGCAAGATCATGTCGTTCAAATGCAGTTATGAATAACTTGACGATTGGTTCCGTCAAGTCGGATACTGACTGGTGACGTATGACACACGTTGTACAATAAAGGCTATCAAAAAAGGTGCGCCTCTTGCGAGCTGCCGGGCCGAGCGCGACGACTGTGTGGTGCGTACCAGCTGAAATGAGGCTGACTAGGGAGGAGCAACTTTAGTCCAACTTGATTCAAGTCGATATTTTCACCTCCGCGGTTCCTGCCATTTTGCGTGAATCCCAGATGTCCGCGCTGCCCCATAAAATGCTCTGACCAGAACCATGATTGTAGAGTCGTGTTTCCCCAGTGTGTTTTTTCCAAAACATTTCTAGATAACGTATTCGCATTTATGTTGATAAGGTCATGGTGGTGAGGGTCTTTACAAAGCATGGACGGCGAAGTCTTTTCTTTCTTTATCATTGTAATAAAACTACCTATGTTGAAATTGCTAAAAAAATTATTTTGTATAAAAAGGTAATAAATATGTACTTGAAAGTAGAATGTTCGCGCAGTAATATCAGCATTTATTCTCCTTAACCGGCCTTCAACAATCAAAGCATAACCTTTAAGTCAGAAAGTCATTACAAGGTTTCAGAAAAACTACAAAGTCACCGCTCATTTTTTGTCAGACACCTCTCCAGCTTTTGTTATGGTTTGCGCCACTCGCAAATAGTCGCAAACATAGAGCTCTTTATAGCTCTATGGTCGTAAACTAAACATCAACGGTCTCCTGGTATGATATTGGCGTCGTAGCATGACTGGGTGGTGTGGTGCGGAACGCGATGAGTCACTGCATTGTAAATATGGGACTCTCAAAATACAGACTCAAGTGCCAATATGAGTGAAGATTGTGAACGTGCAACCAATTTTAAAGAAAGGAAGGGCCATATTTCAAAGGATTCTAATTTTCATGTGACACCAGAAAAGTTTGTGAGATCAGCCAGTCGCTGCTGTATCGACTGCTTATGACTGGCCACGTGACAGGCTCTTGACCAATAAGAATATGCCTTGAAATAGGTATTTCATGTATGTTTGCATGCTGCCCTCTGCAAGGCGTTGTTGTATAGCCAAAATGAATCTGGGTTTAGACACGATGCCTGTATGAGCCCCAAGCTGGAGCAAAAGAGAGCGCGATTTCCTTAACAATGGAGGTTCCTTTGGTCGGAACTTAACTCCGCTGGTTCACGAACGACTAGGAAATGCGCGCGTTACGGTCACATCGCTACCAACAAAATGAACACTTCCGACCAACAGTGGCTCTTTTCAACCGATGAGGGAGTGCTTCTGCTCAAGGTGGATAGGGTTTTTCAATTGCACTTTGAAGCGATCGTAGATTTCAGTTAAGTGAGGAATTAGACAAAACAAATTAAACCCAAATATAGCGCTGACTCCCATCCATCTGTCCAACTACTCAGTTATTTCAACGAGCACAAATATAATTTTAGTCATCTCACTGCCGGGGGAAACCCAAAAACTCTTTACTCTCCCATACCCGAATCTTGATATTTATGTGAAAAGATTCTGCGAAGTTTGGGACAGACGATTTTGGTTTCTCCGTCATTTATGTTTAACGCTATTGTACCTATCGGCTGCAGAAATTGCACAAGTCAAAGAAAAGCTGATATTTTTGCTCGACTTGTATTTAAAAAAGCATTTTAGTAAAATACAGTAGATGGCCTATTTTTTTACAACTGCTGTCGAAATGATCGTGCAACACCACCAGGAAAGCTTCTGAAAGAGAAATACGGTAAATACAGGTGGAAATGAGATTGCTTGAACAAAGTGCGAAATTGAACATGAGATTTGACTTTTCGAGACGAATTTGAGCTCAGTCACTCATGAAATCTAATAAGAAAGTTTTGGGGAAGCCTGTTTTGACTTTGGACTCAGACAGTCCCGGCCATGTAACCCAAAGAGGTTGCGCTACAACTCCTTTCAGGATAATGGGGAATTTGCTGTGGTCCGGATCGACAGAGTGCGGGGTTGACAGCCCATCGGCTCAACATGGGCCATGGTTTCTGCATCCGCGTCAGCTGGAGACGTGGTACAACGACAACATTCAGCTTGGAACGACAGAGTTTGACGCCGACTGCCGTAAAGCTGTGGACGGCGTAGTCAGGTATCTCCACAACATTTGCTCCACGGATAGAAGCTTGTTCGACGTCAGCAAAGTTATCAAGGTAACGGTAATTGCTTGTGGTTCCAGTGTTTTATGGCAAGCAGCTGCTAAGCTAAACCATTGAAAGTGGGGCAAATCAAGATCTGTTCGAGAAACCGGTTGTTATACAATGTCCACCACATTATGTTGAATTCCGTTGACTGAGACTAAATCTCCCCTCCAACAAGTTCGATCTCAGTTTACGTTACTGAGTTGCAGAAGTCACAATGTCACATAAATAAAGTGTGTTATTTGGTTTGCGTCAAAAGGAAGGGATTGCTGTCTGGACATATCACTCAGTTTGACATTCTGACAAAAATGTAAATCATTTGGTGAAATTATGCTGGGGGTTCCAACTGGTTTCGATTGTGCGAGATTCTTTAAAAGACATTCAGTTCAAAGGTGACTCCGATGACTTGAGAATCATCTAGTGAGGCTGGGACACTTTTGTTTTCCGCGAATCAAAAAATGTTGTTTTATACAAATGAGATTGAAATTGCATTGATCCTCCCACGAAGCATTGTGTCTCACCGAAAACTGATCATCATTGGTTTGATAGAACACGCATTTATTGCTTACAGTCATTCCAGCCTTCACTAGAGCTGAATTTCATTCGCGTGAACAGTCCCAGATTCGGTTGCTCTCTTCATTTCACCCGCTTCAGTTGTAACAATTATATAATTTATCCCTCCAACTCTTCAAGGGTGGATCGCTGGGCAAGGGCACCATGGTGAAAGATCTGTCCGACGTGGACCTGGTCGCCTTCATCAACCCGCCTGACATGCATTCCATGGGGGAGTTAACCCCTCAACGCTACAGGGACCAACTCAGAGCCGTTCTCGAGAAGCTGGAGGGGGCCCTCATCTTGCTGCCTTCCGTGAAAATCATCAGGAGGGACGCGTACCTGATCAACTTCTCAATAGAAGTTCAGTCGAGTGTGGATCAGCGTCGGAGAGTGGTAGATGTTGATCTCCTTCCCACGGCCCATAACATTGCAGAGTATGCTTCCTTGGGTAATGCTGGCAGTTGACTCTCTCTTGCCTTCCTGAAACTTGACACAGCAGCAGCACGAAAGGCTGGATTTCTTGTGCCGTCTGTTTCAGTTGGAACACTTACGGTTCTCGTTTTACATTCTTTCATGGGAAATGAGCAAGTCCATAGCAATTTTTTATCGCTTATTTTTTATCGACTATTAGTCCCAATTTTTAAATCAATACCCTGCAGAAGATAAGGATTGCTTCCAGTTTTCAAAGTCGTATTACGGTCCTGCCCTTGCAGACTTTTTCAAGTGCTTGAAACCCTGACTTCGAAGTCACTAACTTGGAATAAGACGCAAACTTGGATTAAGAGCAATAAGGGACAGATGTGGGTTAAGCAAGTCAACATATTGCAACCTTTTAGAGTGTTTACAAAAATGAGGGAAAGTGGAAAAGGTCGATGCGTTTGTTTTTTTCTATAGGAGAATTATTTGAGGATATGCTGGAGATGCGTGGCTACGATCGTGGGTTCTACTCGGCCTCCCTGGTCGAACACCAGCGGGACTTCGTGAAGAATCAGCCAGGATACGTGAAGGAACTGATCCGCCTGGTCAAGTACTGGGCGTACACCAACTTGCCCCCAACGCTCCGGAAGTCCTACCCGCTGGAGCTGATTACCATCCACTGCTGGGAGGAAGCTGGAGAGCCCTCCCGTTTCTACAAGGCCCAAGGGTTGAAGGACGTCCTGGAGACCTTGTGTGATCTCAGCCAGCTGAGAACCTACTGGTCGAGTTATTACGATGAAGCGTTGGCGGAGATTTCGATTCAAACACTTCGTTTCAAGAAGTGAGTTTGTATACACTGCAGGTTTTAGGGTCCTTCATTGGCAAAGCATGTTTAATTTGTACAAGATGCAGCAAGCTTTTGCAATAGCCTTCGATACTTGGAAACAATTTTTTCAGCCTATACCGATGACTGGATACATGTGTTGAGGCTGCGTGTGCGTGGAGTTGTGCGCTGTACTCTTCAACAACAGAGTACAGTGGCGCTAACGGTCGCCTGTGAAGGACCATTAATTTGAAAATACCGTACAAAGCAATTAAAATTAATCATTTCACAAAACATGACGACCATGATGTCATTAGTTGAAGGGAAATGAACCAAACAATAGAGTTGTAACGAGTCAATTGTTTTTGTGAGTCGAGTCGAGTCACTGCAACGTTATGATTGGAGTCGAGTCGAGTCATTCAAACGTAGTGACTCGAGTTGTCGAGTCATTAGGCCAAAAAGTTGAGCGGAGTCAAGTCTTTAGCTCGAGTCAATTGGAGTCACCAAGTTTGGAACAAATTAAAACAAGAAAGTCAATTTGGGGCCTATTTAAATTTACCTGTGTGTTTCCAACGTGGTCACACCGCATCTTACCCTTGACATATTGAATGAGCATTATAAACTGACAGTGCAAGTCATGGCAAATATTTTTCACAAAGAACACAATTTGTTTTACTTTTGGGACTCCAATCTTATTTACTGTCACTCAAGTCAGGTCTTCCGATGAGGGACTCGAGTCGATTCGATTCAAGTCATTTGCTTGCAGTAATTTACAGTTTTTTACCCGTCTGGGCTCGAGTCGAGTCGAATCGCCAAAAAATATGACTCGAGTTGGACTGGAGTTGAGTCATTGACTCGAGTCGTTACAACTCTGCCAATCAAAAATTCAGCCGTCGCAATTGTATGCCACTGCCAACTGACTACAAGAAGTTGTACATGCTTAATACATTTACGCTGGCGTGACAATTTTTTTCTTTAAAGCGCATTTTATCCCAAGTCTTTGGCTGATCACAGCTAATTTTGTGGCTCCATTTTCCAGTCCCATCGTCTTGGACCCGGCGAATCCAACGGCCAACGTTTGCTGGGCTTACCAGCGCGAGGAAAACCGGACGATGATAGAGAACGCTGCCTTAACCACTCTTCAGTCCACGCTTCTCTCTAACGTCGAGGTCCGTCCAAAATGGTCAGGTTGGTAGAAGGGCACTCGGTCACGACAAAGCTTGTCTTCCATCAAATATACAATATAGTACAATGTACATGTTCTCTGTTATGGCATTACATTTTGCTTGATTGGAAGTTGTAACAATTACTCTGTATTTTCGGAATTCGCGGCGCTCTAAACTGTAGAACAAACTAGTGCATTGGTTTAATAGCCAACCTGTTATCAAGATAGATTTATTGACCAGTTCCCCTGTTCGCTCATTCAGATTAATGATGTAAAATGTGACGGAGTGACGTTTGTACGATAATGTTACTTGTGCTAATTTGAACAGGGTTGCAGGACAACGCATGATAAGAAACTTTTCCATTACAATAGTTGTTATTTGTAAAAATTATTTTATTTCATAAAAACTCCAATATTTACAAATAGGTCATTTGGGAGACATTTTGTGGTAAATTATCCAGCATTAGGGAGACAGTGGCATTTAGGGAGACATTTCAGTGTCTCCCTATTTTCAAACTACCAGAAGGAGGCCGAATATTTTGGGAGATGATAGATTAGGGTCTAAAATGAAAACATACAAAGTTTCGTTCAGACTAGGGAATATTGAATTATGGGACAGTAAAGTTGGAAAACTTTTGTGCACGTTCTTATGGGAATGTCTCCCTAATGACCCATTAGCGGTAATGATAATTTCCATAAATATTCAAATCTCATCAGATATTGTACTTTTACAACGCACAACGAACCACAAAAACTGTATAGAACTGAATCTTGTCATTTTGAACCTTGCTCTAAATGATTTTACGGATGATTCTCGTTTATTTACGTGAGATATAAATCACACTGCCTTTCCTCTCAGCGTGAGAATAGATGCGTTCCCTTTTACGTTGCAATTATGTAGGTTACGGACATGATTAAAAATCGTTTTTTGACCATAATGAATTTGCAATGATCTATTTATTGGTGGGCATATTTTGGTCTCTGTTCATGTTTTCTGGTTGACCTCTGAAACTATGAATAATCAAGATCACAATGTAAACTTCACACTATCCTCTGATCTGCAGCTCAGGAATCCAACGCAGCTTTCCCAATACCATCTATTTCCGCGCTTGATATGACGGGGGGAAATTCTGTCATTCAATCACGGCGCTGCTTAAAAAGAGCTAAAAACCCAGCACATTTGATGGCATACATGGCCTACAAGCAGTGCCACCTTCGGCCATTCCCTTCAGCGCAATACGTTTAAAGATATCTTAGTTTAATTAAGACTGGTGTAGTATCAGAGGTGCCAATAAACTCAAAGCTGTAACAATTCCTACGACCCGTGGGGAGGCGATCCGGTCGCTGCCACCTATAAACAAATGAAAAAAGCGAAATTAATGTCCGGGAGGTAAAGCTTTAAAAACGGTGAGTAGGCCTTTGAGGAAAACTGTGAGCATTTCGGAGTTCAAGGGCACATTTAAAACCACATTTGCTCAGGCTCAATAGTTTCGATCATGCAGGTGTGCCAAAAATTTCAGGGTTTAGTTAATGACTATCAATATGGCATTTTTTGAGGAATGAGAAAGTTTATTGAGGCTTCTAAGCGCTATAATTAAAGGATGACAAAAATGGAATAGTCCAAGAATTTCGTTCAATGCAATAAAACGGATCTTCTATTGGAGAGAGGAATGTCCCCCTTGCCCTCCTAATGGATCCGCCCGTTTTTCTCTTACCGCTGGGGTCGCTGTTCGTGATAACCGCTTCGGTCACCTTGTATATAGAGAGGGTTCCGCTGTGCGTGCTGGTCACCAAGAGAAGCGGTTTACCGCTTGGGTTGTCTGACGCTGGAATGAAGCTAGAGTGGAGACCGAGTGAGGGTAGAAAACGGTGAGAAGATGATGAGAATTTTGTCAAAGCTCCGAGGAAGCCCTCTGGCGGTTTCATTGGGTAAATGAACGACCAAAGGGAAATTAGTTTATCTGCGATCTGAGGGTGACAGAGGCTTCTGCCCATCGATGCACAGCCGAGCTTACTGGTGTAATGAAAGGCAACAGAGACGGAGTAAAGTGCCTTGCCTAAAGACACAGCACAACCATCCTTATTTCAACAGTTGGATTTACACCAGATTCACGAGATTATAATCTCCGATCGCAAACAGTTACTAAATCCCAAATATTCTTTATGAGAAAAAAACACATTATACACAAGGATGAGCCATGATAATCCACACCAAGGGAAGCCTGTACTGTACTCCATGTTCATACCGTAGATCTTCCGGTCCCAAATCGCCTAGGTTTCGGTCGTTCAGGAGCTCGGTGAACGTCTTGCTGGTACCGCCCGCCCGGTACACAGACTCGAAGGACGGTATGACCGAGTTGCCTGGGAAGCTGTAGACCATGACGGAGCTGGTCCGCTCCTGGGCGACGAATAGCAGTCGCTTGCCGTTGAACTCGCCTGTCTCCAGGGCTTCCGGCTCCACTCCCTTTGATAAAAAAGGAACACAGTGGCATGAATGGTCTATCCGCCTCAATTGAGCAAAAGAACCCCCTGAGCCTTGTCGGTGGGGAGCGTTCATTTTGTTGGTAAGTTCCTCTCAACTTTTGAGCTATGTCTGAACTCGTTGGCTATAGCTTGAAATGACAATCGCATCTATGACAGCCATAGGCTGGCAGGTGTTGCTTTTACAAATACTTGCGTGCCTTTGCAGGCTGCAGCCAGAGAACTCGGACTCAGCCTTACTTTGTTATCTGAACGACCGTCGAACATGTCCTCGGGCGTGTCGTCATCTGGGTCATCGGATTCCCCCCCGGCGTTGAAGACTTCCGGGTAGTAGATGGCGTGTTTCCGCTCCATCTCGTCCCCACTGTCGTAGACGAGGGACATGTCGTCGGCCCGGAAGACCGAGAAGCTGCGAGCGCCGAAGAAATACAGCCGGTCGAACTTACTCGGGTCCTGGGCGCTGCGTCCGTCCACCGTGCTGAACTGTAGGCGACCTATGGGAAAGTGAGAATCTGATTCACCATATGGAGAGTATATATGAGAATTATCACATTTCAGCGATCGAAACGTCGACTGTTCAACGAGCAACCAGTTCTTAACAATGTCTTTTTAACTGGAAACATCCCCCATGACTTTATCCCGAGCCGTCCGCAATTTCACGACGAACAATTTGTGAGATGCTTCAAATAGGTAACCTGAAACCCACACCAAAGAATCTATTTGAGACATACATCAATGACTAAATGCAGCAACCTGCTAAAGCTTACCAAGAGCTGCGTCATCACTTAGTGCCTGCCGAAGATTTGTTGATACAGTATTGGACAACATGTTATCTGAAATATTAAAAATCGATGTCATCACTGTCTAAAACAAAATGTCGGAAAGTGCTTCTGCCTGAATCAACCTTCGCCAGGATTACTGTCACGTGTTTGTCACGTGTTTGGCAATAGGATACACAAAAACTGTATGCATGATGTATGTATGCAGATCCTCGGATATTGCAGAGTCCTAAATCGCCCACCTTTTACGAATTTGTCCCCTCTTAGAGCTTCTTCCCAGGTGTCTCCGCCAGCCTCGTACCCTAGGTCGTCCCCCTCGTTGGCGGTGAGGATATAGCCGACGCCGCCCACTTCCATATATTTGATGGCGTCGGGTTGGTACATGCTGTAGATGTCATACGCGGCAAAGTTTATACCTTCAAGCAAAATGAGGAAATTTTTGTTTAAATGTGGTTCCACGCGTCTTTTCTGCAATTCTAGCGTAAACCTGATCTTATTGATGGAGTCTTTTCAATCCAAAACTGACAAACAAAATCCTTCCAGCTTTCTTTTACCTCCGTCTTTGTCACTGGGGTCTAGCAGTAGACTTTTCCAAGACTTGAAGCCGAGTGGGTATATATCGATTATGGTATCGGTTCTCAGGTCGATGACAGCGATGGCATTGTTCTCCTGAAAGAGCAAGATATCAGAGAATGAGTAGGAAAAGCAATTAGCCTTTTATCAGCACCCAGCTCAGGGGAGTGTGTGCGAGCAGACAGGAACAGTGGGCAAATTACCAACATCTTTACTGAGCCAAGACTAATAATTAAGGAGATCGACTCGAGATCGAATTTAACAGAGCTCAACAATCTGTCGTATCTGGAGCGGTGGCTTAGCTGGGTGGGTGGGGTAAGACAACTTCCCCCGTGGGGAATTTTGGGGGGAGCTGTCGCCAAGCCGTGTGTAATGTGTTGGTATGCCTCGCTTCAGTGTCTGCAAAGGCCTACACCTGATTTACAAGATTCATGAAATAGCCGTCCGTTAAACAAACAGAGGTGCGTAGCTGGAGGGGAGGGGGCAACTGCGCCCCCTGTGGGAACTCTTCCCCCTGTGAGAAGAGCCTTGCAATGCCACTGACCTGAAGGCAAATGTACGCCTTGGTTGCGTCCTTGTTGATGGTGATGTACTCCGGTTCCAGAGACTGAGAGAAGCTGGTGAGGTTCTCGCTAAGCTGTCCCCGGTAAGGCCACCGAACGCCCCGCGCAACATAATCAGAGGCCCTGTATGTGCATGGAATACAATCTCACAGGAAGATATGTATTTATGGAAACTAATACTAACGTTTGCACTGAGATGTGTGGGCTCTGACAAGGGCCTGGAGTACTTTCACCCACGTGTTTCCATCGTTTGAGCAAAATGATTAAGATAATTAGGGCTTTTCACTGGAAAACAAGTGCCCGCCATGCACACACTGGCAACTGGGTCTAGAAACGCTTTTTTGAGGAATCCAAATACGAGCTCAAGCTAACCCGGGCAAATGGATTTGTGTATGGCGTTCGATATACCGTTCACTTCTCCCTTTGTTACGTTTTTGGTGTGAAAGCAAACCCGCATTCTTGAAGGGGGAAATTCAACTAGGCAAGTTTTAAAGTTTAACGTTTCAGGCTAATATTCTGTTCTGTCTTTCTTGTAGTGCATATTCCTTGCTACTATAATTCTGCTTTGGCTTACTTTTACATCCAATGTTTCTGAATGATGCTCATGTTTTGGGGCATATTTGTAAGGCCAAATGGGGCTGTCGCGATTTCAAAGGGATGGATGTTTTAACTTACAGACCCTCAACTCAAGCGAATCGAATTAACAACTACGCACCTTGCATTGAACGAGGTGAAGTCGAGGTCGGTCCTGTTGACGACCCACCCCGAGCCATCCAGGCGCAGGATTGTGACCGAACCCTCGTTGTCGACGATGTAGCCGGAGTCCTCTACGGTCTCACCTTCGTTGGCCACGAGCAGGGTCCGGCAGTCCGGGGTGAACTTCAACATGTCTGGCCTGCTGCCGACTAAAACCAATCATGAAATTTTGTATCTTTGAAGTATAGTAGTTGAATAGCTGGCACAACTTGAATTAGTTGCAAACATCATAGCCCTTCAGATGAATCTTCCGGGAATGCATACTCTCTAGTTTCAAAAACGGGGAAAAGTTAATTCAATGCATGCGATTTAAGTTTGACGGAGATAATGTGATAAAGAGTGGCGTTCATTCGGTCCAATAGACTCAATTCCATGTCAAGCTTTTCCAACACTTTCAGTCTGATACCCAAGACAATTTTCGATCACTTTAAATTGTCTGGTTTCTTAAATTCATAGGTAAGGAAGACGACGGGGTGGGGTCTCACTTTTATATAAGAAAGTGTGTCACTTTGGACGTATCTTTTCTGTACCTTATGGGGGAAAAAGTGCATTTTGGAGGAATGTTTGCTATTTTCCTAGGGGAAAAATCCAGGCAATATGCCTTTAACGTGACTGCTCGCTGGGTCATTAACGGACCATTACTTCCGTGTTCATTTCCCGCTTACCCTGAATACTCTGCACGAGGGGAATCTGGCCAGTTTGGCTGTCGTACAGACCGTAAATATTCAGCGTTCCCGGGGTACCATCCAATGCAACACCGATCAAGCCACCGCAGAGCTCGATGTCATTGCCGGTGGTTGGCAACTGCTCGTGCTGGACGATGGTCGGGCGAGTGACGTCCGAGATGTCCATGATGTGCAAAAACTTGTTCCCTGGATTTCCCCCGAAAAAGAAAAGATATCTTTTAATTACTTGACATAATGCACTTAAAACTTGAGGTCTCATCGTCTCATCGAAAGAGGAGCGCTTGCTTCAGACTTTGGAGGCAAAATGGCTGTTCATTGTGTTTGCAGTATAGCATGCAGCTGTTGTGTGCAAACTGTTCATGTGCATTGACTCATAATCCAACATTTCGGCTCCATTTATTGAGACCCTCATATCGCAACTCTCTTTAAAAGCAGCTCTTGGTATATTCTGTGACAGTGAAAGTACGCTGCTCATGCACATTGGATGGGAACGACATAGCCTTCCCTACATGACGACGTACAGAGCAAGCACTGAACTATTAAAATCTATAATTTGGCCATGCTTACCGAAGCACCACAACCACATGAAGTAACAACACCAGTGCTACCCACCCGTAACCGAGTTGAGTACTAACTGTAATACAGTGACTGGCCGATCCGAGGGTCATTTCCAAATCCAATGTTCGTTCTATATTTTTTTCATTTATCTTAATTGGGTTCCACAATCAGCGATTATCTAAGTGTATAATACTGTTGGAAGCACGTCAAAAAACTTGAATGGATTAAGCCACTTGTGAGTTAAATTTGAATAAAATCTGGTACACACTTTTTTTCTGATTGCATAGAAACGTAACAATTTGAATTCCCCAGACAAAAGACACTGTTGTTATGCCTCGTAATTTGGGGCAAGCGTTTGCATAGCGACCACCGTCTCTGGAATGGACTGGTTCCTTTGTGCCGTTCTTATCCGTTGAGAACAGTGTATTGTTGCAAGGCGTCTCTTACGTAATTAAGCAAAAGCTTGCCCCGAATCACGAGGTTTTAGAATGGAGAATTCAAGTTGTTATGTTTAAGTGAATTTAAAGAACTCAGTGTACCAGATTTTATTCAAATTTAACTGGCAAATGGCTTATTGGTGTTGCTGTATACCAGAGAATCTGTTTGCATTGGGTCCGTCGGTCTGCAGTCTTACCTGTGAGGGGGCAGCTACATTATCATGCTAAGAGAGAAGCATAAAATCTTAATCTTAAATGCTCAGTGTAAGAAAGTACATGTGGATATGGCAACACACCAGCCCATCTAAATCCCCTTGACAGAAGTCATCACACTCAACAAGTGCCTTGTGTCAGTTGTACATGTTATATCTGAGGGTTTACAACTTTTACATCAGTGCCCTCATAGGCAGGGTATTAAGAAAAGCATGATTTGACAAAACCGTGCTTTGGAGTAAGGCTACAACTAGCTTTACATCGGTAACAAACACCCCTTTAGGTAAGTAACTCTATCCAAAAAAACGGTATAAATTCAAAAGAAAGGAAGCCAGCGCACTGTGTTTGAAACCACTGAGCTGTGTTTGTGGAGTCTCTTTACCTATCACGTTTACCGACTTCCTGCAGAATGGATTCCATCCGGCGTTGTATTAAGAACAGCGGAATTGGGTGTCTAAACTTAATCATCCTACCATACGTTGAACATTCTTGTTTGAACAAACAACTGCAATCGCATGGAATTGGGGGTGAGACTTCAAAACAGCACCTTTTGCAAATGTGTCGCCCGAAATATGTCTGAAGTAGGCCTACTGTAAAATATGACAGGCAGCGGAGATCTATCTCTCTATAAAACTGCATAATTGGTTCTACGTTCTGTATTACGATGTTTCACCAGTTATCTAGAATTGTCTAGCTTTCAATGAAAACGCCGTGTCTTACAAATACAATGGTATTTCATAAATACGTACCCATAAATGTAATCGGGGGTAACGAATTAATTGTCACTGTTACAAGGGCTATCTTTAAATAGAGTTGTTTCTCAAGGAACATAAACGAGTCGATGATAGAAGAATAACTTGACCCGACCTAGTTTAATAATTCCCTTATAGTTCATACAAAAGTGTTCTTTTTCTTCATGCAGCAGAAACAATTATTTGCATCATGGCGCCATTATACACCAGCTCGTCTGACCTCTGCCTCTTACATCACTGAGTTTATACTTGCATGCAGATGAAAATTATATTCCCCGCATTTGTGGAAGCACGACCAACCGTTTGTGCTTGTTTCGCAATAGATACGCGCCTATGCAATATTTGTGACAAAATATACAACCGTACATCAGGAGCCATGCGTCCCAGCTGCCTTCACTTTAGGCTTTTAATGATTTGCGCATATTGCGTTTTCTGTTCTCTTCTGATTTCGATTAAAATCGATTTTGTTTGGTTCGTCAGACGTTACTCGTCGCCACTGTGATTCAAATGAATCGGGATGTTCTTGTTGATATCAAAAATGACCAGGGCGGGGCATATATAACCAGCTAAGAAGCTTTATGACGGCCAATGTCAGTCGCACCACCTGTTCCAAACACAAAATGGCTACAGTGATCAGTGCCGGTTGCCAGGGCTCCGTAGAAGCATCGGCGATGGCAAGGTCAAAAGCGGCCGCTAACCAGTTTGGATCAAGGACAACCCAGTGCGCATTAATTTTTTTCTGCAGTGAATTCGGTCACAACATGAACTTCGTACGTTAATATGGTCGCGGAGTTGGCAAATGGTCGTACAAGTACATGTAAGTTGCGCAGTAAAATAAAGTTAATTAGGCCCTGTTTGCCGTCAGTTAAATTCGAGGAGTTGGTAACTAGCATTAGACATTCAGCCTGATGAACTCGGTCACAACATTAAACTGTTATAATAGCAAGTAAGGTTACCAGCTAAACTATCACCTGGTTCACGGGACTGATTGCTAATTAATAAGGTCAGGCAGAACACGTGCTGAGCAGTGCACATTTCGAGAAATCTGGCTCATCTCATCAGTCTCCTGCCAATATTTTTCTGAGATTAATCTGTAATCTCCCTTCCCCTTTGCAAAATGTTAAAGAAACCTACTCAAACACTTGAACTGAAAACAGATGCTATAAAGTTGGCAAAACATCGTGCAAAATAAATTAGAAGTAGTTATAACGAGTGCATTTTGTCCAAATGGCTGAACAGGGATGAACATAAAAACCCATGGTGCATGGAAAATGGCATAATATGTGTCATTTACCCTCCATTCACAGTGAGGATAATACCACTGGGTTTCTATGACGACAAAAATTTTTCTTTATTCTGTACCACCGCTTTTCATTACAGAATGTGTCCATGGTTCCCAGAGGTTAACTGTACAAGCTTGGGTTACACTTAAGTCGGAACATCACGGCATCGGATTAATATTATCTATATTTTAATAGTTCTTCCCCAGGTTTGCGACTTTTAGTTTTGGCAGTACCTGTTCTTTCCTTTACTTTCCAAAATCGAGAGGGTTCATTGATGGTGGATTTTTGACGAAGGAATAAAATATTCAAGTCACTGACACTTGTTGATAAGAGCGTTATACTTGGCGGCACTATTTTTTCAGGCGGAGGTTTTTTGCGTTGGAGCTGCATGGTTTGAAAACCAGGTCGCTTCCCGACAGTCCTCGCATTATCGACTCAACGGCTAGCAAGGCAGGACCTGCGGCGCGAGGAAGCGTGTATTGTGACCCTGTACAGAGCAAATTCCCGTACTTAACTCCAGTTTCAAAATGCGTGAAATCGTCCACGTCCAAGCCGGTCAGTGTGGCAACCAGATCGGTGCCAAGGTAAGTGACTTTGAACTACGAAGAAAGATTTCATTTCCCCAGATGACACGAACTAGGGGCCCTCCGAACGAGAATGTAATCACGAGCAATCCACATTACTGGCTCAAGGGAAAGCAATTGGTGTTTCATGTTAGGCTGTCGCATGGTTTTGTTATTTTTCCATGATCTTAACCGATGTGGAATCCAGTATCATGATGTTTGTGGTGAATATCGGTAAATGATGCCTTCTAGATTTCTCCATCATTCGTATAGGCTTTTATGTATGTAAAAGCGAGATCAATTGAAATGTATCTGGTGCACAATATGGAGAGAAATCCAATTCTAGATAACTGAGTCCAACACCACGCGTTATCACCACACGCGGAAAGCACGTTCAACAGGTCACATCCTGCCAGTCGTTGCTTGAGTGGAAGTGACCTTGCGGCTGTGTGTGAATTATGTTTCTTGCGTTTTGGTTTCAAAGGAAATGGCGGTGTTTAACTACAATTACATGTATTTTTTTTAGTTTCCGGGGTTTTTTTCTGGGCTTTTATCTGTAACCACTCATTCTCAGCATGAGGAAATAATGCCGTGTAGCTGGTTTGACTAGTACACGCGCGCACACCCCCTGGGATGGACGGGCGAAGGCGCCAGTGGTGGCTCCAATCGAAGCCGGTCTACAGTGTGTTGATATCCTTATGTGACAAGAGGTAAAGATCAACAAAGTGCCCTGTGCACTCCGGAAAATTATCCCAGATAAACGTGCCTTAGTAGGAAAGCGTCCTTCACAGACTTTTACACGTTTCTCTGTTGAGTGCAGAAATATTTGCACAAGTGAATGTGACTCGGATTCATACCTTTTTCAAAATCTGATGATGTCGATTTGATGGACAAATAAGCTGGTTAGTTTTTTTTCTCATTAAGTCCTGTAAATTTAATCAGAAGGATAAGAAGAACTATACTGTAATTATCTCAAGCGACAAGGGAAATTTCGTTTCCATTGAGCAATTTTGTCTCTGATTTATCAGGCTATCTGCAAACTTTCATTATTATAACAACAAATGAACTTCTTCCATTTTCTTCCATCATCTTTTCATTTCATTATGGAAGCCCAATAAAACTAAAACCAGGTCAACTTTACTCAGTTTCCAGTCAGCAAAATCGTCTGTCAAAATTCATTTTGAACCTGAGAGTGAAACCAAGGGATTCCGAACGAATGGCGCCTGAAACTAGACTTGATACATTTGTGTCCAGCTGTTTTCAAAAGATTAACCATTCTGGTTGCAAGACTATGCATGAAAAAAAAAACATGTCTATTGTAGAAAGAGAAAATAAAGGATTTTCAAGGTGTGGATCGTGGCAGAATAGCTTCGATTCCACCGAGTAGTAAAATTATTCGGTTCTTTTTCCCTTTCCACTTTCGACAGTTCTGGGAGGTGATCTCAGACGAGCATGGCATCGATCCCACCGGCACGTACCAGGGCGACTCTGACCTTCAGCTGGAGCGGATAAACGTGTACTACAACGAGGCCACCGGTGGCAAATACGTGCCCCGCGCCGTGCTGGTCGACTTGGAGCCCGGCACCATGGACGCCGTCCGCTCCAGTGCCTTCGGGCAGATTTTTCGGCCGGATAACTTCGTCTTCGGCCAGAGTGGGGCTGGCAACAACTGGGCCAAGGGCCACTACACTGAGGGGGCCGAACTAGTGGACTCGGTGCTGGACGTGGTCCGGAAAGAGGCTGAAAGCTGTGATTGTTTGCAGGTGTGTTCAGTCAAGCCTAGTGCCAAACAGAGTCTTCACATTTATTTAATTGATGATAAATGATATTTATTTCTAGTTTCCTGTGAGGTTTTCTGCCATAACTTATTCTTATGCCTTTTTCGATCCAGTGCTTTGCAGGAAACAAGCGGCACATTTTTGCATTCAAACTTTCAAGGAACATCCGATGATGTTTACCTTACTCTATCCGGTAAAATCCTATACAACACCCGCAAAATTATAAGGCCCGATTTGTAAACTAATAATGAAGAATTAGAATCCATTCATTTGGTCTTCCAATTTGTTCAATTTTCAGGGCTTCCAGCTCACTCATTCCCTCGGCGGGGGCACCGGCTCAGGCATGGGAACACTCCTCATCAGCAAGATCCGTGAAGAGTACCCCGACCGCATGATGTGCTCCTACAGTGTAGTACCGTCTCCAAAGGTATCAGACACCGTGGTGGAGCCCTACAACGCCACTCTATCTGTCCATCAGCTCGTCGAGAACACGGACGAGACCTACTGCATCGACAACGAAGCCCTGTACGACATCTGCTTCCGCACCCTCAAGCTGACCACCCCAACCTACGGCGATCTCAACCACCTGGTGTCCGCCACCATGAGTGGCATCACCACTTGTCTCCGTTTCCCCGGCCAGCTCAACGCTGATCTCCGCAAGCTGGCCGTCAACATGGTGCCTTTCCCCCGTCTCCACTTCTTCATCCCCGGCTTCGCCCCGCTGACCAGCCGGGGTAGCCAGCAGTACCGCGCCCTCTCCGTGCCCGAGCTGACCCAGCAGATGTTCGACGCCAAGAACATGATGGCCGCCTGCGACCCCCGTCACGGCCGCTACCTGACCGTGGCGGCCGTCTTCCGCGGCCGCATGTCCATGAAGGAGGTGGACGAGCAGATGCTGAACGTGCAGAACAAGAACAGCAGCTACTTCGTGGAATGGATCCCCAACAATGTCAAGACCGCCGTCTGCGACATCCCGCCGCGTGGCCTGAAGATGTCCGTCACCTTCATCGGCAACAGCACCGCTATCCAGGAGCTGTTCAAACGCATCTCGGAGCAGTTCAGCGCCATGTTCAGGCGCAAGGCTTTCCTGCATTGGTACACCGGCGAGGGTATGGATGAGATGGAGTTCACTGAGGCTGAGAGCAACATGAACGACTTGGTGTCTGAGTACCAGCAGTACCAGGATGCAACAGCTGAGGAGGAAGGCGAGTTTGATGAGGAAGAAGAGGCCGACGATGACAATTAGTTTCCTCCGACACCATCAAGGCACACAGAAAATTTAAGTTTGCGGTACTGGAGGGTGTGGCAGTGCGAATGAACTGTCCGCACAGTACTCAATACACGAACTCTGATTTACTCAAACTTACTTGACACTGTCTAAAACTCCTTTAAACCAATTCATTCTTGTCTTAACTCTAAAAAGGTCCACCAACCGCGTCTGTCTCTTGCAGTGAGTTATTCTGGTCGTGTTATTACAATTACAATTTGACGTTTTATTAAGATTTTTATATTGCATAGCATTTCAATTATTATTGCTTCGTTTTAACCCCAAACCTTTGTGGCAAACTTGCTAGTCACAAAAGGGTTTTGTCTTGCCAATAAAAATTCCGCAATGAAATAACATCTGAGGCGGCTGAACAAAGTGGGTTGTTTGTCCTTCTTGTGACCCAAACTGCGCACTCTGGTTGGAGGAGCATTAACACGGAGACATCTCTTCTCTTACATGTATATGCAAATGAATGTTACAGAAACAGTAACCATCCCACCCATTTCAAAATGTTAAAATCCACAAAAATGTCTTATTGTTTTAGTCGATGTTAAATTCACCGAACCACTTCTCGGGGAAAAAAAACAAATTTAATCCCAGGGCCAATTTCATCGAGCTGCTAAAGCACAAATTTTGCTCAAGCGTGAAAATCGAAAAACCCTCGCTTGTCAAATCAGCTTACCAGCCAAAACTCCACGTGATGTATATTGTTTGGAATGGTGTTCATCTGTCGCTTGGTTTATAGAATGACAGTTACATAGATTTTGAGGTGGTAACCTTTGTTTTATAAGCAAGGTTCTTTAGTGCTTGAGCAAATTTTGTGCTTCAGCAGCTTTATGAAATTGGCCCCACTGCTCATGAAAAGTTTTATTTTTCAACTTACCAACCGTGTAAGCCATAGCGTTGACCGGGTCGTACGCGCTCTGCTCGCTAGCACCTCCATCTAGGCCGTACTTCGGATTGCCCTCGGAGGAGTAATCGTAAGGTATGTACACCGTAGATAGAGGACTCAAGACAACTATGGAAAGGAAAACCAGAACGAAAGAAAACAAAAACAGGAATGCAGTACATGTTGCAGAATTACTCTGAGTTTAGCGAAGGATTTGTGTAGGCCTACAAATCTCACGGGAAATATTTTACAAGTTCTGGTTTACTAACCTCGAACATCATCGTCACCGTTGTCGGCGTCACCATCGACAACCTCGTACATGGCCACTGTGCCGCTGATCGTGCTCGTGACCAGAAGCAACGGTTTGCCGAAGGGCGTGTCCGAAGCCTTGATAAACCTGGGAGGGCAAACAGCGTTTCGAAAACAAAATGGCACGGCTGTGATTTGGAGATAAGCCCTATTCGGCTAATGACATAGCCCGACTACTCAAGTAACAAATACTGAAGTGCTTTATAGGCTTCCGTCGAGGGTAAAGCATGATTTTAACGTTAGAAATTAATAAGACTGTAAAAGAAACTTCCAGAGTTCGGATTACTGTATATAAACAACAGTAATGTTACTGAAATATCAAGAAAAACTATAGCTGTTTTTCAGAGAATGTTGTAAAGAATTCCAGATTCTTTCTAAATAAACAGGACGAAACACTTGACTGTCGGCTCGGAGGGGAAAAACTCTCTGGGGTAGACAAGATTTAGCACTCAAGACTAAAATACTTGAACCTATCAAGAGTGAAGGATGGGGGTCCGCCAGGAGGCTTTATGGCTTTTGCTATTCCTTGTTTCCTATTTTCCACAAGAGTTACAGCCAACCTCTACCCCCGGCCCGTCCCAACTCCAATGTCTAGCCCCTCGTTAGTTGGGGAGTGTTCATTTTGTTGGTAACGACGTGACTGCAACGCATGCATTTCGTTGTCGCTGGTGAACCAAGTGCAGTTCCTGCCCAAGGAGCCTGTGCTGCGAGAAATATTGCGCCCTCTCTTGGTCTAGCTCGGGTCTCGTATATAGTTCTGGATTGGAGTAGTACACCCTGACCTTTGCCAGCTGTGCTTTCAATTTTTTTTCACTATTGCAATTCTTTTCTCTTGCCATCGGTGTAAACATTTCTGAAGGGCAACCAGCGCACCTTAAATCCTCTGGGTCCAGGTTACCAGTCTTCCTCCCGGTGTAGAGATCGGCGAAGGAGTTATTCGACTCCCCAAAGCGTTGGATGGACTGAACCACCGGTGTCAGGGAGCCGCTCTCGAACGTGTAAACCATGAGGGCGCTGGTGCGCTCGTTGCCAACGAACATCACTCGCTTGCCGTTGACCTCTCCCAACTCCACGGCTTCGGCTTCCGCACCCTGAAAGGAAATAAGGCCAAAGTCTTGTTTCGTTTTTCTTCATTTCTACTATTCACGGAAATACAAGCAAGGGGACACCATGCACAAAATGTGAACACATTTTGTCAATTGTTAGGCCTACCTCCTGCTTTCTCCCTTAACAATTAAAAATATCATGCCTAATATCTTTTAAATTGGCCAGGTGTACGCCTGTTATGTTTTCCAAGACCGCAACAGCACTTTATATACTGTTCAAAAACAGTAGATTCTATTGTCAAAGGGCCTTACAGAAATTGCTGTTTTGTTACAGCATATTCCACGGTCAATCTTCTCCGTACACGAACAGGAGATTCGTATGGAAGTGTATTTAGGACATGGTCAGAAAAAATTTAATTCGTATGTACGGATTACTATTTCGTACGTATGGGTTACTACTTTGTACGTACGGTTTTATAAATAATGATCCAAGGCACTGGTCGCATCCGAAAATTTGCCTTGAGCAGAAACATCCCCTCATCGGCTGAAGTGAGCCATGCTGGTGGGGAGTGTTGTATTGTTGGTAGGGCTGGCCGGATGTGTACACGACCCAGGTAGCTCATTGTCATTCGGGAACCAGAAAAGTGAAATTCCTACCAAAGGAGCCTTCGTTGCTCAGGAAATCGCACCCTCTCTTGATCCCGCTCGGGCCCAATGAACTGAAGCTTAGTCATGCAATGCAACAGGTGGATTACTAATCCGTAAATACGGCTTAGTAATCCGTATGTAGAATAGAATCTACTTTTATTATTTGAACGGAAATTGTTTAACAGTGTACCCACTGTGTCAAGCCACGGTTAAGGAAGCTCCCCTTTTGGACGGCTCTCTTGGACGACAGTGAAATCGACTATTTGAATATCAACTGACAACTTAAAGTGAAAAAGATAGTTGAAGCGCTAGAAACTGCATTATATCGAAGGTGTCAATAAGGGCCGCTCTGAATGACTTAGCCGCGGTTGGAGATATCACAGGGCTAAGCCGAACTAATTCGAAAACGGCTTTAAATTCAGCACTTACACAAGTATTTTGGATGATACGTAGAATTTTAAAGTCCAAGAAAATAAGGGTTTAATCGCAATGTCTCCCAAACCAGTTTAAGTGTGGGGACAAAGATTCGAACTAACTTTGTTATCAGACCGAGAATCGAAGGTATCCACCGGCGACTCGTCTGCAAGGTCATCACTGAAGTTGTCGGCGTTAAACAGGGCAGGGTAGGCCATCCCGTGCTGGCGCTCGATCTCGTCTCCGCTGTCGTACACCAGCGAAAAGTCGTCGGCCCTGAAGATGGACACGCTGCGGCTGCCGTAGAAATAGAGCCTGTCGAATTTGTCGGGGTTCAGCGAGTTGCGGCCGTCTACCGTGCTGAACCGTAACCGTCCTAAAAATGCATGTAAGATGTGTGTAAGGATACTACCGACCTTGTATTCCGCACCAGTTATAGATACTTCCAAGTGCTTCTATTTTGGGGTGACTTTCGATGGGCGGTGTCCCCTTAAAATCATGAATTTTATCCCATTAGTTCCATCCCCTCTCCCACCCGTTTTCTTGGAACAGAATTCCTTTTATTACAATTTTCTTCACGAGGAGAAATACAAGCAGTTTAACATCCACGCATCCGTTCCTTTACCTAGCTTTGCATTATCGGCGAGGGCGCTTCTCACTTCGCTAGGAACCAAGTCGGACAGCTGATCGTCTGCGGTGGAAAAGAACTTTTTTTTTTCAATTTAGTCTGATGATTTTAAGAAAAGAAGCAAACCTGCAAAGCATTTATTATGTTTAGGCCTACCATCCCAACAGTCACATTTGTCGAGACAGTCGGCAAAATAAATAGATAATTGCAGCGGCAAGTGCATTAAAGTCAGTAAAAGCCCTGGGTTTACAGCTCAGGAAGTGTGCGCTTCCCAGACACATTTCCCAGCTAGAAGTGACACCATATGACAGCAATACCAAAAATGTGGTATGAAATACACGTTGTCCTTCCACTGAGTGTGTTTGTTGTAACTCCACAGTGTTTGCCGTGAACTCAATCAAAAAAGTACATTTGCTCTTCCTGCCGAGTGACTGATTACAGCAACCCCGATCAAGGACATGCGCTCAGAGATGAAAGTCCGCACTATAATTACTGCGCCTATGTTCATGTCTGGCTCCAATGGATTTTCCACTCACCTTCCACGAAGTCTTTCCCGCGTTGACTCTCCGTCCACTCTTTGTTTCCTACCACGAATTCCATGTCGGCCCCCTCATTGGCCGTGACGATGTACTCCACGCCGTCCACCTCCATGTACTTGATGGAGTCGGGCTGGTACGTGCTGTAGATGTCGTACGACCCAAAGTTGATTCCTGGAGTCAAGAGTACGTATTATTTATGATACCGATGAAACATGACCTGGCGAGAGCTTGCGCATGCATATTCAAAACGTTGAATCAGTTTTTGTTTATGTCTGGCATAAGAACTGGCGTTACAGATCGAATGTTATTGCAATTTCGATCTTCCACGTACTCTGCGGTCTCGCCTTGAAGACTTGGAATGTCTGCAGTGTAGGAATGTAGCTGCGTGCACGTTTGTCCCATTAATTAAGGGGACACTCTCTTGAAATCAGGGGTTTCCTTCGGTCTCAATATTGAAAACTATACATAGATTTTGGATTACCCGAATCGCTATCGCTCGGGTCGAGCAGGTAGTCTTTCCAGGATTTGAAGCCCAGAGGGTAGATGTCCACGATCGTCTCGGACACAAGGTCCACCACAGCGACTGCGTTATTTTCCTGCATATCAACAAATATTTTTGTCTTGTAAGACAGAAGAAAACTTGTTTATATTAACCCGAAAAATTCACCCACAGCAAAATCTGTCCGTTGGAACTTTTCAAGTGGAGATATTCAGGAATATGATATTTCTTTTGGAATTCATTATCATGCACAGGTAAAGCCCCATTTATTTGCAACGGCTTTTTTTCATCAGTCAATTTTAAGATTCATCATCTGTCACGTACTCTCAAAATACTTTCCGGTACCAAAGTACATTTGGCGTAAACGTCTGATCTATATCCGATGAGACAAAATCGACAAACAATAACTCCGATCCCTAAACTGTATCTACTGGGCTGAGAATCGGACATGAGGTATGTCATCAAAAGGCTGGACTTTGTGCAGTTTCATACGACCACACAAAGTCCACTTTAATACCGTACTTTCGTGAGTTTTACCTGCAGATTTATGTAAGCTTTTGTGTCCTGCGTATTAATGGTCACATACTCGGGCTCCAGCGACTGTGAGAGAGTGTTAGGAGTTTGGCCCAACTCTCCCTTGTACGGCCATCGCACTCCACGTCGAACGTACTCGTCCGCCCTATAAAAAATAGTAAACACACATCATAAGCTTCTGTAATGATGGTAAAAGGGTTATTTCTTTCTCGCGGGCCAATTGATACTTTCAAAAAGGGGTTGCAGTTTCACACAGTCTATTTTGTTCCATGGAAGGAAGCAATTATCACATCAGGAAATCATCGATCAAGTTTACTGTAAGTAAGGACATAACTGGTGACGCTCATCTTCAACTTAAAATGCGCCCCAGTTGCACAACGAAGTTGCTCTGTGTTAAGACATTCCCAGCGAGCCCCTTTAAGGTGTACAAGTTGTGCCTGGGGTATTCACTTACATCTCTTCAAAGTGCCCCCCAAGCACGAATGCATGCAGGCTCTTCGGTTTTGAACTTCAATCAGAAGTTTAATCAGGGTCATGACTGGCAATTTTTAAAGCACTCCGGTGGCCATGGCAAATTGTCTCGCAATCACAACTTCTCTCCGTATACCAAGCACCACTATACTCAATTTCTTCACCACCTACCGAGCGTTGAACGATTTGAAATCGAGATTTACGGCTTCCGGAACGGCCGTGTCGAGGTTATCCAGATGGATGATCGATACCATGCCCTCGTTGTCGACAATGTAGCCGGACTCTTCGTACGGTTCGCCCTCGTTGGCCACAACGATGGTCATGCAGTCATGCGTGAATTTCAACATGTCCGGTCTACTGCCAACTTCAGTTCATAAACAAGGAAGAGCAGAAAACAACACTTCTAGAATTTTAGAAACAACTAAAATGCTTAAAACTCAACCTTTCTTTCCTTTGTGCCGATAAAAATAGTGGCATCAGCAATGAGAAATAAGCGAATATCATGGACCAAGAAAAAACTTCTCAAATGAAAATTTACTGGTTTTGATATTTAAAGAAGGCACACAAACTGCTTCTGAATTCAACCGTTCATTCCAATGTTATCTACAAAAGTGAAAACCAGTGACCCTACATACCTCTTCAGCTGAGGTCGATTTCATAGAGCTGTTGAAAAGGCTAACCAAAATCTCCTTAGAAAAGAAAATTAATTGCCGGACGAAAATCTACCATCTCAAACGTTATACTCTGTGATTTCCATGTAAGCAGTGCCTTGCTCATTTTTTTTCTCGCACTTAAGGTTGTCATGCAGGATTTCCGGCCATGTCACTTCTTGAAATTTGGTCCAGGAAGAAAGAATGGTTACTGCAATTTTGAGTCTACACCCGATATTGTTCCACCTTTCCCCACTCAGATACTTCGCTTCTTTCACACTGGAGAATTATGGGCCCGAGCTCGTGCAACATTAATTACACGCTCGCCTAAAAGGTGGCAACAAAAGGTAAACAATGGACTGTTGTAGGAAGGAGACGTACTCACCGGGGACACTTGCCACGAGGGGGAGGAGGCCGGCTTGCGGGTCGAAGGGACGGTAGAGCTCGATGGTGCCCGGCTGGCCGTCTACCGCCACGCCAATCAGGCCCTGGCAAAACTCCACGTCGTTGCCCGTGGACGACAAACGGGCGTGATGGACCACGGATGGGGCCCTCACGTCGGAGTAATCCACCACGTGGAGATACCTGTCCCCTGTAGGAAATTGAAAAGGACAGCGATAGGTGTCCAATTATGCAATGAATAAAATAACCAAGGGTGAGCCTTCCAACTAAAGGGGCAGACCACTATAAGCTCCAATGCAATGCAAGGCGACAGAAATAAATAACCTGACTTTAAAAAACAAGTTTCTCTGCTGCTCGAGAGAGACATCAAATGTTATGTTTATGACCTTTCCTTCATTTTCCCTCAAATGCTGATCGGTAATTACCAGTAACTTTTGTAGACCTTTCAGTCGAAAAAGGAACATAGCCTTAGCCACCCCTTTCCATCTGGAAATTCGATCACTACAAAATAGCGCCATTTGGAAGGCTTCGTTTTGTCAAAATTGGTTGTACATAAACTCCATCAATACTTCTCCAAATCAGCCCTTTTCAAGTTAAATTTGAATACAATTATTTAAATTCATGTGTTTCAGTTCTGCAGTGTTGTCACACGTCGTGATTCAGGGCAAGCTTTTGCTTAGTTACTTACTTAAGAGACGCCTATGCGCCAATACACTGTTCTTTCAATGGATAAGAAGGGCACAAAGGAACCAATCCATTCCAGAGATAGTGGTCACTATGCAAAAGCTTGCACCAAATCATGAGGCATGTTAGCATGTGTCTTTAGTCCGGGGAATTCACACGTTATGTTCATCTGCAATTAGATAACTCAGTGTACCGGATTTTATTCAAATTTAACTCGCAAAAGGCTTATTTCATTCGGAAACTACATAGGAAGCAATATCAAAAAATAGAGTAGCTATGTTTTCTCTTATCATTGAGAATTGTGTTTCCAAACCTTAAGCCAACTTGCCCAATTGTCTATCTGTCAAAGTGGACCACATGTGACCTTTCTCAAACTAGTCTTACGTCAATTGGCCTCAGATACGGAAATAGTACAACATCTGAGCAACATTTATGAGGCACTCAACTTGTCTCAAAATTCTCACGGGAATCCCATGTATTATGTGCCGACACTGGGCCCATCATTCCAAACCCAGCCTGGAGAATCAAAAGCAATGCAATTTCCATGACAGGAAGGGCCTGTCAGTCCCGGCATAGACATCATGAGAGCAAGCACGACAGAAGCGCAATGGCATAAAACCACAGGGTTGAAAGATCGTTCGAAGTGTCAGCGCGCAGTTCAACTCACGTGACACAGTTGAACGTAGCAGCGTGGTCCTTGCGACCAAATTACCACTGCTCCACACGAAGCTGACAATCATGTCCTGCTCTAGTCTTTTCGATCGCCGCTCCAAAAGGAAATTGTCCGGAAATTGTGTCTTTTATACAAAAACCGATTGCCTCAGGCATAAGGTTTAATAAAAGTTGCTCGCGAAAACCTTCAAAATACAACTGCTCGAATGAAAACATATCTACAGTGAACAGTGGAGAGGACATCGATGCAAAATTTAAAGGGATATCAGAAATCTAAAATAATTTTAGGATATTTAAAAGATTTTTTCTTCTTTGTTTACTTTAAAATCCAACAGAATTTCATCCGTGCAATGCAAACTGGTGCACGAGTTAGTCTTACACCTTGCCCCTGGGCGATTTTGCATTGTATTTCGACGGGCAACATTCAGTGTGCAACGGGCAGTCAGCTCTGACTTTTGAAGCTGTATGTAATTTGCTACAAATAGATTTTGTAGTCGGACACAGGAATCCCTCGTGCACGAACTGCTCGTCCAAAAACACCACTGTGCCGTTCACGCGGACCCCACATGCCGTGTGCGACCCCTACTTTGTTTGGCTTCATTATTAACGTAAGGCGATTACGATCTTTATGATAACTTAGACAAACTTTATCAAACAATGTGCATGCCAGCTATATCTATAATTTATTTATGGTGTCTTTTCGTGAGGCGGTGCCTATGTAAGGTTGAAAGTGGGATGGGGGACGTGTATGGATGTGGCTCCCTCGAACCAGTAGTAAGGCCCAAAGAGGGCTTAAATGAGCCAGCAGGCACTTGCCACACGCTCACGGGGGGGTCCTCTGGAAAAGATTCAAATATATCTTTCTCAGTTTTGGTAAGAAATCTAAATGACCTTGAACCAAACAGGCTTATCTGACGTTGATCCCAATTCCATCAGCTTTGGATGTAATTGCTGTACCCTTATCAACTAACCGTCCCCCTTTCGCTATCGTCATTAAAATGCTTTGAGACAAAAACAGGTAGGGCAACTGAACTATTTAATAAGTACAATATATAGTCAGACGTAGTTTCACGCTCCGGTTTTGCAGAAAAACAAGCATCCGTGTTGGGAGTATCTCTCTGGTAGATCAACGATTACGTACAGCCTCCCAGTGCAAGAAATGATAAAGTCCATTCCATGTTGCATGGCAGAAATCGGTATACACAGTTTTTCTTCCTTTTTTAAAATTTTTCCTCAGTGGTTGAATGAAAAAAACATTGCTGGCTTTCCATGGGGACAAAACCCAATGTCCAACAACGGCGTCGCCGCTTTCAACAGCTAAATAAAGGGACTTTTTGCGTAAACAAAACTGAAGCGCCGGTGAGGTATGGTGGCCGGGAAAAGTGGGTTGCTGACACTGCTCAAGGGCATAACTGCAATGTTTGCGTCCTTCGCAATAACACAAAGGTTAGTTGTTGTGTTGAGGTCGAGTTTGTTTTAGCAACGATGCATCCTGTGTTAAATGGAAGTGCCCTTTCCCTATCCTCTCAAAAAAATTACATCAACATATGCTGCAAGACTATGGAATGGGTGCGTGACAACGAACTCAGTGCAACGATGCCAGATTTCTGTTCTTGATTCTGCAAGAAGTGCGACATCTATGTGGCTTTTTTTCTGAATTTTATAAATACAAACATAAGGGAGATAAAAAGCAATAAAAATTCTGACAAACTGGATGAAGTGAAATGCTTACCGACTGTGTAGACAGTGGCGCTGTCCTTGTCGTACGCACTCTGCTCCGACGCGCCCGCTCCGAGCGTGTACAGCCCGACTCCGCCCGAAGTGTAATCGTACGGCAGGTAAACCGACGACAGCTCGCGCAAGGATAAGGCGGCCTCGCCGCTGGTCACGGCGAACGCCAGTAAGGCGAGAAGAACCGTTGGAGCAAGCTGCGGCATGCTGACACGTTCACGCCGAAGGAGGTTTGTCGCAGCTGCCAAAGCTGAAAGCCCAGTTGATGAAATATCAGATATCTGGCATTCGAATCAACTCGTGCGCCGGCGCATGCTCTCACTAGCAACTAGAGCAACATAAACACTAAGTCACGTGGAGGCCCAACGATTCGCGTAGGTGGCAAGTTCCTGTGAAATGGGGGTGCAGTGTCGACTTCACTGCAAAGTGTCAATATGTTCTATTCGGTATAAAAAGAGTTGCATTAGATTTTATTCTTCAGGGCAGTTTTACGCGGAATCGACAACCAGCCGCTATTAATACCGTCTATTTGGAATTCCTATACAGCTCTTGCTGTGGTGAAGTTGCAGAGTGTCACCTCATTGAATCATGCTGTATCAAAATGTTGATGTGGTTGGCGTATACCTTTGAGGATAGGGATTCCTGTTATTGCATTTTAAGCATCGTTTCTACGAAGGGGGTATTGGTGTGCACCTCCATAGAGCTTTGTCCATATGACTGATCAACTGCACGTCTAGGTTCCTCAACCTTTAACGAGCAAAATGAATGGTAATCCGCACATTTGAAAGTCCTTGTGTGCATTTAATACTAATATCCGGGCTCATATATTGCAAACAACTTCACAACGTCTCATTGCATTGTTGTTTTTACACTATAAAAAACACCTGGGTCCAATATGACCCACAACAGGTCATATGACCTGTTGGGGTCAGCCCCATGGGATCCGGATTCTGGGTCAGTCTGACCCAGGTGTTTTGAGTTTTCAGGTGCTATCCGTGCTCTTGCAGCCAGAGTTTTAAAGAATTATGCAAATTATCTTAAACAGCAACGCGCAACTCAGAAGTCATTCAAATTGTTGGAATTCAAGTCAAATCTATGTTGCGCGGTTACAAATAATAAATATCCACTTTCTGCCTCACACCATCTTCTTCAAATCGTCACTCTACGTGTACCAATAGTAACTTGCCATTTTTCTCCGTGTTCATGTACATGTCCTACGAAATGCGATTGTGTATAAAGTGAAAAGTTGTCTTGATTATGTCCAGGCATAAATGGTCACATTAGGTCTTATATGCAATGCTTTTTTTCTCGATTACCATGCATGTTTCTGAGGAAAATTTCAGACAAAAATTCCCTATTAACCTTAAGAAAAAGATAAATAACAAACCAGACTTTCAGAGAGACCAACCATTAAATGTAACACAGACTGCCTAGGGTCCCCGCAGATGGTTTGAAATGGGCCTATATATACCACTTCAAGACAATGATACCATTTGTCATTGAAATATCAAATTCATTGCACTCGATTATAGTTTTTCACTGTTTGCATAGAAATACCTACATGCTCTCCCAATTTATAAAAAGTCCGAGGATTTTACACCAGAGGAGGACTACAGTATACGGAGTGATATCCTCTTAAATACCAAAAGTGTGAAATTAACACCAATTTTTTCAACGTTTGTTGCAGTGATAACGTGCGCTCCAAACACCGTGCGGTCTTTGAAGGTTGCAAATAAATAAACACCCCGAAAAGCATTAGCCCTGCGAGGTGCATGCAACAAAAATCTGAACATTTGAAAGGTACACCGTGGGCTCTGTTAATCTAACTATGACAAGTACCGAATAGTTCGAGGGTTCGTGTTCGTGTTCATGTCCACAAAGCCCGCAAGCAGGGCATTCCTTCAAAGGCAGCATTTTTGTAAATCTGGACCGTTTTCAAATCATTCAGTGACGAATATCTCCATCTTGGGAATGTCTCTCGCAATAAACACCAGATTTGTCGCCCGTTCCCCCTGTTGCCCGATCCACAGCTAGCAAATTTGACAGTTCCGCTGGTCCTCCATGAGAATCTTTTCTATCGTTTCTAGCGGTTCTGAAGATCCAGACGTTTTAAGGGGAACCTATCCGTGGAACAGCTCCAAGAACACTTCCTAGGTTATGTCTTGTTCCATTTGAGATCAAGGCAAAGCGAGCTCTAAGATTGCTTGTCGACACACGCCCGACTGTTAAAGACGGTTTCCTCTTTGGTATCAGGTCTTGTTATAGCTGCAAACCTTCAAGACCCACGAAGGCCTGACCGGCATACATTCCGATCAATATCACAAGTAACACTCAAGTAATCATTTCGTGTTTGTAACAGAGTACTTCCCTGCAACGGGATCAAGTTTCTTTGGTGCAATGGATTTATGTTGATGTAACCACTTTGTACTATGATGTAACCGGTTGATTACGGCTATCATGAGTCGTCTTGTGGCAGTCTTGTAATTAATATCTAAATCTAAGGACAAAACCACGAACTCCAGACCAAAGACATTATCCTGTGATACGCGATCTATTATGCTTTATGTTTGACACACCAGTGGATATTGTCTTACACACCAGTGGATATTGTCTTACACACTTGTGCCGAGCTTAGGAGGCAATCAACTGTCAACCTTGCAATTTGGCTTGATTAGTTGGGTAATCAGCTGAAACTCTGCAAGGTGGCTATATCAATCCTAAATGCCAGGGGATTAGAATGTTCGCTGTAACTGTTCTGCTGCAAAGGGCTGGTTTCAGACACCACTCAGGGTCTCAGGTCATGACCTTCTGACAACTGTCGTCATCTTCTGCGCATACGTTTCGATGCCGTGATCAACCGGATCAGCCCACTGCTCTCAATATGTCGTCCGTCAGTGAGCAATTTCCACGTTACAGGTCCAAAGATAAATGAAAATTGACAGCAGCCTTTGCTCCAAAAGCTCGAATTTCAGTCTCTCCGGCGCTAACGCCCAAAGTCACCAAGATTTGGCACAAACAACAATACGTTGAGTAGTATAGGAGAAATTGTGAAAAGGTCGATTCAGCCTGGCTCCTTAAGGGTTGAAAATAAAAAATAATTTGTTCAATCTTTTAGAAACCGATTCGTCCAGATACTTTCTCATCACTACAAGAATTTTGAAAGGGCACTTATTTATAGGGTACATGAAAGAAATCGGAACACCGTTGCTCTAAATAAGGCGTATCTTTTAAAAGTTCAGGGCGTTTGCGATGTTCGTGTCCTTATCTGTGATGTCAGATAATGATAATAATAATTTTCTGAGTTAGAATTGGATAGAATTTAGACTTCTTTGAAACCAGTCAGTAATGAACCTCCCGATCTTCCCGTTGTCTACCGCCTCGTAAAATAAGCCTCAGATTTGTCGCCTCCTCCTTGTTGCTTGGCCCACAGCTCGCAAACGGTGCAATCCTGCTGGTTCTCCACGAGGCTCTCTTCAACCACAGCAGCATCACGTGTCGCGCCGTTGAGTTGACAAAGCATTTTCCTTGGGCCTTGCCGAAGTAGATTGAAGGAGAGGCACTGGGGCTCCGACAGGCAGGCCTTACCGCACGCCTCGACCCCTATCACCGGTGTCTCCTTCAGGACGTGACCGATCATACAGGGTGACGCGCGATGACCGTTGATGTCGGTCTGAGGGCAGAACGGCGATGAGAAGTTGGTGTCTGCGGGGAGCTGACAGGCTGCGAAACCTTTGAAGCTGCAGGGTCGGTCTCCCCACAGACCATTGGAATCTTTCATCATTGCTGCGCAGTCGGCTTCGTTATCATCTGGCTGACCCTCTTTCCAGTTCTGGTAGGCCGTAGAGATATTGCCACTCGACGGGCAAGGGCGCCATTTTCCCTCCTCTTCGATGTCACTACAACCGATCCAGATGTAACCGACAAGTCCGTGGGCTCGGAACATTTCCCAGATTGCGTCTTGTTCCATTTGAGATCGAGGCACCGCCATCTGGGCTTGCCTGTCGGCACATGTCCCGTTAGCCTCCTCCCAAGTCAATTTTGTCGTTACTAGCGAGTAGCAGGTCTCCCCATGCCGCTGCCAATCCTCAAGGCATCCGGAACCTTGGCTGGTATATATTCCGACCACAAAAACTACCAACTGGCCAACAAACATTTCGAATTTCTTGTCCAGCACTTTGATGACGAATGGTTCAGTGCTTTGGCTTTGTCTTGATGTCTCCTACCGATGGCGACGACGAAACATCACTGACGGTGTTCTGGCATTGTCTGCTATTTAAGGGTATCTTAATCAAGACAATTCACATACAACAGTAACTCTACCTCATGATGCATACCGTACCATTGCCCAGCCTCGAGGCAATTAAGAGCGTACTTGTTGTTTCCAAAGAAACAGCAGCGTCAAGTTTAATTAGTCGGGTAATAAGCCGAGACATTGCGAGCTGATTATATCAGCGCCGGTCTTCTTCATCAATAAAAGACTGATGTTACTTGCAACCTCCAAGTTTTCAGTGGGAGGCTTTTGAGACGCACGTTTGTGGGAAACACACTAGTCCCGTGAGAACAGTCCACAGACATAGAGACGTGTAAAACGTCAGTCTCACGCGTCTAATCGTGATTTCGAAAAGTATGGGGAAAAAGTCGACGACAGCCCGCAATGTTAGTCCGTTTGCACATAATGCGCAACGCACTAACATTGCCTGCTTTTGTTCACAAGTGCTCCCTAAAAATGTCCACTTAATGTTTGCTTTTCCTGAGTGTTATCTCTTCTTTTTAAATTGTTTTTAATCTATATATATTAAATAAATAGAGCATTTCCTTGAAAATCGAATGGCTTCAGGGAATTTCATTGCTGGAATTCTTCAACTGCGCATAAATTATCTTTACTACAACTCATAAATATTCATGAGCAAATAGGATCGCGGCATTTGGCCGATTCCACCTCGCGTCTGGGAAGTAGAACTGATACGCGACCAGGTGACGTCATAGCTGTGAGTATCCACCTAGCAGCTGTACGATAGTTTTTTTTTCTTGTAGCATCACAAAATTCCTCTGTAACCGCCGCGTAAATATGTAGTCTGTGTCATGTAATCTTTACGGATCCAGTCTGGACTTGTTTCTTCATAACTATTACAGTAAAGACCAAAAACGTATGTCAGCACCAGACTACTGAAGCCCTGTTTCTACACACGTCTGCACTCCACTATCATTACATGGAAATTCAGCAGCTGAGAAACAACAATGGTGTCTGTGAGTACAAGTAACGTGAGACTTCTGTTTGAATATTTATGAAGT